AGTCAATTACAAAACTACATTTAAGAAAAGTACAACATGTCTAAAGATTACTTTTCAACATTGCCTGCTCCCAAGCGTTCTCACTACTAAAAACGTACTATTGTAGAGCTTCCCTCATCCCCCTTTTCATGTTAGCTAGCTACCAACCAGAACATTAAGCTAGCCAAGACCAACAACACAAATAAACCGACTATAAAGTAGTGAGTTGAGTTACAAACGGACTATACTAAACGAGTTAAATGTCTTACCTTTGATGAAATGTTTTCCACACACATAGCTAATTGAAGCCTACTTGGACACCGGGTCACCACAATTTCCCACTCTCCATATCGAATATCCTGAAGCCACAGGGCTCTTCTCGCAGGCTGTATTTCCCTACGTGGGAGCATTGCGAACCGTAGGTCTGGACTTTTGACCTGGTTAAGTTTTTGAACAACACAGCAGCTTTTCGGCATGTTTTGTTATTTCTGTATAACAAAAAATTGACTACGAAGTTGGCCCCTTTACAATGGGGTTAAATGGGAAAGAATGTTTGTTTTCCCCAATTTGTGGGCGTGGTCAAGGGGAATTCCTTTTTATGACATGAATACCGACTCGGAGTATGACGTCTATTCAGTGTTCCGAAGATTAGACAAGTATAATTGAGTATACTGTCACCCAATGTTCTGGGGCAGAAATCACATGCACTCTGAGAAACACAACCCTCACCTTACATTATTTAGTTTCCCCTGTCATAATATTATTCAGCCTTTGCTTATTTTACTTCCTGAGTGTTTGTGTGTGTGTATGTGCGTGTGTGTGTGCACTGAATGCGTCTGCATGTGTGTGTGTAGCAACGAAGCAAATGTAACTTGTGTTCGTGTGCGTGCACACCCGTGTGTGTGTATACTCACATGCTGATCGACTGGGATGCAGCTCCCTGCTCAATGAAACAGGCAGGCTCCACTCCATCCACAGGCAAGGAACAGAACAGCACTTCTGGATAAGCTCATGAAAAATGTAGAGAGCAGCCTTATCTTCAGAGCCTTGCACAGGGCGGTTTGTGTGCAGCTCCAGCCTTTGATGTGGTCCATTGAGCTTCCCTCTCTGACATGTTCTCCCAGGCCCAGGGCTGCAACAGCCCGAGGGGTGATTAGCCTTATTAGTGTAATGGAGGGAAGTAAAGGGCTTTAGAGATGGAGGGATGGTGGTGTTGGTGGTGCGGTGGGGGCTGTTTGGCCAGAGAGGAAAGATATCAAACGTTTGCTATAGATTTTTCTGGCTGGGATCAACGTGAGGAGGAGAGAGGGAGAAGGAGACAGGGAGTAGGAGACAGGGAGGAGGAGACAGGGAGGAGGAGACAGGGAGGAGGAGACAGGGAGGAGGAGACAGGGAGAAGGAGACAGGGAGGAGGAGACAGGGAGAAGGAGACAGGGAGGAGGAGACAGGGAGGAGGAGACAGGGTGCATGTGAACAGCTGTGTTTCAGTGATTAAGTGCAGTGCACTGCTGCAGTACAGTCCTCTATGTTTGGGTTAGCTGCATGGTGTTTAGACATGGAGGATGTTGTGATAATTACTGTGATGCCTCTTAGGGTGTCATATCAAGTCCAGATGCTGCACTATATCGCTTGGTGAAGCTCCACCAGTCCCTGTGAAACAACACATCTGTCCCCATCTGCATGCGTTACCATGAGAAGGGTGTTATTGGCGGAAGGCGGTGGGTGACAGAAGGGGCGGGAAGGGGGAGGATGGGGGGGGGGGGGGGGGGGGGGGGGGGGCTGATGCGTGCTGGCATCCCCTCTCCACAGCTTCCCTCCCTAAGACGCCAGGCTTTTTGGCAGATGCCAGAGGTGTGAGTGTGTGTGTGTGCCTGTGTGAATGCCCTGCTGCTCTCTCTTGCCTCTCAATGGCATCTCCTGTGAAGGGCCTTGGCCATGCCAGAGTCATGGGGGTCTGCAGTGGGGGGTCCTGGGGGGATAAAGTAGTGCCATTCTCACACCTTCACCTCTTAGCCCAGCCCAGCCCAGCACCACACTGATACTGCTGTCCAAACATTTGGAGTGGTGCAATGATGCGTAAACCCCCAGGCAGGCAGGCAACCTCAGAGATATGACAACCCCATATCTTCCTAACATAGGATTTATTTCCTATAGGTGGGAGAAGTATTTATTGTAGTAAGTTACACGAATAGCCATCTAAATTAAACGGATTAATCAGTGGAGAACGTGGTGCTCATTTTGCATTAGTGCAGCACAGGTGTGAGGGGGCTCCCAGAATGCAGCTCTCTGCCAAAGACTCACTCCATGGTTCAGAGCTAGAGAGCCAGAGAGATGTATGCTGCTGTCACAGATGATGATGGAGAACAGTGGATTTGAGCTCATTGTTTGTCTCAGAGTAGGGATGATGGATGCTATATCTTGGAACTGTAAGGAAGTGTACTAATCCAGAGAAGATACATACATTGTGTACATGCCCCAACAAATTGGTTGCTGTTCTGAGGCCAAAAGGGGGTGCAACTCAATATTAGCAAGGTGTTCCTATGTTTTTTACACTCAGTGTACATGGGATGTATCACATATATTGAGATGCTCTCTCTTTCTCTCTCTCTCTCTCTCGCTCTCTCTCTCTCTCTCTCTCTCGCTCTCTCTCTCGCTCTCTCTCTCTCTCTCGCTCTCATTGTCTTGTTGACCAGACAGAGACTTTTAATGAGCTCAGTAAACAATGCCAGGATGACAACCTCACTGGGCCTTTGTTTTTCTCCAGGCTGGAGGGTCAAAAGTGTATCGTACCTCAATTATCGCAGGCCAATTGGTTTGACCGCCGCACCTGTCCCCCGGCCAGAGACAGAGATGGTGAAATGATACAATCTCTTATCATTTAAAAGATCTTCTCCCCAAATAACCTTTAATTTGAATTCACTTCTGACATAACGCCAGCCTGAATGTCAACCTCTTTAAATGTTGAAAAATAACAGATAACCATGGAGGACCAATGAAATGCTCTATTCCATGTTTTATTCCAATCAGCTTGGTGATAGGGAAGCAGGGTGGGTACATGTTTGCTAATCCATGACCTGGTTGTTTCCCCGGCGGCTGTTTTCTCCAGGGCGCTGGGTCTTTGTTCAGACAGGATGTGACAGGCCATGTCACAGCCCTCTTCTCTCGCAGGCCATGACTCCCCCATGCGGACACACAGGCACGAATGCACACCCACAAACACACACATATCCACACACACATAATGTACACACAAACGCTCACACACTCCGCCATGTCGCTGTGTGACTGGGATGCCCCTCGGCCCCAGACTGGCATCACAGTGTTGTCCACAAGCGTTAGCAACAGACGTTCATAGCACCCCATCTGTCTGCTAGTATCACCACAGCAGGCCTAACGCGGATGCCCGCTCAACACTCATCTACCATTGATCCTCCGCTAGTTTTTTTCTTCTTATCGACACGCATGTTGCCAATTGATTTCTTACTTTTCTTGTTGCATGGCGGAGTGTGTGAACTGTTGCTCAATGTGTACTCGTTTCCTCTTGTTTCGACAGCGTTGTTTTGTCTCAAACCCTGCTGGGGAACATGCGTTGGCTGCCAATTTTCCCTTTTATTTATACTTCTGACAAATACACAGGAGGTGTCTGGGATATTTATTTAAAGCTTTACTTCCTTTGTGTTGAATAATTGCCACCACTTTCCTTCTTATGTTTATATCTGGGACCAGTGGAAGTTTTATTATGCTGAAATTATTAGTGAGGCAGCCATTAAAAGACTAGGCTGGGACCCTGTTTAGTTGTCTCTCTTTAAATGAATAGAGGAGACATTTGAATGTGAATGCAGTTGAGTGTAGAGGATGGGTTATTCCAATGGAAGTAGTTTCTGCAGCCAGCCAGTTACACAATAGTGAAAGGCTAATGTACTATATTATGCTAACAGCTACTCTCCTTTGCAGAGCATTGTCAGACTAAGTACTGGAAGATGTCTGGGTTGCAGGGGAACATTATTCAGTAAGTAAAAAAGCTTCCAAGCCCGGCAGAGTTTTAGCCATGATGATCCTAACACATCAGTAGTTGTAGTTTAAAGTATTACACATACTTGGCGTCATCCTGGACTCCACCCTCTCCTTTGACCACCACATAAGACAGATTGTCAAATCCTCAGTCTTCCAGCTCCGCAACATTGCCAAAGTCAGATCCTCCCTCTCCCGCCCTGCCGCGGAAACCCTCATACATGCATTCATCTCCTCCCGTCTTAACTACTGCAACTCACTACTCTCCGGCATCAACTCAAGATCCCTCCTTAAAATCCAAATGGTTAAAAACATTCCAGCCCGACTCCTCACCAACACTAAGTCAACACAAGTCCTGGCAGCACATCACCCCTGTCCTCTGTAAACTCTACTGGCTCCCTGTTTCCCAACACATTGATTACAAGATCCTCCTTCTGACCTACAAAACCCTTCACCACCTTGCCTCTCTTTATTCATGTTTTTGTTTAGTCTGATGTTTTGTTTTGTCCTTGAAAAGCACATATATGTTCATTAATTATTATTGATCACATGCACTCGAAACCAACCCACCTTACATTTTTTATTTTTCCCCCCCCCCGCCCCAAATATTATTCAGCCTTTGCTTATTTTATTTCGAGTTTTGTGGGTTTTGGCGTGTGTGTTGCACTAATGGTCTGAATGTGTGTGTGTAGCAACGAAGCAAATGTACTTGTTTGTGTGCGTCACAACCCGTGTGTGTTATTTCAATCTGATCGACTGGGATCACCCCCCTCCCAATGAAACGGGGGCTCCACCCACCAAAGGCGGGGAACAAAAAACCTTCGGGATAAGCTCTGAAAAAATTAGATACACCTTACCCCTTTCAGAGCCTTGCCAGGGCGGTTTGTGTGCAGCTCCACCCTTTTTATGTGGTCCATTGATTTCCCTCTCTACATGTCTCCCAGGCCCGGCCAACGCCCGAGGGGGGGGATTAGCCTTATTATGAAAGGAGGGAAGAAAAAGGGTTTAAGATGGGGTTGGGGTGCGGGGGGGCTTTTGGGCCAGAGAGGAAGAATAAAACGTTTGTATAGTTTTTCTGGTGGGATAAACGTGAGGAGGAGAGAGGGGGAAGGAACAGGAGAGGAGACAGGGGGAGGAGACGGGAGGAGGAGACAGGGAGGAGGAACGGGGAGGGGACGGGAGGGGAAGGGGGGAGGAGCGGGGAAAAGGGAAACGGGAGAGGAACAGGGAGGAGGAGACAGGGTGCATGTGAACGCGGGTTTTTTCGTTTTAAAGGCATGCCTGCTGCAGTACATCCTTTTGTTTGGTTTTAGCGCAGGGTTTTTGCATGGGGATTTTTGTGTAATTACTGTGTCCCTCTTAGGGGTCATATCGCCCCAGATGCTGCATTTAAAAATCGTTTGGTGAAGCTCCACCAGCCCCCTGTGAAAACAAAACATCTGTCCCATTGCATCCCGACCATAAAGGGTGTTTTTGGCGGAAGGCGGTGGGTGACAGAAGGGGCGGGAAGGGGGAGGATGGGGGTGGGTGGGGGGGGGGGGGGGGGGGGGGGGGGGGGGGGCTGTGATGCGTGCTGGCATCCCCTCTCCACAGCTTCCCTCCCTAAGACGCCAGGCTTTTGGCAGATGCCAGACGGTTTGGAGTGTGTTGTGTGTGTGCCTGTGTGAATGCCCCTGTGCTCTCTCTGCCTCTCAATGGTCATCTACTGTGAAGGGCCTTGGCCATGCCCAGAGTCAATGGGGGGTCTGCCAGTGGGGGGTCCTGGGGGGAATAAAGTAGCGCCATTCTCACACCTTCACCTCTTAGCTCCAGCCAGCCCCAGAACCACACTGATACTGCTGTCCAAACATTTGGTAGTGGGTTGCAATGATGCGTAAACCCCAAGCAGGCAGGAACCTCAGAGATATGACAACCCCATATCTCCTAACATAGGATTTATTTCCTATAGGTGGGAGAAGTATTATTGTAGTAAGTTACCGAATAGCCATCTAATTAAACGGATTAATCAGTGGGAAAGTGGTGATCATTTTGCATTAGTGCAGCACAGGTGTGAGGGGGCTCCCAGGAATTGCAGCTCTCTGCCAAGACTCACTCCATGGTTCAGAGCTAGAGAGCCAGAGAGATTGTATGCTGCTGTCACCAGATGATGATGGCGAACAGTGGATTTGAGCTCATTGTTTGTCTCAGAGTAGGGATGATGGATGCTATCTTGGAACTGTAAGGAAGTGTTACTAATCCAGAGAAGATACATACATTGTGTACATGCCCCAACAAATTGGTTGCTGTTCTGAGGCCAAAAGGGGGTGCCAACTCAATATTAGCAAGGTGTTCGTATGTTTTTTACACTCAGTGTACATGGGATGTATCACATATATTGAGATGCTCTCTCTCTCTCTCTCTCTCTCTCTCTCTCTTCTCTCTCTCTCTCGCTCTCTCGCTCTCTCGCTCTTCGCTCTCTCTCCTCTCTATCGCTCTCATTGTCTTGTTGACCAGACAGAGACTTTAATGAGCTCAGTAAACAATGCCAGGATGACAACCTCACTGGGCCTTTGTTTTTCTCCAGGCTGGAGGGTCAAAAGTGTATCGTACCTCAATTATCGCAGGCCAATTGGTTTGACCGCCGCACCTGTCCCCCGGCCAGAGACAGAGATGGTGAAATGATACAATCTCTTATCATTTAAAAGATCTTCTCTCCAAATACCCTTTAATTTGAATTCACTTCTGACATAACGCCAGCCTGAATGTCAACCTCTTTAAATGTTGAAAAATAACAGATAACCATGGAGGACCAATGAAATGCTCTATTCCAATCAGCTTGGTGATAGGGAAGCAGGGTGGGTACATGTTTGCTAATCCATGACCTGGTTGTTTCCCCGGCGGCTGTTTTCTCCAGGGCGCTGGGTCTTTGTTCAGACAGGATGTGACAGGCCATGTCACAGCCCTCTTCTCTCGCAGGCCATGACTCCCCCATGCGGACACACAGGCACGAATGCACACCCACAAACACACACATATCCACACACACATAATGTACACACAAACGCTCACACACTCCGCCATGTCGCTGTGTGACTGGGATGCCCCTCGGCCCCAGACTGGCATCACAGTGTTGTCCACAAGCGTTAGCAACAGACGTTCATAGCACCCCATCTGTCTGCTAGTATCACCACAGCAGGCCTAACGCGGATGCCCGCTCAACACTCATCTACCATTGATCCTCCGCTAGTTTTTTTCTTCTTATCGACACGTATGTTGCCAATTGATTTCTTACTTTTCTTGTTGCATGGCGGAGTGTGTGAACTGTTGCTCAATGTGTACTCGTTTCCTCTTGTTTCGACAGCGTTGTTTTGTCTCAAACCCTGCTGGGGGAACATGCGTTGGCTGCCAATTTTCCCTTTTATTTATACTTCTGACAAATACACAGGAGGTGTCTGGGATATTTATTTAAAGCTTTACTTCCTTTGTGTTGAATAATTGCCACCACTTTCCTTCTTATGTTTATATCTGGGACCAGTGGAAGTTTTATTATGCTGAAATTATTAGTGAGGCAGCCATTAAAAGACTAGGCTGGGACCCTGTTTAGTTGTCTCTCTTTAAATGAATAGAGGAGACATTTGAATGTGAATGCAGTTGAGTGTAGAGGATGGGTTATTCCAATGGAAGTAGTTTCTGCAGCCAGCCAGTTACACAATAGTGAAAGGCTAATGTACTATATTATGCTAACAGCTACTCTCCTTTGCAGAGCATTGTCAGACTAAGTACTGGAAGATGTCTGGGTTGCAGGGGAACATTATTCAGTAAGTAAAAAAGCTTCCAAGCCCGGCAGAGTTTTAGCCATGATGATCCTAACACATCAGTAGTTGTAGTTTAAAGTATTACACACATACTTGGCGTCATCCTGGACTCCACCCTCTCCTTTGACCACCACATAAGACAGATTGTCAAATCCTCAGTCTTCCACCTCCGCAACATTGCCAAAGTCAGATCCTCCCTCTCCCGCCCTGCCGCGGAAACCCTCATACATGCATTCATCTCCTCCCGTCTTAACTACTGCAACTCACTACTCTCCGGCATCAACTCAAGATCCCTCCATAAGCTCCAAATGGTTAAAAACATTCCAGCCCGACTCCTCACCAACACTAAGTCAACACAAGTCCTGGCAGCACATCACCCCTGTCCTCTGTGAACTCTACTGGCTCCCTGTTTCCCAACACATTGATTACAAGATCCTCCTTCTGACCTACAAAACCCTTCACCACCTTGCCTCTCTTTATTCATGTTTTTGTTTAGTCTGATGTTTTGTTTTGTCCTTGAAAAGCACTATACAGGTAAAAGTCAGTAAATTAGAATATTTTGAAAAACTTGATTTATTTCAGTAATTGCATTCAAAAGGTGTAACTTGTACATTATATTTATTCATTGCACACAGACTGATGCATTCAAATGTTTATTTCATTTAATTTTGATGATTTGAAGTGGCAACAAATGAAAATCCAAAATTCCGTGTGTCACAAAATTAGAATATTGTGTAAGGGTTACATTTTGAAGACACCTGGTGCCACAAAATAATCAGCTGATTAACTCAAAACACCTGCAAAGGGCTTTAAATGGTCTCTCAGTCCAGTTCTGAAGCCTACACAAACATGGGGAAGACTTCAGATTTGACAGCTGTCCAAAAGGCGACCATCGACACATTGCACAAGGAGGGAAAGACACAAAAGGTTATTGCAGAAGAGGCTGGCTGTTCTCAGAGCTCTGTGTCCAAACACATTAATAGAGAGGCAAAGGGAAGGAAAAACTGTGGTCAGAAAAAGTGTACAAGCGATAGGGATCACCGCGCCCTAGTCAAGATTGTGAAAAAAAAACCATTCAAAAATGTGGGGGAGATTCACAAGGAGTGGACAGCTGCTGGAGTCAGGGCTTCAAGATCCACCACCAAGAGACGCTTGAAAGACATGGGTTTCAACTGCCGCATACCTCGTGTCAAGCCACTGTTGACCAAGAAACAGCGCGAAAAGCGTCTCACCTGGGCTAAGGAAAAAAAGAGCTGGACTGCTGCTGAGTGGTCTAAAGTCATGTTTTCTGACGAAAGCAAATTTTGCATTTCCTTTGGAAATCGAGGTCCCAGAGTCTGGAGGAAGACAGGAGAGGCACAGGATCCACGTTGCCTGAAGTCTAGTGTAAAGTTTCCACCATCAGTGATGGTTTGGGGTGCCATGTCATCTGCTGGTGTCGGTCCACTCTGTTTCCTGAGATCAAGGGTCAACGCAGCCGTCTACCAGCAAGTTTTAGAGCACTTCATGCTTCCTGCTGCTGACCTGCTCTATGGAGATGGAGATTTCAGGTTCCAACAGGACTTGGCGCCTGCACACAGCGCAAAATCTACCCGTGCCTGGTTTACGGACCATGGTATTTCTGTTCTAAATTGGCCAGCCAACTCCCCTGACCTTAGCCCCATAGAAAATCTGTGGGGTATTGTGAAAAGGAAGATGCAGAATGCCAGACCCAACAACGCAGAAGAGTTGAAGGCCACTATCAGAGCAACCTGGGCTCTCATAACACCTGAGCAGTGCCAGAAACTCATCGACTCCATGCCACGCCGCATTAATGCAGTAATTGAGGCAAAAGGAGCTCCAACCAAGTATTGAGTATTGTACATGCTCATATTTTTCATTTTCATACTTTTCAGTTGGCCAACATTTCTAAAAAATCCCTTTTTTGTATTAGCCTTAAGTAATATTCTAATTTTGTGACACACGGAATTTTGGATTTTCATTTGTTGCCACTTCAAATCATCAAAATTAAATGAAATAAACATTTGAATGCATCAGTCTGTGTGCAATGAATAAATATAATGTACAAGTTACACCTTTTGAATGCAATTACTGAAATAAATCAAGTTTTTCAAAATATTCTAATTTACTGACTTTTACCTGTATAATTCCCATGCATTATTATTATTATTGTTATGGATTTTGTTAGCGTGAGTTGTTCTATAATCTCTAAATTATATATTTTTGTGACTTTTGTACAGACGTGGTGTGTTTGTCCATAAATGGTAATGTAAAATAAGATCTGAGAAGGAATAAAAAGGGCTTATGCATGCTCAGTAGCATTCTACTATGCTTTACATTAGTTTATTCAATATTTACATAGTGTACCTGTGCATACGTTGCCTATTCCAGTTCGTGTCTGGATACGGCCATACACATACCAGTATTTCACGGTTCTTTGTGACTTACTAGGGATGTGTTCAGGGTCCTCAACAGTGGCCTTGATTTTGTTGGTCATTTCACTAACAGCTCTCCCTGGCACAGCATAGAAAACATCTGCCCCAGTCTGAGTGGTCAGCTCCTACATAGACACCCCAGGCCCTGCATTCACAGCAACACTGCCATCTCTCTGGCAGTTGCCAGACTAAATGAATTACTGATGGAGCTGTTCTACTAGCCACACATTGATTGGGAGATGTAATGCTCTCCTACCAATCCCATTTTCCTGTCCAATGCCCTTAAATTTGTCTGTGTTTAGTAGTCCTTTAACCTACAATAATACTAGCTGAGGAACGGTCATCTCCGTTCTCTTAAATCGAGGCGGAGTTGAGTATTGACAACTGGTCGCGCGATTTGCTAGCAACAACATTGAGTCACCATCAGTCGAAACTTGTAAAAATTTTAATTCTGAAAACGCTTACCTGTACCTACATTGCCTTGCAAAAGTATTCATACCCCTTGGATTTCTTCACATTTTATTGTGTTACAAAGTGGGGTTAAAATATATTTAATTTTTGGTCAATCTACACAAAATACTCTGTAATGTCAAAGTGGAAGATTTTAAAATATATATTTTTAAAGATTTATAGAAATTAAATAACTAATATATAGTCATTGCATATTGCATAAGTGTTCAGCTCCCTGAGTCAATACATGTTAGAAACACCTTTGGCAGCGATTAAAGCTGTGAGTCTTCTTGGGTAAGTCTCTAAGACCTCTACACACCTGGAATGTGCAATATTAGCCCATTATTATTTTCATAATTCTTCAAGCTCTATCAAGTCTTGCCATAGATTTTCAAGCAGAAGTCAAAACAGAAACTTGGCAACTCAGGAACATTCTGTCAACGTCTGGGTGAAGTGGTGAAACGGAATCAGGCGCAGGACACAGAACTGAGAAAATGAATGGCTTTACTAAACAAAAGTAAACCATAACAAACCCTCCACGCAGGGAAGAGCAGAACAACAGCTCACCAAACGACGTAAAACAACGGACAATCACGCACAAACTCAGGAGGGAAAACAGAGGTAATTATAGGGACACAAATAAGCATAATGGGTAAAAGGTGTGATTAATAAAGACAAGACTAGTGTAACACAGAAACATCGATCGGTGGCAGCTAGTACTCCGGTGACGACGAACGCCGAAGCCTGCCTGAGCAAGGAGGAGGGGCAGCCTCAGCTATATTCGTGACAGTACCCCCCCCCCCCCCCGACGCGCGGATGACGACGATGGAAATCCCTTAACAAGGAGGGGTCGAGGATGTCCCTCCTGGGAACCCAGCTCCGTTCCTCCGGACCGTACCCCTCCCACTCCACGAGATACTGCAGGCCTCCCACCCGACGCCTCAAATCCAGAATGGAATGGACCGAGTACGCCGGTGCCCCCTCGATGTCCAATGGGGGCGGAGGAACCTCCCGCACCTCAGACTCCTGGAGCGGACCAGCTACCACCGGCCTGAGGTGGCGGTTGGCACTCGCCTTCTGTCTCCTAATAGCCCTTTGCAGGCGTACATGGGCAGCGTTCCATGTCTCCTCCGAGCGCCGAAACCATTCATCCACCGCAGGTGCCTCGATCTGGCTCTGATGCTATGGTGCCAGGACCGGCTGGTAACCTAGTACACACTGAAAGGGAGACAGGTCAGTGGAGGAGTGGCGGAGGGAATTTTGTGCCATCTCTGCCCAGGGGATGTAAACTGACCAATCCCCCTGCCGGTCCTGGCAATATGACCTCAGAAACCTACCCACATACTGGTTTACTCTCTCCACCTGCCCATTACTCTCGGGGTGAAACCCTGAGGTCAGGCTGACCGAGACCCCCAGATGGTCCATGAACGCCTTCCAGACCCTTGATGTAAACTGGGGACCCCGATCAGACACTATATCCTCAGGTACCCTGTAGTGACGACAGGACTTAGAAAACCGATCCACAACGACCAGGATTGTGGTGTTACCTTGTGACGGAGGAAGATCCGTAACAAAGTCCACCGATAGGTGTGACCACGGCCATTGCGGAACGGGGAGAGGTTGTAATTTCCCTCTGGGCAGGTGTCTAGGTGCCTTGCACTGGGCGCACACCGAACAGGAAGAAACATAAACCCTCACGTCCTGAGCTAAGGTAGGCCACCAGTACTTCCCACTAAGACAGCGCACTGTCCGACCGATGCCAGGATGGCCAGAAGAGGGTGACGTGTGAGCCCAATAGATCAAACGATTGCGAACCTCAGACGGAACGTACACACGACCCACTGGACACTGGGGGGGAGTGGGCTCCGTGCGTAACTCCCACTCGATGTCCGCGTCAATATTAACCTCCCATACCACCGGTGCCACCAGATAAGAAGCCGGAAGTATGGGAGTGGGCTCCCTGGTCCGCTCCTCTGAGTCATACAGCCGGGACAGAGCGTCTGCCTTAGCATTCTGGGAACCTGGTCTGTACGATAGGGTGAACACAAAACGCGTGAAAAACATGGCCCACCTTGCCTGATGAGGGTTCAGTCTCCTCGCTGCCCGTATGTACTCCAGATTGCGGTATTCAGTCAAAATAAATTAAAAAAAATAAAGCGCTCGGTGTTTTGTCCCCTCAAGCCAATGTCTCCACACCTTAAGAGCTTTCACAACAGCTAACAGCTCCCGGTCCCCCACATCATAGTTTTGCTCTGCTGGGCTGAGCTTCTTCGAAAAGAAAGCACAGGGGCGGAGTTTGGGAGGCGTACCCGAGCGCTGAGACAGTACAGCTCCTATCCCAGCCTCGGACGCGTCCACCTCGACTGTGAATTGCAAGGAAGGATCCGGATGAGCCAGCAAGGGAGCCGAAGTGAACAGCGCCTTCAGCTGACCAAAAGCCCTGTCCACCTCAGCTGACCAGTGCAGGCACACCGGTCCGCCCTTTAGCAAAGAGGTTATGGGAGCTGCTACCTGACCAAAGCCCCGGATAAATCTCCGGTAGTAGTTGGCAAACCCCAAAAATCGCTGAACCTCCTTTACCGTGGTAGGAGTCGGCCAATTACGCATGGCTGAAATGCGGTCACACTCCATCTCGACCCCTGACTCTGACAGGCGGTATCCTAAGAAAGAGATGGATTGTTTGAAGAACAGACATTTCTCAGCCTTAACATACGGGTCATTCTCCAACAGTCTACCAAGCACCTTGCGCACCAGGGATACATGCTCGTCGCGTGTATCGGAGTAGATGAGAATATCATCTATATACACCACTACACCCTGTCCGTGCAGATCCCTGAAAATCTCATCGACAAAGGATTGAAAGACTGAGGGAGCATTCATCAACCCGTACGGCATGACGAGGTACTCATAGTGACCAGAGGTGGTACTAAATGCCGTCTTCCACTCGTCCCCTTCCCGGATATGAACTAGATTGTACGCGCTCCTGAGGTCCAATTTTGTGAAGAAGCGCGCCCCGTGCAATGACTCCGTCATACTAGCTATGAGAGGTTGAGGATAGCTGTATTTTTTTTACGTCATCTGATTTAGACCTCGATAGTCAATGCACGGGCGTACACCTCCATCCTTCTTCTTCACAAAAAAGAAACGAGGAGGCAGGGGAAGTGGAGGGCCGAATGTATCCCTGTCCCAGAGATCCGATGACATATGTCTCCATAGCCACCGTCTCCTCCTGTGACAGAGGATACACGTGACTCCGGGAAGTGCAGCGCCCTCCCGGAGATCTATCGCACAATCCCCTCGTCGATAGGGTGATAATTGAGTCGCCTTCATTTTACAGAAGGCGAGAGCCAAATCGGCATATTCTGAGGGAATGTGCATTGTGGAGACATGGTTTGGACTCTCCACCATAGTTGCCCCTACGGAAACACCTACACACCTTCCCGAGCACTGAGTTGACCATCCCTTAAGAGCCCTCTGTTGCCATGAAATCCTGGGGTCATGGTTGGCTAGCCAGGGAAGCCCCAGCACCACAGGAAATGCAGGAGAATCGATAAGGAAGAGACTCATTCTCTCCTCATGACCCCCCTGCGTCTCCATCCGGAGAGGAACTGAGACCTCCCTAACCATAACCGACCCTAAAGGGCGACTATCTAGGGCACGTATGGGGAAGGACACATCTACAGGCAATATAGGAATCCCTAATTTATGCGCAACCAGCCTATCCATAAAATTCCCAGCTGCGCCGGAATCTACGAGCGCCTTATGTGGGGAAAACCCAGGGAAATGTACATTGACCGTCATGTGAGCAACAGGGAGCTCTGGGTGAGGTGGGTGCCTACTCACCTGGGATGGTCCACCAGGGCCCTGCCTGCTGCCTCGATTCCATGAGGGTCCTCTCCTGCACCGGCCCGCAGTGTGTCCTCTGTGGCCAAAGTTGGTGCAGGAGACCACCCCCTTGCCAGGTCTCTTTTTATTAATTTTTTTATTTCACCTTTATTTAACCAGGTAAGACAGTTGAGAACAAGTTCTCATTTACAACTGCGACCTGGCCAAGATAAAGCAAAGCAGTGTGATAAAAACAACAACACAGAGTTACATATGGGGTAAAACAAAACATAAAGTCAAAAATACAACAGAAAATATATATACAGTGTGTGCAAATGTAGCAAGTTATGGAGGTAAGTCAATAAATAATTACAATTAGTATTAACACTGGAATGATAGATGTGCAAGAGATGATGTGCAAATAGAGATACTGGGGTGCAAATGAGCAAAATAAATAACAGTATGGGGATGAGGTAGTTGGGTGGGCTAATTTCAGATGGGCTGTGTACAGGTGCAGTGATCGGTAAGGTGCTCTGACAACTGATGCTTAAAGTTAGTGAGGGAGATAAGAGTCTCCAGCTTCAGAGATTTTTGCAATTCGTTCCAATCATTGGCAGCAGAGAACTGGAAGGAATGGCGGCCAAAGGAGGTGTTGGCTTTGGGGATGACCAGTGAGATATACCTGCTGGAGCGCAGATTACGGGTGGGTGTTGCTATGGTGACCAATGAGCTAAGATAAGGCGGGGATTTGCCTAGCAGTGATTTAGAGATGGCCTGGAGCCAGTGGGTTTAGCGACAAATATGTAGTGAGGACCAGCCAACAAGAGCATACAGGTCACAGTGGTGGGTAGTATATGGGGCTTTGGTGACAAAACGGATGGCACTGTGATAGACTACATCCAATTTGCTGAGTAGAGTGTTGGAGGCTATTTTGTAAATGACATCGCCGAAGTCAAGGATCGGTAGGATAATCAGTTTTACGAGGGCATGTTTGGCAGCATGAGTGAAGGAGGCTTTGTTGCGAAATAGGAAGCCGATTCTAGATTTAACTTTGGATTGGAGATTCTTGATGTGAGTCTGGAAGGAGAGTTTACAGTCTAACCAGACACCTAGGTATTTGTAGTTGTCCACATACTCTAGGTCAGACCCGTCGAACGCCAGCAGCGTTCGATTGAAGAGCATGTATTTAGTTTTACTAGTGTTTAAGAGCAGTTGGAGGCTACTGAAGGAGTGTTGTATGGTATTGATGCTCGTTTGGAGGTTTGTTAACACAGTGTCCAATGAAGGGCCAGATGTATACAAAATGGTGTCATCTGCGTAGAGGTGGATCTGAGAGTCACCAGCAGCAAGAGCGACATCATTGATATACACGGAGAAAAGAGTCGGCCCAAGAATTGAACCCTGTGGCACCCCCATAGAGACTGCCATAGGTCTAGACAACAGGCCCTCCGATTTGACACATTGAACTCTATCTGAGAAGTAGTTGGTGAACCAGGCGAGGCAGTCATTTGAGAAACCAAGGCTATTTAGTCTGCCAATAAGAATGCGGTGGTTGACAGAGTCGAAAGCCTTGGCCAGGTCGATGAAGACGGCTGCACAGTACTGTCTATTATCGGTCACGGTTATAATATCGTTTAGGACCTTGAGCGTGTTTGAGGTGCACCCATGACCAGCTCGGAAACCGGATTGCATAGCGGAGAAGGTACTGTGGGATTCGAAATGGTCGGTAATCTGTTTGTTAACCTCCAAGCTCCATAGGAGTGGAGTCGGAAGTGCTGGGGGATGGACTGGACGGACCCTGATCCGTACGTTCGCGGTTGGCCAACAGGTTATCCAGCTGGATCGATAAATCTACCAGCTGGTCCAGGTTTAGATTTGTGTCCCTGCAGGCCAGCTCCCTACGAACGTCCTCCCGTAGACTGCATCGGTAGTGGTAAATCAGGGCCCTCTCATTCCATCCCGCGCTGGCTGCCAGTGTCCTGAAATCCAGGGCAAAGTCCTGTGCGCTCCTCCTCCCTTGTCTGAGGTGAAACAGACGCTCCCCCGCCGCTCTCCCCTCCGGCGGATGATCGAATACTGCCCGGAAACGGCGGGTGAAATCCTCGTAACGTACGGACTCAGCGTCTATTCCACCCCACTCCGCGTTGGCCCATTCCAGCGCTCTGCCCGACAGACAGGAGATGAGGGCGGACACGCTCTCGTATCCCGAGGGAGCCGGGTGGATGGTTGCCAGGTAGAGCTCCACCTGGAGCAGGAAACCCTTACACCCGGCAGCTGTCCCATCATATTCCCTCGGGAGCGAGAGCCGGATTCCACTGGTTCCAGGGTTTGATGGTCTTGATGGGGGAGAAATCGGAGGAGGAGGAAGTGTAGGAAACCCACTTCTCTCCCATCGATCCATGGTGTTCACCACTCAATCCATAGTCGACCCTAAAACCTGCAGCATGGTTGAGTGCTGCTGGATGCGTTCCTCCACCGAGGTGCTGGGATCGGACGTGCCTGCTGACTCCATAGGTGGTGTGTGATTCTGTCAACATCTGGGTGAATTGGTGAAACGGAATCAGGCAAAAGTAAACCATAACAAAAGTAAACCATAACAAACCCTCCACGCAGGGAAGAGCAGAACAACAGCTCACCAAACAACGTAAAACAACGGACAATCACGCACAAACTCAGGAGGGAAAACAGAGGTAATTATAGGGACACAAATAAGCATAATGGGTAACAGGAGTGATTAATAAAGACAAGACTAGTATAACACAGAAACATCGATCGGTGGCAGCTAGTACTCCGGTGACGACGAACGCCGAAGCCTGCCCGAGCAAGGAGGAGGGGCAGCCTCGGCTATATTCGTGACACATTCACTGTCTTCCTGGTAAGCAACTCCAGTGTAGATTTGGCCTTTTGTTGTAGGTTATTGTCCTGCTGAAAGTTGAATTCCTCTCCCAGTGTCTGGTGTAAAGCAGACTGAAGTATGTTTTCCTCTAGGATTTTGCCTGTGCTTAGCTCTATCCCATTTATTTTTTATCCCGAAAAACTCCTCAGTATTTGCAGATTTCAAGCATACCCATACCATGATGCAGCCACCACCATGCTTGAAAATAAGGAGGCAGTTACTCAGTGAAGTGTAGTGTTGCGGTCTGAGGGTGGTGCGGTCTGCCCAACTCATCACCGGGGGCAAACTACCTGCCCTCCAGGACACCTACAGCACCCGATGTCACAGGAAGGCCAAAAAGATAATCAAGGACAACAACTACCCGAGCCACTGCCTGTTCACCCCGCTATCATCCAGAAGGCGAGGTCAGTACAGGTGCATCAAAGCTTGGACCGAAAGACTGAAAAACAGCTTCTATCTCAAGGCCATCAGACTGTTAAATAGCCATCACTAGGCGGCTTCCACCCGGAAGCCCTGCACCTTAGAGGCTGCTGCCTATATACATAGACTTGAAATCACTGGCCACTTAATAATGGAACACTAGTCACTCTAATAATGTTTACATATTTTTGCTTTACTCATCTCATATGTATATACTGTATTCTATTCTACTGTATTTTAGTCTATGCCACTCCAACATTGCTCATCCTAATATTTATATATTCCTTAATTCCATTCTTTTACTTTTAGGTTGTGTGTATTGTGTGTATTGTTGTGAATTGTTATATGTACTGCACTGTTGGAGCTAGAAACACAAGCATTTTGCTACACCTTTCAATAACATCTGCTAAACATGTGTATGTGACAAATACAATTTGATTTTATTTGGATTTGACCCAAAAATAAGGCTTTGCATGTAGGCCAAAAAGTGTATTCCTTTGACGTGTTTTTTTGTGCAATATTACTTTAGTGCCTTGTTGCATACAAGAAGCATGTTTTGTAATATTTGTATTCTTCTTTTCACTCTGTCATTTAAGTCATTGTTGTGGAGTCACAACAATGTTGTTCATCCATCCTCAGTTTTCTCCCATCACAACCATTGAACTCATGGTAACATCCCTGATCAGTTTCAGTCCTATCCTGCAGCTCAGTTCAGAAGGATGACTGTATCTTTAATGTGTCTGGGTGGTTTAATACATAATCCACAGCATAATTATTAACTTGACCATGCTTAAAGATGTATTCAATGTCTGATTGTTTTTTTGTTTTGTTTAATATTGCAGATAGATTGTATCTTCCATCAATGTAATTGTCTGCGTCACTTCCAATTCCCTCTCACAGGTCCTCAACTGGCAGCTTCATTAAATAGTACCCGCAAAACACCAGTCTCAACGTCAACAGTGAAGAGGCGACTCCGGGATGCTGACCTTCTAGGCAGAGTTGCAAAGAAAAAGCCATATCTCAGACTGCCCATCTTAATCTTTTCTTTTTATTGGCTAGTCTGAGATATGGCTTTTTCTTTGCAACTCTGCCTAGAAGGTCAGCATCCCAGAGTCACCTCTTCACTGTTGACGTTGAGACTGGTGTTTTGCGGGTACTATTTAATGAAGCTGCCAGTTGAGGACCTGTGAGGCGCCTGTTTCTCAAACTAGACACTCTAATGTATTTGTCCTCTTACTCAGTTGTGCACCGGGGCCTCCCACTCCTCTTTCTATTCTGGTTAGAGCCAGTTTGCGCTGTTCTGTGAAGGGAGTAGTACACAGCGTTGTACGAGATCTTCAGTTTCTTGGCAAATTCTCGCATGGAATAGCCTTCATTTCTCAGAACAAGAATAGACGAAAGTTATTTGTTTCTGGCCATTTTGAGCCTGTAATCGAACCCACAATTGCTGATGCTCCAGATACTCAACTAGCCTCAAGAAGGCCAGTTTTATTGCTTCTTTAATCAGCACAACAGTTTTCAGCTGTGCTAACATAATTGCAAAAGGGTTTTCTAATGATCAATTAGCCTTTTAAAATGATAAACTTGGATTAGCAAACATAACGTGCCATTGGAACACAGGACTGATGGTTGCTGATAATAGGCCTCTGTACGCCTATGTAGATATTCCATAAAAAATCAGCCGTTTCCAGATACAATAGCCATTTACAACATTAACAATGTCTACACTTGTCATGAGTGTCAGTGTAATGCGGTGGGTCGAAGTCAGGCGCAAGACACAGAACTCAATGAAAACGTACTTTACTGATAAGTAAAGAAACAAATACAAAATACCTCCACACAGGGAGGAGCAAACCCGCTCACCAAACGACACACGAAACTAAATAACAAACACGCACAAAACACAACGGGAGCCACTGGGTTAAATAGGGAAGGAGTAATTACACGATGGGAAACAGGTGTGTGACAATCAGACAACAACAGGTAGAACATAGAAACATAGAACATAGATCAGCAGTAGCTAGTATTCCGGTGACGACGAACGCCGAAGCCTGCCCTAGCAAGGAGGAGGGGCAGCCTCGGCAGAATCCGTGACAACACTGTATTTCTGATCAATTTTATGTTATTTTAATGGACAAAAAATGGCTTTTCTTTCGAAAACAAGGACATTTCTAAGTGACCCCAAACTTTTGAATGGTAGTGTATCCTTTAAAAAATATATATTTCCCTTTATTACTTTCCAACCCCACCACCCCTCCCATAATTGGAGTAAACTAGTGAACAACAACGCTTAGGCCTCTACTTCCAGCTTATACATACTATATACATTTTATGGACACAGTCAATTTTACAATAATTATATTTTGTTTGTTTTTACTCCTGAACTTCCTCTACCCTCAACCTCTCCGATCATTTTCATGACGTCCATCTGGTTTGCTTTTATATGCCATATCTTTCTAACTGTGCTCTTTCACAAAGGCTCTCAACCTATAACCTATATACACTGCTCAAAAAAATAAAGGGAACACTTAAACAACACAATGTAACTCCAAGTCAATCACACTTCTGTGAAATCAAACTGTCCACTTAGGAAGCAACACTGATTGACAATACATTTCACATGCTGTTGTGCAAATGGAATAGACAACAGGTGGAAATTATAGGCAATTAGCAAGACACCCCCAATAAAGAAGAATCTGCAGGTGGTGACCACAGACCACTTCTCAGTTCCTATGCTTCCTGGCTGATGTTTTGGTCACTTTTGAATGCTGGCGGTGCTTTCACTCTAGTGGTAGCATGAGACGGAGTCTACAACCCACACAAGTGGCTCAGGTAGTGCAGCTCACCCAGGATGGCACATCAACGCGAGCTGTGGCAAGAAGGTTTGCTGTGTCTGTCAGCGTAGTGTCCAGAGCATGGAGGCGCTACCAGGAGACAGGCCAGTATATCAGGAGACGTGGAGTAGGCCGTAGGAGGGCAACAACCCAGTAGCAGGACCGCTACCTCCGCCTTTGTGCAAGGAGGAGCAGGAGGAGCACTGCCAGAGCCCTGAAAATGACCTCTAGCAGGCCACAAATGTGCATGTGTCTGCTCAAACGGTCAGTAACAGACTCCATGAGGGTGGTATGAGGGCCCGACGTCCACAGGTGGGGGTTGTGCTTACAGCCCAACACCGTGCAGGATGTTTGGCATTTGCCAGAGAACACCAAGATTGGCAAATTCGCCACTGGCGCCCTGTGCTCTTCACAGATGAAAGCAGGTTCACACTGAGCACATGTGACAGACGTGACAGAGTCTGGAGACGCCGTGGAGAACGTTCTGCTGCCTGCAACATCCTCCAGCATGACCGGTTTGGCGGTGGGTCAGTCATGGTGTGGGGTGGCATTTCTTTGGGGGGCCGCACAGCCCTCCATGTGCTCGCCAGAGGTAGCCTGACTGCCATTAGGTACCGAGATGAGATCCTCAGACCCCTTGTGAGACCATATGCTGGTGCGGTTGGCCCTGGGTTCCTCCTAATGCAAGACAATGCTAGACCTCATGTGGCTGGAGTGTGTCAGCAGTTCCTGCAAGAGGAAGGCATTGATGCTATGGACTGGCCCGCCCGTTCCCCAGACCTGAATCCAATTGAGCACATCTGGGACATCATGTCTCGCTCCATCCAACAATGCCACGTTGCACCACAGACTGTCCAGGAGTTGGCGGATGCTTTAGTCCAGGTCTGGGAGGAGATCCCTCAGGAGACCATCCGCCACCTCATCAGGAGCATGCCCAGGTGTTGTAGGGAGGTCATACAGGCACGTGGAGGCCACACACACTACTGAGCCTCATTTTGACTTGTTTTAAGGACATTACATCATGATCCACAAGTTGGATCAGCCTGTAGTGTGGTTTTCCACTTTAATTTTGAGTGTGACTCCAAATCCAGACCTCCATGGGTTGATAAATTTGATTTCCAATGATAATTTTTGTGTGATTTTGTTGTCAGCACATTCAACTATGTAAAGGAAAAAGTATTTAATAAGATTATTTCATTCATTCAGATCTAGGATGTGTTGTTTAAGTGTTCCCTTTATTTTTTTGAGCAGTGTACTTATTATGGACACAGTATGCTTTACATTAGTTATCTTGTTGTTATTAGTTGTTGTTAGTTGATATTAGTCCCATCCTTCAGCTCCATTCAACACCTCCCATCTATCTCTTAACACCATTGTCACGTTCGTTGTATAAAGGATCGGACCGAGGTGCAGCGTGGTATGCGTACATGTTTAATTTATTATTACAAACAACAACAAAATAACGAAAGCAACTGAACGTGAAGTTCAAGAGGCTAAACATCAAACAAGGCAAACAGAATCAGAAACAAGATCCCACAACATAGGTAGGCAAAATGGCTGCCTAAGTGTGATCCCCAATCAGAGACAACGATCGACAGCTGCCTCTGATTGGGAATCACACCCAGCCAACATAGAAATAGAATAAACTATATTCTATCCAAATCACAAGACGACCTAACCAAACACAGAATACAGGTGATCTCTAAGGTCAGGGCGTGACAACCATCCATATTGGATTTCTATTTGCCATATATTTTTCAACTGTGCTGTGATGTTTCACAAAAGTTCGGAACCCTTCTATTCTCATTATTCTACAGATTGTAAATTGAAAATATTTTTTTTTGCTAAAAGTATTATTATATTATTGATCAATTGACTATGACTTTTCAGATCACCCAGTAGTGCTATCTGCAAGGTTAGCTCCAGGTAAATATTGCAATCCTTCAGCCATTCCTGGACCTGTGACCAAAAACAAGCTACAAATGGACAGTACCAAAACAAATTATCCAATGATTCTATCTCTTCGCAGCAAAATCTGCAGAGCTGGGTAGATTGTATCCCCTATATAAATAACATTATATTGGTAGCAAGAATTTTATATAATAATTTAAATAGAACAATTCTAAGTTTTGAATCCTTTTTGCGTATCAGTTCATAAACACTATGCCATGGGATCGGTACGTCAAAACTCTCTTCCCAACTATTTTGCAATCTATATGGGACGGCTGTCAATCCTTTGGTCCTTAAATGAAACTGGTATACTTTTTTATTTATCACAATTTTCTTTAACCAATTATGGTCTTTAATGCAGGGCCGACAGACAAGTTCCTTACTTTTTCCCCCTTCCACTTTCCTCTTCCATTTTTGCGGTAATGCTGCAATTATTTGGTTGTAATTTTGGGTCGAGCAGACATTTCCATATGATTTTGTTAATTGCATGTGCGACATAACTCCACCAGTCCTACCTATGTAATCATTTACGAAGATTATACCTTTTTTCCCCAAAATAATGTTTTTTTAATCAAATAGTTATTTGAGTTTAACCACAATATTTGTTGCATTATTTGTTCTGTCATTTCTGGAGGATTAAATTGAAATCGCAATCAACTTTCTATGGCTTGTTTTAGAAATAGTGACATTTGGGAGATGATTTCCTTTTCAAATAACTGAAAGTGAGAGGTTGTAATCTGAATAGACAATCTTATTAATTTGCTAGAGAACCAGTTCGGATTTAAGTATAACTTTTGTATGACTGAAGCTTTTAGAGATAGGTCTAATGCTTTAATATTTAATAATTTCTGTACTCTGAATTCATATTAATTATATAAATAGGCCCGTTTAATTTTGTCTGGCTTGCCGTTCCAAATAAAATTGAATATTTTTTTCTCATATAATAAAAAAAAAACTGTTCGCTAGGCGTAGGCAAGACCATAGGCATATAGGTAAACTGGGATAATACTAAAGAGTTAATCAGGGTGATTTTTCAACAAATAGACAGGTATTTACCTTTCCATGGTAGCAAGATCTTATCTACTTTTGCTAACTTTCTGTTAAAATGTATTGGAGTGAGATCATTTATTTCATTTGGGATATGTATTCCAAGTGTATCCACATCACCATCAGACCATTTTATTGGTAAACTACATGGTAATGTAAAAATTGTGTTTTTTAGTGATCCAATATGTAATATAATACATTTATCATAATTTGGTTGTAAAAATAATAATAATATGCCATTTAGCAGACGCTTTTATCCAAAGCGACTTACAGTCATGCGTGCATACATTTTTACGTATGGGTGGTCCCGGGGATCAAACCCACTACCCTGGCGTTACAAGCGCCATGCTCTACCAATTGAGCTACAGAGAGGTTAGAAAATATATCTAGATCCTCTATGAGGCTGTGGAGGGATTTAAGGTGTGGATTTAAAAGAAAACATGAATCATCAGCATACAATGACACCTTTATTTTTAAGCCCTGGATTTCTAATCCATTGATATTATTGTTGGATCTGATTTTAATAGCAAACATTTCGATGGCCAGAATAAATAGATATGCCGATAGTGGACAACCTAGTTTTACTCCTCTTGACAGTTTAAAACTTTCGAGAAATAGCCAATATTCACTATTTTACACCTAGGGTTACTATACATGATTTTAACCCATTTTATAAGAGATTCTCCAAAATTGAAATGCTCCAGGCATTTATATATAAACTCCAGTCGTACTTTATCAAATGCCTTTTCAAAGTCTGCTATGAATAGCAGGCCTGGTTTCCCAGATTTTTCATAGTGTTCTATTGTTTCCAGTACTTGCCTTATATTATCTCCAATGTATCGTCCATATAAATAACCTGTCTGATTAGAATGAATAATGTCCGACAATACCTTTTTAATTCTATGCGCTATACATTTAGCTAGAATTTTTGCATCACAACACTGAAGTGTAAGGGGCCTCCAATTTTTTGTATGGACTGGATCTTTATATTTCCGTGCATGTATCCTGTTTCAGTAGTAATGAAATCAGACCTTCTTCTTGAGTGTCTGATAATCTACCATTTACGTACTAGTGGTTAAAACATGCTAATAATGGTCCTCTGAGTATATCGGATCAAAATTACTGTTAATTAATATCATCACCCCTTTTGAGTTTCTTTGCCCATGGGAGAAGTATATTTCACCCCGCCTAGTCCTTTTCCCACACAACTTCATCTAGAATTGTTGAATGAGTTTCCTGTAAATAGTAGATATTATATTCCTTCTCTTTGAGCCATGTAAATATTGTTCTTCTTTTGTTATTATCTGCTAAGCTATTACAATTATAACTGGCTATACTTATTTCACCATACACCATAATGAGATATACATTTCAAGTCTATTTATCATTATATATGTTTGTAAATTTACCAATAAAAAATACCGTAATGATTGAGTGTCCATATAGCTGTACCGTGATATTTGCATTGCTACTAAGTAACCCCAATTGTTCTCCACTATTCCCCCCGCTAAAGCCCCTCCCCATCCCAAGTTGGGTTGTCATCCCAGTGATCGGCATACCACCCCCGTCCCCACGGATCCTTAGGCCCCCCGAGAGGCCATGACCCATCCTTCGAAAACAGCACACAGTGCCACCCACAAAACAGAAGCAGGTCAACCGCCAAAAGCATTTCCAATGCTCTCACCTCAATTTGCCCAACTCAAGAAAGGACCTGATTTACGAATGCATATACAGTTACAGCTGTTTGAGAAAGCATGCAAGATTTAGCAAAAATTGACAAAATTCTGAGATTTGATTATATATATATATATATATACAGTGGGGAGAACAAGTATTTGATACACTGCCGATTTTGCAGGTTTTCCTACTTACAAAACATGTAGAGGTCTGTAAATTTTATCATAGGTACACTTCAACTGTGAGAGACGGAATCTAAAACAAAAATCCCAAAAATCACATTGTATGATTTTTAAGTAATTCATTTGCATTTTATTGCATGACATAAGTATTTGATACATCAGAAAAGCAGAACTTAATATTTGGTACAGAAACCTTTCTTTGCAATTACAGAGATCATATGTTTCCTGTAGGTCTTGACCAGGTTTGCACACACTGCAGCAGGGATTTTGGCCAACTCCTCCATACAGACCTTCTCCAGATCCTTCAGGTTTCGGGGCTGTTGCTGGGCAATACGGACTTTCAGCTCCCTCCAAAGATGTTCTATTGGGTTCAGGTCTGGAGACTGGCTAGGCCACTCCAGGACCTTGAGATGCTTCTTACGGAGCCACTCCTTAGTTGCCCTGGCTGTGTGTTTTGGGTCGTTGTCATGCTCGAAGACCCAGCCACGACCCATCTTCAATGCTCTTACTGAGGGAAGGAGGTTGTTGGCCAAGATCTCGCGATACATGGCCCCATCCATCCTCCCCTCAATACGGTGCAGTCGTCCTGTCCCCTTTGCAGTAAAGCATCCCCAAAGAATGATGTTTCCACCTCCATGCTTCACGGTTGGGATGGTGTTCTTGAGGTTGTACTCATCCTTCTTCTTCCTCCAAACACGGCGAGTGGAGTTTAGACCAAAAAGCTCTATTTTTGTCTCATCAGACCACATGACCTTCTCCCATTCCTCCTTTGGATCATCCAGATGGTCATTGGCAAACTTCAGACGGGCCTGGACATGCGCTGGCTTGAGCAGGGGGACCTTGCGTGCGCTGCAGGATTTTAATCCATGACGGCGTAGTGTGTTACTAATGGTTATCTTTGAGACTGTGGTCCCAGCTCTCTTCAGGTCATTGACCAGGTCCTGCCGTGTAGTTCTGGGCTGATCCCTCACCTTCCTCATGATCATTGATGCCCCACGAGGTGAGATCTTGCATGGAGCCCCAGACCGAGGGTGATTGACCGTCATCTTGAACTTCTTCCATTTTCTAATAATTGCGCCAACAGTTGTTGCCTTCTCACCAAGCTGCTTGCCTATTGTCCTGTAGCCCATCTTAGCCTTGTGCAGGTCTACAATTTTATCCCTGATGTCCTTACACAGCTCTCTGGTCTTGGCCATTGTGGAGAGGTTGGAGTCTGTTTGATTGAGTGTGTGGACAGGTGTCTTTTATACAGGTAACAAGTTCAAACAGGTGCAGTTAATACAGGTAATGAGTGGAGAACAGGAGGGCTTCTTAAAGTAAAACTAACAGGTCTGTGAGAGCCGGAATTCTTACTGGTTGGTAGGTGATCAAATACTTATGTCATGCAATAAAATGCAAATTAATTACTTAAAAATCATCCAATGTGATTTTCTGGATTTTTGTTTTAGATTCCGTCTCTCACAGTTGAAGTGTACCTATGATAAAAATTACAGACCTCTACATGATTTGTAAGTAGGAAAACCTGCAAAATCGGCAGTGTATCAAATACTTATTCTCCCCACTGTGTATATATATATATATATATATATATATATATATATATATATATATATATATATATATATATATATATATATATATATAGCTATTAAAAATATTTATCTATTCAAATATCTTGCATATCTTAATTTCCATCATTATCAATTAATATGCATAATAATGTCGGCAGTTCATGTGAAGGATTGTTACCTATAACCCGGATTGCCATTGTATTACATTACATTTTTGTCAAGCAATTATTATTTTAGCAAACAATTATTGTGGTTCATCCTATATCTTCCCTAACATCCTTACCCCCTTACAAAATATGTGGGATACACACACACACACACACACACACACACACACACACACACACAACAACACACACACACACACACACACACACATACTCTTACACACTCAACCCCTTTCCTCCACAATCAACCATAAACTCAGATGCTCAACTGTTGTTACGTCCCAGAGCCCATCTCAAGAAAGGACCTGATTTACGAATGCATACAGTGAGGGAAAAAAGTATTTGATCCCCTGCTGATTTTGTACGTTTGCCCACTGACAAAGAAATGATCAGTCTATAATTTTAATGGTAGGTTTATTTGAACAGTGAGAGACAGAATAACAACAAAAAAGTCCAGAAAAACGCATGTCAAAAATGTTATAAATTGATTTGCATTTTAATGAGGGAAATAAGTATTTGACCCCCTCTCAATCAGAAAGATTTCTGGCTCCCAGGTGTCTTTTATACAGGTAACGAGCTGAGATTAGGAGCACACTCTTAAAGGGAGTGCTCCTAATCTCAGCTTGTTACCTGTATAAAAGACACCTGTCCACAGAAGCAATCAATCAATCAGATTCAAAACTCTCCACCATGGCCAAGACCAAAGAGCTCTCCAAGGATGTCAGGGACAAGATTGTAGACCTACACAAGGCTGGAATGGGCTACAAGACCATCGCCAAGCAGCTTGGTGAGAAGGTGACAACAGTTGGCGCGATTATTCGCAAATGGAAGAAACACAAAATAACTGTCAATCTCCCTCGGCCTGGGGCTCCATGCAAGATCTCACCTCGTGGAGTTGCAATGATAATGAGAACGGTGAGGAATCAGCCCAGAACTACACGGGAGGATCTTGTCAATGATCTAAAGGCAGCTGGGCCCATAGTCACCAAGAAAACAATTGGTAACACATTACGCCGTGAAGGACTGAAATCCTGCAGCGCCCGTAAGGTCCCCCTGCTCAAGGCACATATACAGGCCCATCTGAAGTTTGCCAATGAACATCTGAATGATTCAGAGGAGAACTGGGTGAAAGTGTTGTTGGCCACCAAGTACTAAGTAATGCTTTGCAGAGGGGTCAAATACTTATTTCCCTCATTAAAATGCAAAATCAATTTATAACATCTTTGACATGCGTTTTTCTGGATTTTGTTGTTGTTATTCTGTCTCTAACTGTTCAAATAAACCTACCATTAAAATTATAGACTGATCATGTCTTTGTTAGTGGGCAAACGTACAAAATCAGCAGGGGATCAAATACTTTTTTCCCTCACTGTATACAGTTACAGCTGTTTGAGAAAACATGCAAGATTTAGCAAAAATTGACAAAATTCTGAGATTTGATTAACCTATGTCAAGTCCTAGGTGATGGAGATCAGATCCACCCTCTTCCCCTGAAACACAAACACTCTGTTGGAACCATTTCCCCAAGCATCTCCGTGTAGTCAGATCTTTGATAATTTTGTGCCACCAGGGCCACAATAATATGCCCCCTCTATGATTGTCAGAGTGTGACCCCCTCCCAATGAGCTACTGCAGCCAGTGTTGCCAGCACTGCCACTACCTGGGTGGGGGTACCCCACCAGAATCCCCACCGGCTAGGTACAAGGTCGTCAAGGTTCTCATTAGCAGCTTTGAGAATTTCCTTGAATATTATGCTCTCCCATCAGGGGGCTCTGGCTTTGTAGGACCAACCCTGCCAGGCAGGCTCAGAATCTTGAGGGGATGGTGCTGCTTTATTAGGTCTCTGACGGCATTTATCTTTCTGTTTTGGCTACATATAGGCAACTTACCGCAGGGCCATAAAACAGATGGGGACTTCTCTTTGGTGTATGGGTCGCTCAGGTGGGTGTCTAGGATATAGGGTTGGGGATCGTTCCACCATGATAGGACAATAAAAAATAAATTAGATACTTTATTTTAAAATGTATATCCCTCATCTGCACAACATTGAAAGCCCTCTCTCACAACCCCTGCTCACAGACACACATTGGTTCTGGGATATGCAACCATTTCCATTCTCACTAATTTAACATCGCACTTTTCTAAACACAAAAACGCACACCACACCTTCCATCACAATACATCCACACATACCCACATACTGTGCCTTCTATGTCTTCTGTTTGCTATGTTTTTATCTCCACTATGTTGATTGAATACTTGTGTTCTAATTAGTTATATTTGAAGATGTATTATTTAGCTTGTTATCCTTTCTTGTAATGCCGTCTTATCCCTTCATAAAATACTATAAATACTATAAATGTGTTTTATTATTACAATCCCTACCATGGCTTGTATTGGGTGTTCCATTATTCGACTCTTCTAGTAGAACTTTCAGAATAGCCATGGGAGTAGTCTTTGTGTCGTGGAAAACATTTGGTTGTCAATATACAGTTTATCGACTACGAGAGCAACACGCTTCCCTTTTAATCTATTTTCCTTGAAGATTGGGTACAGAACTTTGCGCCGTTCTGCAATCTTCCTCGGGAACTGATCATTCATGCCTATTTTCGTACCAGCAAGTATTTTACCTAGGCTTTTAACCATTACTTTATCCTCAAAGAAAGCAAATTAGGCAACGATTGGACGCTCATATCTCTGTCCTCTTTGTCCGAAACGGTGTACACGTTCAAGTTGGATTTTATCGACAGCATCGAGTGGGATTTGAAACGCTGTAAGAAAGAAGTCCTTCACAATGTTTTCGGTAACCTTTCCTTCTTTTTCTTGGATACCCGTAAGTACTATATTTTCTCTCATCGATCCAGTCTGTCTGTCTAGTAAGGCTTCTCTCAGAATGTTGTTCTCCTTTTTAAGTTAATTAACGTCCGTTTCTATCTTAGTGACTGTCCCTTTTAGTTTTTTTGTATCTTTCTCCTTTATCGCAGCTTTTTCGTCACTCATTTCAAGACTCGCCTTCAACTCCTTTACATCCTTACTGACCAACTCTAGTATGCCCAGTTTGTCATTTAATGACTTCAACAGATCGCTTTCCACACTTACCAGTCCCAGTGGTGAAAAGCATAAATCATCTGTATCCGTTGAGGAGTCGCGTTTTCTCTTGGAGATTGACTCTCCTCATTTATCCTCAGTCATGTTTGAGTGTTGCTTGTTGTTGTAATATTTGTCGATACGTTTCTCTAGCCTTATGATTTGTTTTGTGTTATTATCCAGATTGAATGTTTTTACCCACGAGTATATGAAGTGCTAATATTTAGTCTAATATTACGTTTTTATCTTGAGGTGATTCGCACCACAATACTCAATTTGTTATTGTTACCCATCTACCAATCACTCCCCTTCTTTATGAGCTCCCTGGTGTTTGTAGTTGAATCTGTGCTTGAAATTCAATACTTGACTGAGGAACCTTACAGATATTGTATGTATGGGGGACAGAAGAAGGGTTAGTCATTTAAAAATCATGTCAACTCCTATATTTTTACACAGAGTGAGTCCATGTAACTTATTATGTGATTTAGGTTTGCCTAAATAAAGGGGCTGAGTACTTATGCAACGACTATGTTTTAGTTGTCAAATTTGTAATAATCTTAAAAAAATATAAAATTTTTCTTCCACTTTTACATTACAGAGTATTTTCAGTAGATTGTTGACAAAAAGTGACAATTAAATAAATGTTAATCCCACTTTGTAACAAAATAAAATATTAAGAAATCCAAGGGGTCTGAATACTTTTACAAGGCACTGTATGTTTGTCCTGTACAACTGCCGTCCTTCCGCGCGCGGTGTGCAGAAATTCATACTTTTAATAAAAACTTTGATCGAATGAACCACCAACTTATTTGTGTTACTCAACTTGAGACGTAGCAGCCTTGACGACTAAGCTGAGATTCAACTGGCACAAGCGCATTCGTGCGGAGTTGAGCAACACAGAGAGATCTGTCAAAAATAAGCTCAATGCTTTTCTATGGGCTTATTTTGGACCTTACCTTGTCGCCTGCCTTCCTGACTTTGGGACAACAACTCCCATTGTTAGGGCAGAGACATGAGCATCTCGTCCTTATATACAGATTTCTGACACAAGGAAAAAGTCAGTGGTTGTATTAGATAAAAGTATTTATTAAAAATATGAATTATAGCACACCGCAAAAGGGCCACAGTTGTACAGGACAAACATAGGTACAGGTAAGCGTTTTCAGAATTTAAATTTTTACAAATATCGACTGATGGTGACTCACTGTTGTTGCTAGAAAATCGCGCGACCAGATATCAATACTCACCACCACCTCGATATAAGTGAATGGAGTTGAGCGTTCCTCAGCTACATTAATACCAGCAATGTCTGAGACACTGTTGGGTTACGCTGTGAGGAGATTTTTTTGTGTGTGGACAGAGTCCTCATTTCTTTATGTGAGGAACAGCAGAGGATGCTGCCACCCTGAGATGAGAGTAGGGCTGATTACTGTAGCCTCCGCATGCTATATGGTGAAAAAACACAAACACACACTCACTTCACCTGTGACCCACACAGAAGTGCTTTGGGCCTGTGCACTTACACATAGTGGTCAAGAGGAAGGGGAAGAGGCAAAGAAAGAAAAACTATTCTGACTTTGACGAATCACTGTCCAATGACGGAGCATTTTCAACTGTGTTTTAGGGAGGGAGGGAGGAAGGGAGAGGTGGATGGACGGAGATCAGGGGCGACATGGGAGGCCAATGTTTTGGCGACATTGCCGTTGAGCTCTCCTGATCCCTGCTCTCTAATTCTGGATTCCCATGGTGGGCGGCGGTCCTGGGATCCCATCTATTATGCATGGCTGAGCTTTATTGCATTATGTTTTTTGGCTAACACACTTAGCAGGCTTGTAGCATGCAGTACACACATCCCCAGCCCACTCCACAAAGCCAGTGAATAATTCAGGGGAAGGCAGGCAGGGCATTAGGCTGGGGATGGAGGGCTTTAATCAAAGGCTCCAGCACCCGGCCCAGCCAGCCCCAACCAACCCAGCACACCCCCATTGGCAGTGTCACACTTCTGCCTGCCTGCTTTAAATAGGAAGTTGAGTTATGGGCCAGAGGCGGGCCTTCTAGAGCTGAGCCGTAAGCGACAGCCATATTTGACTGTAATTTAGGAATGCGATGCATACCGTAAATAGAGTCATCAATTATCACACTTTCTAGTTCTCTATGTAGAAAAACTCCACTGCAATCACATACTGTAGGCAACACTACCCATATTCATATCTGTAATCCAGATATACAGAATGATTCATGTGTGAATCAGAGCATGAGCATCAGAGCGTTTGTGTATCCTCAGAGCATGTGCAGACCAGCTGGCTTGAGTGTTTACGGACATATTCAATCTCTCCCTATCCCAGTCTGTTGTCCCGACTTGCTTCAAGGTGTCCACCATTGTTCCTGTACCCAAGAAAGTGAAGGTAACTGAAGTAAATGACTCACACCCCGTAGCACTCACTTCTGTCATCATGAAGTGCTTTGAGAAGCTAGTTAAGGATCATCACCTCCAGCTTATCTGACACCCTAGACCACAGGGGGTTGGTGGCATCTTAATTGGGGAGGACGGGCTTGTGGTAATGGCTGGAGCGGAATTAGTGAAATGGTATCAGATACATCAAACAAATTGCTTCCATGTGTTTGATGCCATTCCATTCACTCTGTTCCAGACATTATTATGAGCCATCCTCCCCCCAGCAGCCTCCACTGCCCTAGACCCACTCAATTTGCATACCGCCCCAACAGATCCACAGATGACGCAATCGCCAAAACACTGCACACTGCCCTATCCCATCTGGACAAGAGGAATACCTATGTAAGAATGCTGTTCATCAACTACAACTCAGCCTTCAACACCATAGTGCCCTCCAAGCTCATCACTAAGACTCGGGGTCCCGGGTCTGAACCCCGCCCCTGTGCAACTGGGTCTGGTACTTCCTGACGGGCCGACCCACAGGTTGCATCACCAACCACCTCTGCTACGTTGATCCTCAATACGGGGGATAGTGGTGACTATTTACAGTCTGTGGCCTGGAGATAGAAGCATTTTTAGTCTCTCCGGTCCCCCCAGCTTTGATGTACCGTGTACTGTCTCCGCCTTCTAGATGGTAGCTGGGTCGGTGAACAGGTCATGGATCGGGTTGAGGCCTTGATGATCTTCTTGAACTTCCTGTGGACACCAGGTGCTGTAGATATCCTGGAGGGAGGCATGTGGTGCCCCCGTTGAGCGTTAGGGTGATGCACACCCAACATCGGAGAGCACTGCTGTTGCAGATGTGGATTGCCGTACCAGGCGGTGATATAGCCCACAGATGCTTCAATGGTCATCTAGAAGTTGGAGTAGGTCTTAGGGGCCAAGTCAAATACTTTTTTCCACCATAACTTTGCAAATATAACATAAACAATCCTACAATGTGATTCCTGATTTTTGTTCCCTGATTTCTGTCATAGTTGAGTGTGACCTATGATGAAATTACACGGCCTTTTTAAATCTTTTTAGTGGGAGAAACTTGCACAACTTGGTGGTACTAAATTATTGTTTCCCCCACTTATATATATATATATATTTGTGTATTGTGTGTGTGTGTGTGTGTGTGTGTGTGTGTGTGTGTGTGTGTGTGTTGTGTAAAGTACCAGTCAAAAGTTTGGACACACCTACTCATTCAAGAGTGAGGAAAAGCAGCCAACAAGTGTGAAGGAAAAGCAGCCAACAAGTGCTCAGCATATGTGGGAACTCCTTCAAGACTGTTGGAAAAGCATTTCAGGTGAATCTGGTTGAGAGAATGCCAAGAGTGTGCAAAGCTGTCATCAAGGCAAAGGGTGGCTACTTTGAAGAATCTCAAATATAACATATATTTTGATTTGTTTAACACTTTGTGGGTTATTACATGATGTGTTATTTCATAGTTTTGATGTCTTCACTATTATTCTACAATGTAGAAAATAGTAAAAATAAAGAAAAACCCTTGTATGAGTAGGTGTGTCCAAACTTTTGACTGGTACTGTGTATATATATATATATATATATATATATTTACATTCCCTCTAACTCCCTTTCTCTGCATCCATCCCTGTTGTCTCTTCACAGCCAGGCTCCCTCTGGTGCTAATCCTGTGTGTAATGTTGTGGAGCTGCAAGGATTATGTTGTGCAGCTGCATGGTCTTGTTGAAAGTTCACTCATGCTTGATTCAGATAAATAACTGTTCCTAGCAGGCTAATAACAGGTCGTGAAGAGGGCACGACAATGCCTATTCCCCCTCAGGAGACTGAAAAGATTTGGCATGGGTCCTCATATCCTCAAAAAGTTCTAGAGCTGCACCATCGAGAGCAGCCTGACTGGTTGCATCACCGCCTGCTATGGCAACTGCTCTGCCTCCGACTGCAAGGCACTACAGAGGGTAGTGCGTACGGCCCAGTACATCACTGGGGCCAAGCTTCCTGCCATCCAGGACCTCTATACCAGGCGCGGTGTCAGAGGAAGGCCCTAAACATTGCCAAAGACTCCAGCCACCCTAGTCATAGACTGTTCTCTCTGCTACCCCCCCTCCCCCACTGACTGACTGCTATGTTCGATACTCATTAGTATTGATCAATGGATATGATAGACTGTCCTGTTACAGGCTGCTTAGCACTGTGAGGTGTCAGGTAGGGGAGGAGGAGGGGGTACTGTAGTGGAGGCCTGCTGTGGGGGGGTTTATCGGTGTTATGGCCCGTGAAGAGAGGACATGCCCAATGAAGCTTTACAGATAGGATACTGAACTTAACCTTGAGATGATCAAGATAAACATTGTCCCTCCTCCTCATCATCCCCCTGCTCTTTCCCTCTCTCTCTCTCTCTCTCTCTCTCTCTCTCTCTCTCTCTCTCTCTCTCTCTCTCTCTCTCTCTCTCTCTCTCTCATACTCGCTTGCCTCCTTCTCTCTCCTCTCTCTCTCTCTCTCTCTCTCTCTCTCTCTCTCTCTCTCTGAGCTGACTCCAGCTCCTCTGTGCCATGGCGGCGCATACGGCTGCAGAGACTGTATTAAATAATAAAATCCTCTCATTATGTTAGTGAAAACCTAAAGTTACAGTCTCGCTAAGTAGTTTCATAGAAGGAAATCAAAACTTCCCTTTCAAAGGAAATCATTACAGCTGGTGGTTCTTCTGGGGGCCAAGCAGCCAGCAGTGTTTACGCCTGATCATTACTATGGTGGAGCAATTACTCCTCAGCAACACTCCTAGTGTCATCCCCCCTCATGAGTATTAGGATAATGGCTGCCAACACTCCTAGTGTCATCCCCCTGTCTGTGTATGGTAGTAGAAGGTTGGAGGCCCTTGCAGTGAGGGGAGTGAAGAGAGAGAGGCATGTCCTCTGCATCAGCGCATGCAGAAGGCAGAAGAGCCTGAGAGAGACGTGTGCATTTTCATAAATGTCCGACTTTCCATCTCATCCCTCATGCCTCCAGGGATTCATCACGTTACATCATGCGCTTCTTGCTCAGCAGACATTCTGACTGAAACACCTTTCAAGTCAGACTGCTCTAAGAATACCAGAGGAGAGGTCTGTTGCGTAATGTGTCTGCAGAAAGAGCTTGTTCCATCTCCCCTCAATGGCCCGCACCTGATTATGTCTCCATCGACTATGCATCCATCATCGATTTCCCCTCTGAATAGAAACTGCATTGGGGCCTCAGAGAATTAGCAGGCCCTATGAATTTGGCCATGTGAAAATGGGAGACAGAAATATAATTTTTCTTAATGTTTACAGCAGATCAGGTTTTCATATGTTTTCAAAACATATTATTTCTACCTGGCAGGTCACAGCTGCAGACTGTGTGTATGTAATAATTTGGTGGGTACTTATATTTGTCCTATTTCACACATGTACAAGTGTGTACTAAAACACGTGTGAATTGGAAATGTGCTTTTTGTATATCCAAACTCTCCCTGAGAGAGTGGGGTCACGGCCAGCCATTATCAACGGCGACCCTGGAGCAATTAGTGTTAGGTGCCTTGCTCAAGGGCACATTGGCAGACTTTTCACCTTGTCAGCTGTGGGATTCAAACTAGCAACCTTTCAGTTACTGGCCCAACGCTCTAATCGCAAGGCTACCTGCGGCCATGCAAGCTGTGGGCATCCTTCTTGTGGTCAAAGTCGAGCTTGCGGTGGAACCAACCCCGAAACCTCATTTACCAACACCTGGTGTGTGTGTGTGAGAGTGTATGCATGCATGTGTGTGTGTGTGTGTGGGTGGGTGTGTACACAGGCATGTTTGTGCATGTGTGCATGCGTATCTGTGTGTGCCGTGGCCCATGTGGAAACATTTTTAGGCCTCGGGAGGGGTGTCTCTGGTGTCCCTGGTTACTTCTCTCTTCCTCTCTTCCTTCCCATTTATAATACAACACATCCACTCTTTACTCACCACCTTTACAGAGATCATGGCAAAAACCTGGCCTTCCATTTGAACCTTTGAGCCAGGTTGTCATACGAGTCATACAGAGATGACCCCAGGAGACCGTCAACACCTTTTCTCTCTCTGGGTTTTTTCAATTACAATTGACAGTGTCCAGTAGGGCCAAGAGCTCTACTAAGAAACAGACATGTACTGTAGAGACAAGCCCTCAGTGCTTTCCCATCCACTTCCAGGCTTGTCAGTGTCAGCACACTTGGCAGAGCTCCCTCAGCAGTGGGCTGGGTGGCAGGCAGGCCCTCGTCCCCGGCCCTCGGCGCACATGATTGATTTTCCTCAGCTCCTCATTGGAAACATGAAATCCCTCTTCTGTCACGTGTTAAGTATCAGTTGAGTGCCTCTGAGTGCGGTCACGATAACCGCCTTACGCTTTACATCGGCGCAGGATTAAGGGTCTGCCTAGGGACTCTCTCTGCAGGTCTATGGTACATCTCTGAGCTAGGCGGTGTTGGAGAGAAGTGGCTTAGTCGAGCATTTCTCTCTTAAAGGGCTATCCCCAGCTGTGTACCACGGCCTTCCTCTGCCTGTCTGCCAAGCAACACAACCAGCAGGGCAACCATGTTGCACTCATATCTCTGCCACCACCACATCCCTCTGCACTCATTTGCTGTGCTGTGGTTAGTGAATCAAGTACAGCTACTATACAGTTCTATTTTGACTCTGTTTACATCTGCTGTCTTATTAACCTGGCACACAACACCATCCTTTCTCCTTACCTTTCCTACAGTAACAGCAGGGGAGGCCAGGTTTAACACCTAATGAATGTGAATGGATACATTCAAGTCTTGTAAAGTCCTAAACCATTTACTTGTTTCACCTAGAGTATCGTTTTAAAACTGCGGCGTACGATTGGCCCAGCGTCGTCTAGGGTATGGGAGGGAATGGCCGGCAGGGTTGTAGCTCAGTTGGTAGAGCACGGCGCTTGTAACGCCAAGGTAGTGGGTTCGATCCCCGGGACCACCCATACACAAAAAACAATGTATGCACGCATGACTGTAAGTCGCTTTGGATAAAAGCGTCTGCTAAATGGCATATTATTATTATTATTATTTAAAAAAATGTATGCACTCACTAACTGTAAGTCGCTCTGGATAAGAGCGTCTGCTAAATGACTAAAATGTAAATGTAAATGATTAATCTTGGGTAATAGGATTTGGAAAGGGATTAAGATGAGATGAACATTAGGAATGTCCACAGCCAGGGAGGACACATTTTAGGAATGGTCTCATCTGATGCTTCATGGCCTCAGTCAGTCAGCGCTACATCCAAACAAAGGAGCTCTGCACCAAGCAACACAACATTATGTTGTGAGGAGACAGGGTGAGGAGTGGGCAGTGAGGTCGAGCTCTCAAAACAATCCCTCACTCTCCTGAAGACGTCCACTGTACACTAGCCCTCGGGACACTTTTTGCTCACTCAACAATTAAATGCACAGCATTGGGGGACAGTAACCTACCATTTCAAGAGGCTCACAAACGATTGCCTTCTCCTGCAACAAGACGCTGACAAAAGAGAGAGGAGCAGTGGCCTGTGGTCAAACAGAGAGAGGAGCAGTGGCCTGTGGTCAAACAGAGAGAGGAGCAGTGGCCTGTGGTCAAACAGAGAGAGGAGCAGTGGCCTGTGGTCAAACAGAGAGAGGAGCAGTGGCCTGTGGTCAAACAGAGAGAGGAGCAGTGGCCTGTGGTCAAACAGAGAGAGGAGCAGTGGCCTGTGGTTAAACAGAGAGAGGAGCAGTGGCCTGTGGTCAAACACAGAGAGGAGCAGCAGACACTTATTTTGCTGCACAGATCCTTTTCTCTTGTTTCAGTCTCATCTAAATGTTGAGAAGCACGTACCCAAATTCATTTAGAAATGAGCTCCTTCAGTCGAAACCTTGAGATAGATCAGTAGCCTTGAAAGGGACGCGTTTATGAATGATAAACACACTCACGCTCACAATGGAAGCGAGTGAGTGAGTGAGTGAGTGAGTGAGTGAGTGAGTGAGTGAGTGAGTGATGCACAGGCTCCCTCTCCTCTGTGAAATCTCCAAAGGCTGCTTGTCACAAAACAGTGACTGGAGCAGATATGATCATAACAGCAACGGCTGGCTCTATTTCAGACGTATCTGGCTGCATGGGTGTGCTGCGGCTACAATGATAATTGGATTTTCTTCAGTCAGTCAGTCAGTCAATCATGCCTCAGATCAGGATCCATCTCCTCTGATTGCTGTCTTTAGTTCCCCCTTCACAATGGCACGTGGTTAACAAGCACGATGTAGTCAGGCTCATATCTGAGGCCATTGAGGATGTTGACTGTGATATAATTCCACATTTCCCTCATCATTCACTAGCGGATGACAGCACTAATGCTATAGCTGCAGAATGAATCCAGCCAGCCAGCAGGAGATGGTACTGATTGATTGACTCAACCACATTATTATCATTATTATCCTGTACTGTTTTAGTCAATCTGTGCCAAAGCTAATGAGATAAGAGATGCAGTTGAAATGATTGCAAATGAAGGCCTTATAGTGTTTTGATTAAGTCATTCAGTATAAAGCAACAAATAAACAGCACTGTAAATGCTTTCTAATTCAATCATATTCGCTTCCTGCGGCTGCCTGCTAGGTTGATAACATCCTGATGTGAGTGTTAGGTTATGTTCTCTCTGTTGTGGTATGTGTTGCGGTTGGAAAGGGGCATGCTTGGAGGGGGAGCGACTCTGCACTCAGTCTGTAGACATGTCCCCTGAAGTCAGGGAAAGTGGCGGGGTTTGTGTATCACTGTGCTTCTCTCTCCCGATGTTCCTCCCTGTGTACGCTATGCCGGTTTTCTTTCCCTCATTTATTTTCTATTTTTTTCCTTTTCAATTATTGAGTACATCTGGCCGTGTTCTTGCTTCACAGAAACATGACTTCACTTTTACGGAGACATGAGTTGACAACAGGCCTGGGATTAGGACGGAGGACCTTTCTGAACCATACTGAACCATACTGAACAACACATTCTACTTGAATCACACTTGTTTTTGGATAGCACTATGAAATTCAGATCTGTCTCTCTCCAGCAGAGTACTGCGGTTATATGAGTATGTGCGTACATACATGTATGTTTGTCTGGGTGTGTGAGAGAGAGATGGGCCAGTATGTTACACTGTAGTGGATTGGGTGGATAAATGTGCTCCATTCACATGTGAGTGTAATCATACTGATTCCTCCGTTGATCTTAGCCAGATGTTAAATGAGGCTCCTCACTGGGATGGGGTAGGTGTGTGTTTTACTCTCCAGCTGTATCACACTCCACGGACCCATGTATGACATAACAAGGATGGACCGCTGACAGCAGGGAGACAGAGAGATGGACAATGAAGAGAGGCAGAACGACTGAGAGGAAGAAGGAGAGCAAACTAGAACAGAAGTTGGAGGGGGAAAAAATGTGATAGTGAGAGAGAGCGACACCATGAGTCAGTGTCCTGAGGGTAACCCTCTTCTCCCTCTCGCCCCCTCACTAATGCTGGGATCCTCTGTTCTTTTCTCTCCTCACATTATTACAGTCACTGTTCTGCTGACTGCTGCTAATCATGAACCTGAGAGGAGGAAGGTCATCTCTCCTCCCCTCCTCTCCTCCTCCCCTCCTCTCCTCCTCTCTTCCTCTCCTCCTCTCTTCCTCTCCTCCTCCCCTCCTCTCCTCCTCTCCTCCTCTCCTGTGCTCTTTGGCTCAGCAGGGGGGAGGGATGGAGGTAGCTTATGGTTGGTTAACTTTAATATGGATGCAGCTGTGACCCATGCTCTGCAAATACTGCAATAGGTTGAGGCTCTAGCCTATCCTAGGGCTTTGTACTCTATTAGATAGTTGCAGCTGCTGTAGCCTACACCCAGTGCTGGTTATATAAGTGTAGAGAATTCATTTACAGGGCTGGGGATGTGTGACGTGAGACGATAGCCTTTCCTACTCCTACACATGCTCAATCCAGACACCGTTTACTCTCTGAGTTGCAGCTTGACCCGCATCACACCTACAGCAAGAGAGAGAGAAAGAGAGAGGGAAGAAAATAAAGACAGAGCGAGCAAGAGAGAGAGAGGGCTCACGTTCCAGAGCTGCAAGGTTAGAAAGCAGTGGATGGATTGTGCCGTGGGGGCAGCGTGACAACTCAGTGGTGTGATGGTGGGTGCAGCGGTCATGCAGGTGTGTGACTGAGCACAGGGGATATGAACCACTGATGAACAGGACACCAACAGCCCGCCATTAATCACATGATGTAGTGTTGTGATTGGGCCTCACCGTGTTGTGGCATAGAGCTAGTTTATGTCTCACAGGGAGGAGCACCACAGTGTTACAGCCCGTTTCACAACACCCACCGTTATGCTAGTAAACGCCTTGAGGCCAGCAAAGAACTCAGCCATATGGAGGAAAGGAATGGATGTGTATGTTCTCTGTATTACACAAATTTGGGACTTATCTAGGAAAAGGCTTTTGGCCAAATGGAGAAGATGCCTGACGTGACGTGTAATGGTTTGTGGCGGTCAGGTACTAAACCTGTTGACACCCTGCCTTGTTAGGTGAATCTTCATTATGTGGCATTCAGATAACAGAATAAATGACCTCCCTGGAGAATTCCACATGCATGTGAGAGATGTGGAACAGAACGACAAGTCACCATAAGCTTCATAGCTGTCTCGTTTGGAAACAGACCAATTAGGTGACTGTGATATCTGTCTCTCTTTTACCCAGTGCCAGCTCTAAATTCCTGAGCCATGCTCTTCTCTGCATGATGCCAGTCAGATGCTGCCGTGTTTGATTTGTGTGGGTGTCTGTGTGTGTGCTTGCGAGCATCTTCTTGCCTCGGTAGCGAGGTGTTAGTGTAAGTGTGGAGGCTCTGAGTCAAGCCCCTCACCAGGGGAACCTGACTCGGCTCCGTCTGCTCCTCCTCTCTGCTGGTATCTGCCCTGAGATGCTACAGGCTCTACAGAGGATTACTGGATTGCTGATTCTAAAGAAAACCAAATAGATATTGAAGAATTCCTGGGGGTGACCTTCCACTTCAAATCAAATCAAATCTAATTGTATTTGTCACATGCGCTGAATACAACAGGTGTAGGTAGACCTTACAGTGAAATGCTTATTTACAAGCCATTCACCAACAATTCAGTTTTAAGAAAAATAAGTCTTAAGTAAAAAAAGGTAAGTAGAAAATAAAAATAAACAATAATTAAAGAGCAGCAGTAAAATAACAGTAGGGAGGCTATATACAGGGGGTACCGGTACAGAGTCAATGTGCGGGGGCACAGGTTGGTCGATGTAATTGAGGTAATATGTACATGTAGGTAGAGTTAAAGTGACTATGCATAGATAATAAACAGAGAGTAGCAGCAGTGTAAAATACGGGGTGGGGGGGACAATGCAAATAGTCCGGGTAGCCATTTGATTAACTGTTCAGGAGTCTTATGGCTTTGGGGTAGAAGCTGTTAAGAAGCCTTTTGGACCTAGACTTGGCGCTCCGGTACCGCTTGCCGTGCGGTAGCAGAGACAACAGTCTATGACTAGGGTGGCTGGAGTCTTTGACAATTCTTAGAGCCTTCCTCTGACACTGCCTGGTATAGAGGTCCTGGATGGCAGGAAGCTTGGCCCCAGTGATGTTCTGGGCCGTACGCACTACCCTCTGTAGTGCCTTGCAGTCGGAGGCCGAGCAGTTGCCATACCAGACGGGGATGCAACCAGTCAGGATGCTCTCTATGGTGCAGCTGTATAACTTTTTGAGGATTTTTGAGGATCATGCCAAGTATTTTCAGTCTCCTAAGGGGGAATAGGCTTTGTCGTGCCCTCTTCACGACTGTCTTGGTGTGTTTGGACCATGATAGTTTGTTGGTGATGTGGACACCAAGGAACTTGAAGCTCTCAACCTGCTCCACTACAGCCCTGTTGATGAGAATGGGGGCGTGCTCGGTCCTCTTCTTTTTCCTGTAGTCCACAATCATCTCCTTTGTCTTGATCACGTTGAGGGAGAGGTTGTTATCTTGGCACCACATGGCCAGGTCTCTGACCATCGTTGTCGGTGATCAGGCCTATCACTGTTGTGTCATTGGCAAACTTAATGATGGTGTTGGAGTCGTGCCTGGCCATGCAGTCATGGGTGAACAAGGAGTACAGGAGGGGACTGAGCATGCACCCCTGAAGGGCCCCCGTGTTTAGGATCAGCGTGGCAGATGTGTTGTTACCTACCCTTACCACCTAGGGGCGGCCCGTCAGGAAGTCCAGGATCCAGTTGCAGAGGGAGGTGTTTAGTCCCAGGGTCCTTAGCTTAGTGATAAGCTTTGAGGGCACTATGGTGTTGAACGCTGAGCTGTAGTCAATGAATAGCATTCTCACGTAGGTGTTCCTTTTGTCCAGGTGGGAAAGGGCAGTGTGGAGTGCAATAGAGATTGCATCATCTGTGGACCTGTTGGGGCGGGATGCAAATTGGAGTGGGACTAGGGTTTTGGGGATAATGGTGTTGATGTGAGCCATGACCAGCCTTTCAAACCACTTCATGGCTACAGACGTGAGTGCTACGGGTCGGTAGTCATTTAGGCAGGTTACCTTAGTGTTCTTGGGCACATGGACTATGGTGATCTGCTTGAAACATTGGTTGGTATTACAGACTCAGTCAGGGACAGGTTGAAAATGTCAGTGAAGACACTTGCCAGTTGGCAGCGCATGCCCGGAGTACACATCCTGGTAATCCATCTGGCCCTGCAGCCTTGTGAACGTTGACCTGTTTAAAGGTCTTACTCACATCAGCTACGGAGAGCGTGATCACACAGCCGTCCGGAACAGCTGATGCTCTCATGCATGCTTCAGTGTTGCTTGCCTCGAAGCGCGCATAGAAGTCATTTAGCTCGTCTGGTAGGCTCGTGTCACTGGGCAGCTTGCGGCTGTGCTTCCCTTTGTAGTCTGTAATAGTTTGCAAGCCCTGCCACATCCGACGAGCATCGCAGCCGGTGTAGTACGATTCAATCTTAGTCCTGTATTGACGCTTTGCCTGTTTGATGGTTCATCGGAGGGCATAGCGGGATTTCTTATAAGCATCCGGGTTAGAGTCCCGCTCCTTGGCAGCTCTACCCTTTAGCTCAGTGTGGATATTGCCTGTATTCCATGGCTTCTGGTTGGGGTATGTACATATGGTCACTGTGGGGATGACGTCATCGATGCACTTATTGATGAAGCCAGTGACTGATGTGGTGTACTCCTCAATGCCATTGGAAGAATCCCGGAACATATTCCAGTCTGTGCTAGCAAAACAGTGCTGTAGCTTAGCATCTGCGTCATCTGACCACTTCTTTATTGACCGAGTCACAGGTGCTTCCTGCTTCAGTTTTTGTTTGTAAGCAGGAATCAGGAGGATAGAGTTATGGTCAGATTTGCCAAATGGAGGATGAGGGAGAGCTTTGTACGCATCTCTGTGTGTAGCGTAAATGTGGTCTAGAGTTTTTTTCCTCTGGTTGCACATTTAACATGCTGTTAGAAATTAGGTAAAACGGATTTAAGTTTCCCTGCTTTAAAGTCCCCAGCCACTAGGAGCGCCGCCACTGGATGAGCGTTTTCCTGTTTGCTTGTTGCCTTATACAGCTCATTGAGTGCAGTCTTAGTGCCAGCATCGGTTTGTGGTGGTAAATAGACAGCTACGAAAAATATAGATGAAAACTCTCTTGGTAAATAGTGTGGTCTACAGCTTATCATGAGATACTCTACCTCAGCCGAGCAAAACCTTGAGACTTCCTTAATATTGGATTTCGTCCATCAGCTTTTGTTTACAAATATACAGACTGCCACCCCTTGTCTTGCCGGAAGCAGCTGTTCTATCTTGCCGATGCAGCGTATATCCCGCCAGCTTTATGTTATCCATGTCGTCGTTCAGCCACTACACGGTGAATCATAAGATATTACCATTTTTAATGTCCTGTTGGTAGGATATCCGTGATCTTAGTTTGTCTATTTTGTTATCCAATGATTGTACGTTGGCTAATAGGACTGATGGTAGAGGCAGATTACGCACTCGCCGTTGGATCCTTGCAAGGCACCCCGACCTACGTCCCCAATATCTCCATCTCTTTCTCATGCGAATGACGGGGATTTGGGCCTTGTCAGGTGTCTGAAGAAAATCTTTGTCCAGTACGAGGTGAGTAATCGCTGTCCAGAAGCTCTTTTCGGTCATAAGAGACGGTGGCAGAAACATTATGTACAAAAGAGGTTACAAATAACGCAAAGAAACACACACAATAGCACAATTGGTTAGGAGCCCATAAAACGGCAGCCAAAAACGGCAGCCATCTCCTTTGGCGCCATTGTAATATCTAATGCGGAAAGTGAAGCCTATGCAGCCTGAATGGAGAATGTTTTCTGAGTGACTCATTCATCTTTGTCAAAAGGGTGATGTGTACGCGGCAAGTGAAGTCAGACGCAGGACACAGAGAATCAGGATGACTACTTTACTGAATGCAAACGCACAAACAAAAGTCTCCAAAACACTGGAGGGAAAAAACACCCTGTGCGTAATGAGGCGAAATAGCTATGCCGAACATCAACGAGACAATACATAATAACACACAAAGGCCAAACGTAAAACAAGGGAACTTATATGCTACACAATCAACACTAATAAGCAACAGGTGTATAAAGTAGACAACACAAGACAAACACCGAAAACATCGATCGGCAGTAGCTAGTACTCCGGGGACAACGAACGCCGAAGCCTGCCCGAGCAAGGAGGAGGAGCAGCCTCGGCAGAATCCGTGACAATCTTTAACGAATTTGAGGATGAGAACGTAGTGTAATAAACATGTACAAAAATAGAGACTGACTGAAAAGCTGATAATCAAAGGAACCTATATTTTATTAATCATGCCCTGATTGAAATACCTGGAAATTATTCTGGTTCCCCTTGTTACTTCCAATAGCGTGTACGGGAATGGAAAGAGTCACTGTAGATAGATGTTAAGTACAGATACAGTTGACTGAGAAAGTGGTGGGAAGATGGAACACTGTGGAGTGGAGGAAATTGATAGGTACTGTGGCAGTACAGAGAGAGACAGAAAGAGACGGGTACAGAGAGTGGTGCTGGCTGCACTCACTAGAAATACCCCAGAATACAGGGCTGACTGGGTACAATGGAGGCCATTGAGTCCCCACCTCTAGAAGGAAAGCTAATACAATGGCTCTGTTATCTGTAAAGAGGAGGAATGAGACTCATCTCTGATGTGACAACCTCACTAACACCGCCTGACAGGACCGAGCAGGCCACAAAGACACCACTGTACAGCCATGGGGTTGGTGACATGGTTTTGTGTGTGTTTGTGCGTGTATGTGTGTATGTGTGTGTGCATGTGTGCTTGCGTGCAATCAGCAGGAGCCTCTCAATAAAATAGCACAGTAACACATTAATGATATAATATGTTTAATAATTCTGAGTCATAATCTAAGTACCATAAGTTATTTCACATTTTGCAGAAGGGATATACAGGTAACTGACAAAAGAAAGGAAACACTTGAGTAAATGAGGGATACAAAGTATATTGAAAGCAGGTGCTTCCACACAGGTGTGGTTCCTGAGTTAATTAAGCAATTAACATCTACCATGCTTAGGATCATGTATAAGAATGCACAGTTGCCCATTATTTTGGTTACCATGGCTAGAAGAGATCTTTGTGAATTTGAAAGAGGGGTCTCAAAGGAGCATGAGGGTTTAAATGGTGTGTGTGTGTCTGTGTGTGTGTGCGTGTCTCAGTCACCAGATCTCAACCCAATTGAACACTTATGGGAGATTATGGAGGGGTGTGTCATGGAAATTCTAGTCAATAATGAGGAGAGACAAGGTCAATAACCAATCAGGATATTACTTTATTCAAAACGTATTAAAAAGGGAGCAGGTCACAAAACACACACACATGAATATAGTTGAGTGTTGGGCCGAGAGCACTGACATACAAAGAATATAAAGATATTTTATAGCACGATACCCCCTCCTATTCTAAATAACAAACAGCAGATGTGTGGAATGGGTCAAAAGGTGAGACTTGATATATGAGAAAGGAGTATCCCCCAGCCAGATAGCATTTGCTGTGAAGACTGTTCTTATTGTACAGAAACCAGAGTTTGGCCCCTAAGACAAGGTTCCTCTCATCATTATCCATACCCGAGCCATCTCTCCTTGGTACCTTACATTACACAAACACCAACTCATTCTATGAAATGCAAGCTGTAGGTTTCATCACCAAACCATTCATAAATCAATTGTCAGCTCCAGATACTCCTATCTAGAGTAAAACCCATGTCCTTGACCACACACCTAGACTAGCTGCAGGAAGCTGGAGTAGAAACCATCCCTTTACAAAAACACAGCATTAGTAGAACAGAAATGTCTTACTATTTGTTAAGTATATAATTGTTAACTATTAATATTAAACAAAGCAGGTAAACATGTTACATGTACATTTTTCTCTCACAGGTGCTTAAGACATCAACAAAACACTAAATGATGGAAGAATGGTGTCACATCCCTCTAATAGAGTTCCAGACACTTGTACAATCTAAGCCAAGGCGCATTGAAGCTGTTCTGGTGGCTCGTGGTGGCCCAATGCCCTATTAAGACACGTTGTTGGTGTTTCCTTTATTTAGGCAGTTACCTCTAACTTATTCATTGCAAGCCATGACACAACTGGTCTAGATTGTGGCCTGGTATCAACTTTACCCTTTGAAGGATTTGATGTTATCATAGCCTTCTCAGTCTTCAGATAGATGTCACATAAAGCGTATGGGATGTATTTTAGACTTTTAGACTGTTTATATGGCCTGTTTCTTTGGCATTTCTCTGGGGGGAGGACTTGCATGGACAACAATCAAATTCAGGGACAGTTTGAGCTGGGGCTGCCAGATTGGGCCTCTATTCCCCTGTGTATTTCTGTCTGTGTGTCTTTGAGCCTGGACCAGCTGTGATTTGGCCCTATTTCAAATCAAAATCACATTTTATTTGTCACATGCTTCGTAAAACAACAGGTGTTGACTAACAGTGAAATGCGTACTTACACGTCCTTTTCCAACAATGCAGAGTTAAAGATAAGATACAAAATATAAAATAACAAGATAAATAGTGACACAAGGAATAAATACACAGTGAATAGCGAATAACAACAACAAGTAAAAATAATATGGCTATATACAGGGAGTACCAGTACAGAGTCGATGTGCTGGGGTACGAGGTAATTGAGGTAGCTATGTACATAGACAGTGGGGAGAACAAGTATTTGATACACTGCCGATTTTGCAGGTTTTCCTACTTACAAAGCATGTAGAGGTCTGTAATTTTTATCATAGGTACACTTCAACTGTGAGAGACGGAATCTAAAAAAAAAATCCAGAAAATCACATTGTATGATTTTTAAATAATTAATTTGCATTTTATTGCATGAAATAAGTATTTGATCACCTACCAACCAGTAAGAATTCCGGCTCTCACAGACCTGTTAGTTTTTCTTTAAGAAGCCCTCCTGTTCTCCACTCATTACCTGTATTAACTGCACCTGTTTGAACTCGTTACCTGTATAAAAGACACCTGTCCACGCACTCAATCAAACAGACTCCAACCTCTCCACAATGGCCAAGACCAGAGAGCTGTGTAAGGACATCAGGGATAAAATTGTAGACCTGCACAAGGCTGGGATGGGCTACAGGACAATAGGCAAGCAGCTTGGTGAGAAGGCAACAACTGTTGGCGCAATTATTAGAAAAGAAAAGTTCAAGATGACGGTCAATCACCCTCGGTCTGGGGCTCCATGCAAGATCTCACCTCGTGGGGCATCAATGATCATGAGGAAGGTGAGGGATCAGCCCAGAACTACACGGCAGGACCTGGTCAATGACCTGAAGAGAGCTGGGACCACAGTCTCAAAGAAAACCATTAGTAACACACTACGCCGTCATGGATTAAAATCCTGCAGCGCACGCAAGGTCCCCCTGCTCAAGCCAGCGCATGTCCAGGCCTGTCTGAAGTTTGCCAATGACCATCTGGATGATCCAGAGGAGGAATGGGAGAAGGTCATGTGGTCTGATGAGAAAAAATTGAGCTTTTTGGTCTAAACTCCACTCGCCGTGTTTGGAAGAAGAAGGATGAGTACAACCCGAAGAACACCATCCCAACCGTGAAGCATGGAGGTGGAAACATCATTCTTTGGGGATGCTTTTCTGCAAAGGGGACAGGATGACTGCACCGTATTGAGGGGAGGATGGATGGGGCCATGTATTGCGAGATCTTGGCCAACAACCTCCTTCCCTCAGTAAGAGCATTGAAGATGGGTCGTGGCTGGGTCTTCCAGCATGACAACGACCCGAAACACACAGCCAGGGCAACTAAGGAGTGGCTCCGTAAGAAGCATCTCAAGGTCCTGGAGTGGCCTAGCCAGTCTCCAGACCTGAACCCAATAGAACATCTTTGGAGGGAGCTGAAAGTCTGTATTGCCCAGCGACAGCCCCAAAACCTGAAGGATCTGGAGAAGGTCTGTATGGAGGAGTGGGCCAAAATCCCTGCTGCAGTGTGTGCAAACCTGGTCAAGACCTACAGGAAACGTATGATCTCTGTAATTGCAAACAAAGGTTTCTGTACCAAATATTAAGTTCTGCTTTTCTGATGTATCAAATACTTATGTCATGCAATAAAATGCAAATTAATTACTTTAAAATCATACAATGTGATTTTCTGGATATTTGTTTTAGATTCCGTCTCTCACAGTTGAAGTGTACCGATGATAAAAATGACAGACCTCTACATGCTTTGTAAGTAGGAAAACCTGCAAAATCGGCAGTGTATCAAATACTTGTTCTCCCCACTGTAGGTAGGGGTGACTAGGCAACAGGATAGATAATAGACTGAGCTGTAGCAGCAGCGTATGTGAAGCAGTAGCTGCAGCGTGTGTGTGTTTTTTGGCCTCAGTATGCATGTGTGTGCATATTCTGTGTGTGTGGGCGTATGTAGTGTGTGTGTATGTGTGTATGTGTGTGTTGGGGTGTCAGTATAAGTATGTGTGAGTGGGTGGGTAGAGTCCAGTGTGTGTGTGCATAGAGTCAGTGCAAGAGAGCTAGTTCAAAAAGGGGTCCGTGAGGTAGTCCGGGTAGCCATTTGATTAGCTATTTAGCAGTCTTGTTTAGCAGTCGTATGGCCTCTTTAGAGAGGAAGAGGGGACACACACAACTTTCATCCTGAAAAGCTTCCCCCTCCCTAAAACATGTAAAATGGAATGCAAAATAGGGCTTGATTTAATTTAAGGGTAACATCAATCTTTAGGGACAAAATATTTAGGGGTCAAACGAGTAATAGTTTTTGAAAAGTTTTAATTTTATGTTTTGTTACTGGAGTTAGATGGTGTTCCAATGACTTGCTCTGTCCTAACAGTTAGTTAAGTAGCCAAACATTACATTACCCATTCCACTACAAACAGTTCACTGAACAGCATCTTGCAACAATTTGTCATTTTGGTATATGTTGTATTTGGCCATTGTTTGATGAACAAGGAGATTAGAGACTTTATTCTACACTGAACAAAAATATAAACACAATATATAAAGTGTTGATCCCATGTTACATGATCTGAAATAAAAGATCGCTGACATTTTTCATACGCACAAAAGCTTATTTCTCTCAAATTTTGTGCACAAATTTGTTTACATCGCTGTTAGTGAGCATTTCTTTTTTGCCAAGATAATCCATCCACCTGACAGGTTTGGCATATCAAGAAGCTGGTTAAACAGCATGATCATTACACAGGTGCACCTTGTGCTGGGGACAATATAAGGCCAGTCTAACATGTGCAGTTTTGTCACACAACACAATGCCAAGATGTCTCAAGTTTTGAGGGAGTTTGCAATTGGCATGCTGACTTCAGGACTGTCCACCAGAGCTGTTGCCAGATAATGGAATGTTCATTTCTCTACCATAAGCCGCCTCCAACATCGTTTTAGAGAATTTGGCAGTACTACTACTGCAGGACTGTCCACCAGAGCTGTTGCCAGATAATGGAATGTTCATTTCTCTACCATAAGCCGCCTCCAACATCGTTTTAGAGAATTTGGCAGTACTTCCAATCGGCCCCACAACTGCAGACCATGTATATGGCGTTGTGTGGACAAGCGGTTTGCTGGTGTCAACGTTGTGAACAGAATGCCCCATGGCGGCGGTGGGGTTATGGTATGGGCAGGCATAAGTTACGGACAACAAACACAATTGCATTTTATCAATGACAATTTGAATGCACAGAGATACCATGACGAGATCCTGAGGCCCATTGTTGTGCCATTCATCCGCCACTATTACCTCATGTTTCAGCATGATAATGCACGGCCCCATGGCGCAAGGATCTGTACACAATTTCTGTAATCTGAAAATGTCCCAGTTCTTCCATGGCCTGCATACTCATCAGACATGTCACCCATTGAGCATGTTTGGAATGCTCTGGATTGACGCGTACGACAGAGTGTTCCAGTTCCCGCCAATATCCAGCAACTTCGCACAGCCATTGAAGAGGACTGGGACAACATTCCTCAACAGCCTGGTCAACTATGCAAAGGAGACTGACTGGTTTTCTGATCCTTTTTTAAAAAAGTTCCTAGGTGTCCATATCACCAACGAGGTATCATGGTCCAAACACACCAAGACAGTCGTGAAGAGGGCACGACAATGCCTATTCCCCCTCAGGAGACTGAAAAGATTTGACATGGGTCCTCAGATCCTCAAAAAGTTCTACAGCTGCACCATCGAGAGCATCCTGACTGGTTGCATCCCCGCCTGGTATGGTAACTGCTCGGCCTCCGACCGCAAGGCACTACAGAGGGTAGTGCGTACGGCCCAGTACATCACTGGGGCCAAGCTTCCTGCCATCCAGGACCTCTATACCAGGTGGTGTCAGAGGAAGGCCCTACAAATTGCCAAAGACTCCAGCCACCCTAGTCATAGACTGTTCTCTCTGCTACCACACGACAAGCGGTACCGGAGTGCCAAGTCTAGGTCCAAAAGGCTTCTTAACAGCTTCTACCCCCAAGCCATAAGATTCCTGAACAGCTAATGAAATGGCTACCCGGGCTATTTGCATTGACCCCCCCACCATTTTTACCCTGCTGCTACTCTCTGTTTATTATCTATGCATAGTCACTTTACCTCTACTACATGTACATATTACCTCAATTACCTCGATTAACCTGTGCCCCCGCACATTGACTCTGTACCGGTACCCCCTGTATATAGCCTTGTTTCTGTTATTTTATTGTTGCTCTTTAATTATTAGTTGTTTTTTTTCTTCAGTTTATTTAGTAAATACATCCTTAACACTTATTTTGTTTAAGGGCTTGTAAGTAAGCATTTCACTGTAAGGTCTACACCTGTCGGCGCGTGTGACAAATAACATTTGATTTGATTTGATGTTGCGTTTTTATTTTGGTTCAGTATATTAAACCCTACACTGCCTCCCCATTGTATCACCAGCTATATCTACTGTAGGGGGCTGTTCCTTTCTGAAAGGATGTATTAGTATTCAAAGCCATGTATACAGAGTTGTGTTAAGCAGAGTTTTGTCCGCCCGGCAGAGAGGAGAGAGGAGAGAGAGGGAACATGATGATTACTGAAGCTCAGCGCCAGTCGAGCCATTTCAATGCTACTTTTCCCCCCACTGTCAGCCAGGGGACGAGGCTCACATCCAAGACACTTAAAGATCTTGTCTCTTCTCTTTCCTCTCTCTCTCCTCTTCATCTTTTCCGACTCCCAGCAAACATTCACCTGCTTTCACAGGATGACTCTCAAGTTTCTGTCTCCTCTCAAACTTTGTGTGAACTTCCTCTGTTTTTACAAAGTCATTGGGGGGTTGGTTAGGAGAAGAGCTATCTCCTGAGAGTTTTCCGTTAAAACCTCTCACTCATATTTTTGCGTTGAGACTTCACAGTTCCTTTGAAATATAAGCTTTTGGCCTATTCTTGGTTGTCATTGTTGCAGTGAGTGTCTATCATTGTATGCATATTATATAAAACCTTTTGTTGTCCGTTTTATTGTGTAGATTAGGTGCCTTCACAGGAGTGACTGATGGAAAGGGAAGGCATATTTGTAAATAGGCCGTCATTGTAAATAAGAATTTGTTCTTAAGTGACTTGCCTAGTTTAATAAAGGTTAAATAAAATAAATAAATAAATTGTTTGACATCTAACCTCTTGACACTACCTAGTACACTTGCCCTGTAATAACACTGTGTGTTTCTGTCTGCTCAGGGAAGGTTTTGAACACAGACCTGCGCCACTACCTTAGCCTGCAGTTCCAGAAGGGCTCGTTGGACCACAAGCTGCAGCAGGTCATCCGGGACAACCTCTACCTGCGCACCATCCCCTGTAAGTCTCCTCAACCTCTGCTCCTAGGCTGTGTCTGAAATGGCACCCTATCTCCTAGTGCACTACTTTTAACCAGAGCCCAATGCAGGCCATGGTCAAATGTAGTGCACTAGAGGGGATAGGGTGACATTTCAGACGCACCCCTCACACCACCCCTCACACGCACCCCTCACACCACACACTTCACAGAGCCAGGTCTCGCACACACACCTAAAGCTCGCCATGACAGCAAAAACTTAAAAATCCTTATAAGCCCAGATGTTGCTCCAAATTTCAGTCTGTGATTGTGGTCTTTTATACGAAAGCTTTTACTCTGAGTGGTGCAAGATGTGTGTTATTGAAACAATCAATCTGCAAATGACCTTCAATCTGAATTACTTTCAATCTGAATTACCTTCAATCAGAATTACTTTCAATCTGAATTACTTTCAATTTGCATTAACTTCAGTCTGAATTACCTTTAGAGCCGTCAGTTAAGAGTAGATAGAGGTGTTATCCTCTCCTCAATGGTCATAATAGCTGTGTGCTTAGAGTAGGAAAGGAATGTGGTTCTGATAAAAGACAGAATGAACATGCTGGATAACAGAGACCTTATCTCCAAATGATGTAGTAATTATGTCATTATTAACACACATTAAGTGACAACATTTAGAGCATAATTTTTACCGTTTGATTTTTCCAAAGAAGGACAATCTGTAATAAGAACAGTAACATGTTTGAGCATACTTAAAGTTTTAGTCACACACAGTCCCACTGTTCCTCAGGCTATGGCAGACAGTTCTGCAGGGCACTGTCACAAATGCACAGCGAGAGGCTCCCTGCTCTTTTCTGGGAAGTAAGCCACCTACCTCTCATGTATATTTACATTTCTGGAGAGGAGGAATATTTCTCCCACTATCAATCAATCCCTTCTCCCAACCACTTTTCGATCATATGTGAGTTGAAGATTTCTGCCTTCTCTTGGGCAGTCAACGTACACCTGTTTGTGCCTGACAGTTTCTGTTTCCAGTCTGTGCTCCTAGTTTGTATTCTTCCTTGGTCTTTCTTACTTTACCTGGCAGAGTGAAAACTATTCTTTCTCACTTTAAAGGTTGAGTTAGTCAGTGCATCATTCTGGCAGTGCTGAATGTTTTATGTTGTGCTGTAATTGAGTTTACTGTGTCTCTCTGTTGGTGTGTTGTTCTCCAGAGGCTAACCTGTCAGATCTCTCAGGGGACGGTCACCGCTCCTTAGAACTCATCTCATGGCTATATGGGATTTTAAAGACTTATTTGGGGATGGCGACAATGGTTACTTGCAGAATTAAATGACTATTTCAGGGATCTACTCTTCTTCCTCCACACGTTTACAGTGCCTTGTTTTATATTTCTCCCAGTCCTACAGTTAAGGTGCTAGATCACAGAGCTGCAATCCACCATCCATCAGCTACAGTGGCCTCACCGCATGACTGTGACTCCATAATTCCCTCTCTGAATTACTGTCTTAATGAGTGAGTGACTGAGACAGAAAGACTGAATGACTCTCCATCATTCACCCTCCCTTTCTCTCTCCGTCTTTTACCCCCTTTCCGTCTCTCTGTTTCTGGCATTCTTGCCTTCCATATCTCTCTTTCATTCACTCCCTCTCTATTCCTCTCTCCTCTCTCTCTCTCTCTCTCTCTCTCTCTCTCTCTCTCGCTCTGTCTCTCTCTCTCTCTCTCTTTCTCTCTCTCTCAATATCCCTCCCACATGTGAGTTAGTAATACATTACGTCTGGATCAGAAGTCTTCAGTTGATAGAAAATATCACTCTGAATCTTTTTGAAATCAATACGCTGAGATGAATAAAAGTCAGAGATCAACAAGCCTCACTCAAACATGCATTTGATTAATGTCTATACATCCAGCATCTAAAATACACTGCTACCACACAAACCAACATACCTTTTGTGTTGGTTTGTGTGATGGTAGTATATGTGGTGTACTCCCATGTCACTGTGCCAATGACCTAGTTCCACAGCTCTAAGTGCTGTTGGTCAGAAACATCTATAAATATGTCCTTTGCATGTGTGTAGTACACAATCCTGGAAGGCCATGCTGTCCTTGTGCTTTTGAGAGCTTTCTAGCACTTTGGGCCGATAATAAAGATGATGCTCTGTTATAAAACCCAAACGTCAGCCACTCCCCTTGGCGTGACCAGGGCACAGCAGTATTATGGGCTCTGTGAGGGCCATGAAATATGGGACAATCAGGAGGGGAGAGAGAGATAGAGGGAGAGTGATAAAGGGAGAGAGAGAGAGAAAGAGAGAAAAAGTGCTCACAGGACCTTACTGCATGCCGTGGTAATCCCTGAGTCTCCTTCATTGGGCCTCAGATTGCCTCAGACTGCCTCAGGCTGCCTCAGACTGCCTCCACATCCTCCAATATAACAAAGGTGCAGCAGGAAGCTCTTAAGAGCTCATAAGAGGACAAAGAGAGGAAGCAGTATCCGAGAGGGAAAAGGGCCCTGGGTCGCACTCAGTCCCAGGACGACTTCCTTTCCCTGAGGAGACACAGCCTCCTGACCCCCCCTCCCCTCTCAGCTGCACTCTCTTTCTCTGCTAGCTTATATTGACTTGGTGAGAAGGGAGTGCAGTACTGCACCCCGCCAGTGTGTGACATCAGTTAGGCTGTCGAAAGGCAACTGGCACTCCTGATTGATCTCTTGGTGACGTAAAACCATTGAGTTCAGTTTTTGGCATGAATATAGTTCAGTGCCACACAAAAGTAGGTTTGACATTTTATTCTGAGATCTTTGTAAGAGACATGCCATGGCCTTGAATTACATGATCTTCCTGAATTTGGGCTTTCACATAATACCCTACTGGGCATAGACGTCAATTCAACATCTATTCCACGTTGGTTCAACGTAATTTAATTGAAATGACGTGGAAAAAACGTTAAGTCAACCAGTGTGTGCCCAGTGGGACAGTTCTTGAATATGCTCTTTAAAATTCCTGCACACATATATTTTGTATATATAACCCATTTTCTAGCATTAAACAAAGCTGATGCTTGAAGTCAGGCATTACTGAGACATCAGAAGTTCAGTGTCTCTTCTTCAAAGTAAATGCTATTGCCACAAAATAACTGAGGCTCCTCGTTTTTGCAATACTTTTTTCCCAGTGGCATTTTCAAGTGCCAAGATGAAACAACGCAAAAAAATTCCATGTTATATTTCTGGTCCTCTTTTTCTGAGTGAAACCGTCTCTGATGTCCCTGCTGTGGTGTGCGTCTTTGTTTGTGGCTGTGGCATCCATGCAAGCCAGGTCTTAAAAAAGTAGGACCGCAGTATATGAAAGGGAGAGATTATGAAAGACTTGATGGAGTGCCAATTTGGGTCCAAGGTAGACACATGTTCATGCATTCTCATTATCTCTCTCACACACACATACTGTGTAAACACACACACACAGAGGCACACACACACACACACACACACACACACACACACACATTGCCAAGAGTTACACTGTTGAGGGAGAGGTGTTTGCTTCCGATGAATGTTAGCATGTGAATCAAGATTATTATAATAAACAAAAACTGAAACGAAAATTTAAAACTAATCATGAAAAAACAATTTTACAAACTGAAATAAAATAATTAAACCCCTAAACTTTAGGCAAAAATCTAATGGGGTTTTCAATCGGGTTTTCAAGCTATTTATTTTTCTTCTAATGGGGTTTTCAAGTTTCTGAATCTGGCAGGTAAATGCTGCCAGATAATGGCGATGTTTCAAATAGGCCTAGTTTGTGAATCACTGTCACTAATTATCACTTGCTAACAGGGTAGAAATCTGATACTGTAGGTAGCTAGCCTAGCCAAAAGGCGAGCACGGACCGTGAACTATGGCGACAGCAAATCCGGTTGAGAGTTTCCTTTCAAATCAAATGTTATTTGTCATGTACACAGTTTACAGCATGTATAAAAGGTGCAGCAAAATACTTGTGTGCCAGCTCCCTCAACATTGCAGTACAATAATCAAGAGTAAAAAAAAAAAGTAATAGAAGAGGTAGTAATAGCATAGTATTGGCATAGTAATAGCCTGATATGTACACAATAGGATATACAGTATAGAAAATGAATTGCTATGTCAAGTACAGTGAGGGAAAAAAGTATTTGATCCCCTGCTGATTTTGTACGTTTGCCCACTGACAAAGACATGATCAGTCTATAATTTTAATGGTAGGTTTATTTGAACAGTGAGAGACAGAATAACAACAAAAAAATCCAGAAAAACGCATGTCAAAAATGTTTTAAATTGATTTGCATTTGAATGAGGGAAATAATTATTTGACCCCTCTGCAAAACATGACTTAGTACTTGGTGGCAAAACCCTTGTTGGCAATCACAGAGGTCAGACGTTTCTTGTAGTTGGCCACCAGGTTTGCACACATCTCAGGAGGGATTTTGTCCCACTCCTCTTTGCAGATCTTCTCCAAGTCATTAAGGTTTCGAGGCTGACGTTTGGCAACTCAAACCTTCAGCTCCCTCTACAGATTTTCTATGGGATTAAGGTCTGGAGACTGGCTAGGCCACTCCAGGACCTTAATGTGCTTCTTCTTGAGCCACTCCTTTGTTGCCTTGGCAGTGTGTTTTGGGTCATTGTCATGCTGGAATACCCATCCACGACCCATTTTCAATGCCCTGGCTGAGGGAAGGAGGTTCTCACCCAAGATTTGACGGTACATGGCCCCGTCCATCGTCCCTTTGATGCGGTGAAGTTGTCCTGTCCCCTTAGCAGAAAAACACCCCCAAAGCATAATGTTTCCAGCTCCATGTTTGACGGTGGGGATGGTGTTCTTGGCAGCATACCTCCTCCTCCAAACACGGCGAGTTGAGTTGATGCCAAAGAGCTCGATTTTGGTCTCATCTGACCACAACACTTTCACCCAGTTCTCCTCTGAATCATTCAGATATTCATTGGCTAACTTCAGACGGGCCTGTATATGTGCTTTCTTGAGCAGGGGGACCTTGCGGGCGCTGCAGGATTTCAGTCCTTCACGGCGTAGTGTGTTGCCAATTGTTTTCTTGGTGACTATGGTCCCAGCTGCCTTGAGATCATTGACAAGATCCTCCCGTGTAGTTCTGAGCTGATTCCTCACCGTTCTCATGATCATTGCAACACCACGAGGTGAGATCTTGCATGGAGCCCCAGGCCGAGATGGATTTACAGTTCATTTGTGTTTCTTCCATTTGCGAATAATCGCACCAACTGTTGTCACCTTCTCACCAAGCTGCTTGGCGATGGTCTTGTAGCCCATTCCAGCCTTGTGTAGGTCTACAATTTTGTCCCTGACATCCTTGGAGAGCTCTTTGGTCTTGGCCATGGTGGAGAGTTTTGAATCTGATTGATTGATTGCTTCTGTGGACAGGTGTCTTTTATACAGGTAACAAACTGAGATTAGGAGCACTCCCTTTAAGAGTGTGCTCCTAATATCAGCTCGTTACCTGTATAAAAGACACCTGGGAGCCAGAAATCTTTCTGATTGAGAGGGGGTCAAATACTTATTTCCCTCATTAAAATGCTCATCAATTTTTTACATTTTTGACATGTGTTTTTCTGGATTTTTTTGTTGTTATTCTGTCTCTCACTGTTGAAATAAACCTACCATTAAAATTATAGACTGATCATTTCTTTGTCAGTGGGCAAACGTACAAAATCAGCTGGGGATCAAATACTTTTTTGACTCACTGTATTTACAAATATAAAGTGGGTACTAGTAGTGTCTTGGTCGCGCAGTTGAATAAATAGTATATAATAGAACAGCAACGTTGACTGTGGTTCTGTGTGTGTGTGTGTGTCAGTGGAGGCTGGTGGGAGGAGCTATAGGAGGTTGGGCTCATTGTAATGGCTGGAATGGAATAAATGGAACAGAGTCAAACATGTGGTTTCCATATGTTTGATACCGTTCCATTTATTCCATTCCAGCCATTACAATAGCTCCTCCAACCAGCCTCCTCTGCTGTGTATGTGTGTGTGTGTGTGTGTGTTTGTGTTTGTGTGTGTGTGTGTGTGTGTGTGTGTGTACGTGTGTGTGTGTGTGTGTGTTTGTTTATGGGTGGTTGTGTGTGTGTGTGCTTGTGTTGGATGTGTGGAGAGTCAGTGCAAATAGTCTCTAAGGTGCAGATAGTCTCTAAGGTGCAAATAGTCACTAAGGTGCAGGTCTGTGCAGGGAGACAGCTAGGGTTAGCTGTTCAGCAGTTATGGCCTAATTGTAGAAGCTATCGCGAAGCCTGTTGTAGGGCCATATAAAATCTGTTGTATTTTTTTGCCTGATTCCGTTAATTATTTTCCCAAATTCGTTTTTCTCTTTTTTGTTGTTCAAGGTTTTTGCTCTCAAAATCACACTTTTTAATTAGAAAACAACTAAATTGGATGTTCTAAATCCTCAACAATGCTTAAACCACATCAGGAGACCACTTTTGAGGTCTGGGTGTAGTGACCCTTAATTCAGAGACTGTTGTTTGGTTAGCGATGTTTCTGTAGCACTCATGTGATTGCAGTGTTTGCAAAACAAATGGCCACTGTATTGATGAAAATAATCATGATATCATTATGCCAGGTAGGCATGGGCTACTTTGTAGTTAGCATTTCATTGAGAAGGTTTTTGGGGACCTTTCCCTCTACTAGAAGACGGTTGTCATTACATTAGCATCATCGCTAACTGCTACACAAAGTTGTAGACAAACACACACACACAGACAGGGGCATTCCTGTGCCATTGTCTCTTCAGAAGGTTGAAGGAAAATACGAATCACTGATGCATTTTGTTCATGTCTTATAATAATCTTGGGCAAATTTAATGAATTTTCGAATAAGTTCAATGCATTTTTGAACATTGTTGAATTCCATTCTAATGTCTGGATTTCATGATTCTGTCTGCGTTCTCCACAACGTAGATTTTATAGTGCCCTACTGTTGGTCCGAGACCAGTTGCTCCGATACCGTTTGCCAGATGTTAACAGAGTGAACAGTCCGTGGCTTGGGTGACTGGAGTCCTTGGTGGTCTTCCGGGCCTTCCTCAAACACCGCCTGGTGTAGATAGATGTCCTGGAGGGCAGGGAGCTATGTCCCAGTGATGTATTGGACCGTCCGCACCACCCTCTGTACAGCCTTGCGGTTGTGGGCGGTGCAGCTGTAGAACTTTTTGAGGATCTGAGGGCCCATGCCAAATTTCTTCAGTCGCTTGAGGTTGAAGAGGCGCTGTTGTGTAATTGCTCCATGTGTGATTGGTCAAAAGCGCTAATCCTTTAAAATCCAAGTCACATTGAGATTGACGAACAGTAGGGCACTATAAAATCAAGTAGATACTCAGCACCCTCAAAGCAAAGCACAGTTCATCCTCATGTTTCCCTCAAGAGGTTGACAATGGAATAATCACAGTAGCAGTATATTGGTGTGACATCTAAATGATGCTGCAGGCGAGATAGAGGCTTGGCAGGTAGCGGTACACTCAGTAATTGGCCTATGGGGGACATTTTCAGGGACCAAAGCTGGCATAAGAAGACAGAAACAGCCATCCTGTTAATGAGAGAATGCTGTGAACCCCCTAATGCTCATATCACCATGTCCTTTTCTTTGATCTATCTGTGATACTAGTGAGCACTAAATAGGCACTCCCTCCATATGTTTCCTACCTTTTGCATCAGTGTGCATGGGCTCATTCTGTTGTTCAATTGTTGTTGCATTCTCATATGCTCATGTTTGTGTTTGTTTGTGTGATTGACAGGCACCACTCGGCTGCCCAGAGAAGGGGAGGTGCCCGGGGTGGACTACAACTTCATCAGCGTGGGAGACTTCCGTATCCTGGAGGAGAGTGGTCTTTTGCTGGAGAGTGGAACCTATGATGGTAAGGACTCACTAAGGAAGCGTTCAATAATTGATTAATAAACTTAGTCAGTTGTTAAATGAGTGACAGCTGGCAATAGTGAATTGCATTGGCCAAGGCTAAATAGATTTATCAGGGAAACATTATTAAGAGGCTTGTTAGAACTGAAACCTTCGATCACAAGGATGCAAGGATACTCAAGAGCCCTTGAGCTGCTCTAACCATTAAGAGCTCTTTTAATATGTAGAGCAGCAATGTGCTGATGGGCTGCCCCACCTGATCACGACCCTCAGTAGATCCTCTGTAGATGTTTTAACCTGCTGAACCGCATCTGGCCAGCTGGCTCCACTACTGCAGAGGCAGAGGAGAAGCTATCTATGGTTTATGTATTGATGGCCCTCTCCACCTATGCTTCCAAAAACTACTGGCAGCTACCAGATCTCTTTATGTGGCCTTCCATCCTTACAGTATCCTCTCAGACAAAAGAGGTGTCCTCCTCTTTATAAGGGAAAATCAGTTTAGTTTTTGCATTGGTGATGACACACTGAACTTGGCTCTTGTGTGAACTCCTGTAAGTAACCACAGCAAACGTTGTTATAGCAGCGGATGACAGTTCATACATAGGAAAATACATATACAGTATATGACACAAGAATGGCTGTTTATGGGTTTTCCTGCTATCGTATGTAGTCCCTCACAGTTGAATTAGTTATTATCAGTTTTTTTACTTTTTAATAACACTTCAATGGTACATTAAGTACTCAACCTGCATTATGGGGTTGAATAGTCTCAGAGTATTAATGTCATGAAGGGATTGGAGCCAGGGATTTTTCTCACGTTGTCCGATGATTATGGCAATAACATGATAATCTCTTCTCTTTAAGCTCAGTCTTTCATACACCAAATCCCAGCTGCCTGCTGTGGAATCAGAATGGAATGGACTAAGTCTTTGAATGTTAGAGGAGCACCTCTGGTCTAATGATTGGCCCATATCACACACTCTCCAGTGTCTCTTCTATTGCCTCGCGTTCATATTCCCTGTGATCGAGAGTTTAAAAATGAAGTAAAATCATTTTCTGGAGTAAGAGTCTTACCAACCAGCAGCACAGGGTCTATGAAGGAGCTTGGCACTGGCAGGTCCTGACTGTTGACAGTTTCAAGTTCAAGTTTCATGCACAACTACAGTGAAATGCCTTTCTTGCAAACTCAAAACCCAATAATGCAATAATCAATAACAATGTACAGTATTACTAGAAAAAAACTAGAATAAGAAATATGAAATACACAATAAAGTAAGTAAGGAAGCATACTATATACAAGAAATATACAGTTCCAATACTATATTTACAATGTGCAGGGATATTGGAGTGATGGAGGTAGATACAGTGCATTTGGAAAGTATTCAGACTTTTTCCACATTTTGTTATGTTACAGCCTTATTCTAAAATGGAATCAATACAAAAGTATCATTAATCTACACACAATACCCCATAATGACAAAGCAAAAACAGGTTTTTAGAAATGTGTGCAAATGTATAAAAAATAAAAAACGGAAATACATTATTTACATAAGTATTCAGACCCTTTGCTATGAGACTTGAAATTGAACTCAGGTGCACCCTGTTTCCATTGATCATCCTTCAGCTGGTTCTACAACTTGATTGAAGTCCACCTGTGGTAAATTCAATTGATTGGACATGATTTGGTAAGGCACACCCCTGTCTATATAAAGTCCCACAGTTGACAGTGCATGTCAGAGCAAAAACCAAGCCATAAGGTCTAAGGAATTGTCCGTAGAACTCTGAGAGAGGATTGTGTCGAGGCACAGATCTGGGGAAAGGTACAAACATTTATGCAGCATTGAAGGTCCCCAAGAAAACAGTGGCCTCCATCATTCTTAAATGGAAGAAGTTTGGAACCACCAAGGCTCTTCCTAGAGGTGGCCGCCCAGCCAAACAGAGCAATCGGGGGAGAGGGGCCTTGGTCAGGGAGGTGACCAAGAACCCGATGGTCAATCTGACAGAGCTCCAGAGTTCCTCCGTGGAGATGGGAGAACCTTCCAGAAGGATAACCATCTCTGCAGTATTCTACCAATCAGGCCTTTATGATAGAGCCAGATGGAAGCCACTCCTCAGTAAAAGGCACATGACAGCCCGCTTGGAGTTTGCCAAAAGGCACCTAAAGGACTCTCAGACCATGAGAAACAAGATTCTCTGGTCTGATGAAACCAAGATTGAACTCCTTGGCCTGATTGCCAAGCGTCACGTCTGGAGGAAATCTGGCACCATCCCTAGGGTGAAGCCTGGTGGTGGCAGCATCATGCTGTGGGGATGTTTTTCAGCGGCAGGGACTGGGAGACCCGTCAGGATCAAGGGAAAGATGAACAGAGCAAAGTACAGAGAGATCCTTGATGAAAACCTGCTCCGGAGCGGTTCACCTTCCAACAGGACAACGACCCTAAGCACACAGCCAAGACAACGCAGGAGTGGCTTCGGAACAAGTCTCTGAATGTCCTTGAGTGGCCCAGCAAGAGGCCGGACTTGAATCCGATCAAACATTTCTGGAGAGACCTGAAAATAGCTGTGCAGCGACGCTCTCCATCCAACCTGACAGAGCTTGAGAGGATCTGCAGAGAAGAATGAGAGAAACTCCCCAAATACAGTTGTGCCAAGCTTGTAGTGTCATACCCAAGAAGATTCGAGGCTGTAATCGCTGCCAAAGGTGCTTCAAGAAAGTACTGAGTAAAGGGTCTGAATACTTATGTAAATTTGATATTTTCATTTTTTGTGTGTTATTTTTTGCACAAATTACTAAAAACCTGTTTTTGCTTTGTCATTATGGGGATTTTTGTGTAGATAAATTATTTCATCCACTTTAGAATAAGGCTGTAACAAAATGTGGAAATGGTCAAGGGGTCTGAATACTTTCCAAATGCACTGTATGTAGAGGGGTAAGGGGACTAGGCAACAGGATATAATTATTATATTAGTAGCAGCATCTTGTATGTATAGCGGTAGCCGTTTGAGAGTCAGTATTACAAGTATGCAGATGCGAATAGATGTGTGAAGGACATGGTGAGTGTAGGTAGTGCATAAGAGACATCAAAAAGAAATAAAAGATCAAAAAGATACAAGGGTAAACTAGTCGATGTCACTAGAATATTTTGTTGCTATAGGTCAAGAGCAGTTTGGGTAGGCTTGGATGGGAATTTACAATAGTATATGTCTGTGGTGCGGATGTCTATAGATTCTGGGGTCAACGCAAAATAAATAAATATAGGGATGAGGTAGTTGGGTGGCTAATTTCAGATGGGCTGTGTACAGGTGCAGTGATCGGTAAGTGCTCTGACATGATGCTTAAAGTTATTGAGGGAGATCTCAATAGAAATGGAGTCTCCAGCTTCAGAGATTTTTGCAATTCGTTCCAGTCATTGGCAGCAGAGAACTGGAAGGAATGGCGGCCAAAGGAGGTGTTGGCTTTGGGAATGACCAGTGAGATATACCTGCTGGAGCGCAGACTACGGGTGGGTGCTGCTATGGTGACCAATGAGCTAAGATAAGGCGGGGATTTGCCTAGCAAAAAACAGAGTAGCAGCAGCTTGTATGTGAGTGGGTGTGCGTGTGTGTAGAGTCAGTATAAATGTATGTGCATGAGTGAGAAAATTATGAGTGTTTGTGTGTGTGTTAAGGTGACATTGTGTTTGAGTGTGTAGGGCCGTGTGAGTGTGCATAGAGACAGTGCAAAAAGAAATAAAAGATCAATAAAGATACAAGGTTAACTCTGATTGTCCGTGTAGCTATTTTGTTAGCTATTTATCATATTGCTTGGGGATAGAAGCTGTTCAAGAGCCTGTTGGTGTCAGACTTGATGCACCGGTACATCTTGCTGTGCGGCAGCAGAGACAATAGTCTATGTCTTGGGTGGGTCGAGTCTTTAACGATTTTCCTGGCCTTCTTTTCACACCGCCTGATATAGAGGTCCTGGATGGCAGGGAGTTCGGCCCCATTGATGTACTGGGCTGTCCGCATAAACCTCTGTAGCGCCATGCGATCGAGGGCGGTGCTATTGTCATACCAAGCAGTGATGCAGCCAGTCAATATGCTCTCAATGGTACAGCTGTAGAACCTTTTGAGGATTTGAGGGCCCATGCCAAACTATTTCAACCTCCTGAGGGGGGTGAGGCACTGTCACGCCTTCTTCACAACTGTGCGTGTGTGTTTGGACCATTTTAATTCTTTAGTGATTTGGACACCGAGGAACTTAAAGCTGTCTACCTGCTCCACAGCAGCCCCCCCCCCCCCCCCCCCCCTCAGCTCCTTGGTCTTGCTGACGTTGAGGGAGATGTTGTTACTCCGGCACCACACAGTCTCCTGGGCCCTCTGATGTGATGTCCCTCCAGATGCTCCCTGAGGTTCTCCCTGTGAGTCAACCCCCAGTTGACAGACAGCAGGTTGGCATTGACGCCTCCTCAGACACACTTTGAGCAAGTCCCAGCCCTGTAGGGGAAGACAGAATTGAGATCACATACAGTAAGAAACGGGCTGCAGGTTTCAGAAGCTGCCAAGTCAAGGGACAGCCACCCACGACTGTGAGCTACCCTTCATCTCTGAGCTGGAGCCAGACTTGTGGGATTTTCTGCACCTTTACAGGCAGCCAGTTAACACAGTAAAGCACATATTCTGAATGATTTGATTAGGCTAGAGAGAGAGAGAGAGAGAGAGAGAGATTAGGGGAGGGAGAAAGTGAGAAAAAGTGAGGGCCAAGGATAGATTTAAAGGACTTCAGCTGAGCTGCTCCCAGAGTCAGCTCTTGATGGCAAGCTCTCAAAGCTGTACACTAGCAGTGTTTGGCTGGGTGCAAATATGTGTATTGACTTTCTAGGTCTCTAGGTTGCACTTTGCTGTCCTCTGGAGTGCATTGAAGGCCCTGATAGTGGCAAGTCCTCTAAAGAAACAGAGACAGCACAAACATGTTTGGGTACTGGCACAGAGCTGTGGTCTCGCTGCACAATGAGTATACTAGGTACAGAGCTGGAAGTAATATGATATTGAAATGGGATTTTTTCCATTTAGATGTGCTTGAACTGCATTGTATTTTGCCAAATAGAGTATCCATTCTGACTAAGTGTGTGAAACAAACAAGACCCAATTCTGCTGGAGTAGCCTGCTGTATTTGAGCCCTATTTTATGTCCTACTTTAAATGCCCATAAATTTGACTTGCCCAACTGAGTTGGTTGTGATCATATTACTCTTCAATGTGATCTGTAGCTAATCTTAATGGTGTTTCCAATAGCCCATTAGCCATTAGCTACCTAGCATCCCTGCTCTCTGGCTGATTTGTACTGCCATGCCAGACATTCCACCATCAGAAAACTAGCACTATTATCCTCTCTCTCTTCCCTGACTTCCTGTCATCCATGGCCGTTAACCCCACCTCCTACACCGACTGTCTCCTTCCTTCTCCTGTGTCCTACACTGAGTATACAAAACATTAAGAACACCTGCTCTTTCCATGACAGACTGACCAGGTGATTCCACGTGAAAGCTATAATCCCTTATTGATGTCACTTGTTAAATCCACTTCAATTGTGTATTTGTGCCATTCAGAGGGTGAATGGGCAAGACAAAAAATGTAAGTTCCTTTGAACGGGGTATGGTAGTAGGTATGGCAGTTTCCTGTCTGTATCAAGAATGGTGCACCACCCAAAGGACATCCAACTTGACAACTGTGGGAAGCATTAGAGTCAACATGGGCCAGCATCCCTGTGGAACGCTTTCGACACCTTGTAGAGTCCGTGCCCCGACGAATTGAGGCTGTTCTGAGGGAGAAGGTGGGGTGCAACTAAATATTAGGAAGGTGTTCCTAATGTTTGGTATACTCAGTGTATATCCCCCATAGTTAAGGAGGGGCTTCGCCACACAGACCACACAGACCCACCCAGTGCAATGCCAGACCTGCCCTGCCCAGTGAGCTGAGGCCTCTTTCTTCTCCCAGGCGGTGCTGCTGGGATGCAGTTCATGCCAGGGCCAAGCAGACACAGCCATCTGTACCAGGCTCTGAGAGGGAGTCCGTCTGGGCTCAGCCCTTAGTCTGGCTCTGCTCTTCTGTGTGGTTCAGGTCGGGTCAGGCGGCACAGCACAGGGACAACTGCCCAGAAATGAACAAAGCACATGATTTGGGGATGATGACATAACTGTTACCAGGAAATGGAAGTCTGTCTAATTCAAATTCATGATTCTGATTCCTATGAGAACAGAGTACGTACAGTATGAGTGTACATGTGAAATTAGTGGACTGCCCCGATGAGTGTAGCCTATTGATGTCCAGGGTGTACTGTGGCCATTTGGGACTCCGCTTGGCTCTGTATGTTTGGCCAAGCGTACATCAGTGTACAGTATACATTGCAGTCATGTCCATGAAATGCACTGAATGAGAAAGGTGACTCATCAACCTCTTGGCATTTGCCATGTTTAAGTAACGTCAAACAAGCCACCCCTCTCTCTGCTTGTCGGATTATGAGGCCTCCCCATAGTTTAAAATAACAAATTATAGCAGAAATATCCCCTGACTGGACGCTTTCACACGCCTTCACGTCAATGACACACATTTACCAGGGGCCCAGAGATATGTTTTTGTAAGTAATTCATCAGCGTGCTATAGCATCTGACTGATGAATGGCAGGAGACAGGCAGGGATTAGAGCGGCCTCCAATCTCTCCCTGCTATCTCTGTTCCACCGGTGTTAATGAAGCCATCTCTGAAAAATGCGGATGAGTGTCATTTGGAGAGCGGTGGTGAGTGGTGAGCCCGTAGCGCGAGACATGACAGCGGGAGGGAGATCCTTTGATCCAGGCTCCTCCTCCCCACTGCTATGAGGGAGTCGGAGATGAGCACAGCTGCATTAACCCACTTTACCATACTGTAGCTACTAGCATTCTGCGGGTGATTTTCCTCCAAGCATTGTGTTGTATTTGCTGCACTTGCTTTTTTGAAGTCTTTGTCCTATTTCCCAACTTTGTTACATTATAAAGAGAAAATAAAGCTTTGTTTTGAGTTCATGCATATCTTCTATAATAGACGTACCTGTAATGTTTACATTTTAATAGGTGGAGAGATAGATCAAATGTTTATAAGATGAGAATAAACACAGTTCAAATGAAAAGGAGATAAATTTTATAGAGGGTAATTAATTTGCTGAAAAGCCCTATTTCCCAGTGGCATCTTTTCCCGATTCTTTAATTACGCTGCTTATGAGTTATGTGTTCACAGAATAGGCTCTGTCTAATTGTTACCTTTTGTAAAGCAAAGTAAATATTTGACCTTAAAACATTTTATTGCCTAAATATAATTCCATAATATTCCCATGACCATACTCTCATGTTTAGCAAACAAATACACATAAAATATTGTGGGCATCTCAAATCAGTGTGCACATAATTCATTATCTTAATGAATGTTGAATTATTACATTTTCTGTGCATACATTTTTATACCCAGAGTGTTCAACAGCTAGTCAGATATTGATCATCCCATGAGCTAAATTAGCAAATGACGCTCTATTATCTTCACTAAATATTTATAGGCAGTGTCACAAGGTTTTTCTTCATCAGGAGAAAAAAACTCGCATAGATAGTTAATTGCTATATTCAGTGTAATTGGTTGCTGGCAAATCCCTAGTGGGGGAGGGGGGGCGGACATGCTTCTGACAAACAGTTGTGGCAAATATTTGGCCAATTTGGTGCAAATTTGCGGCAAGATCATATTTAAACATGCAAATTAGTTTTGTGGCAAACTGTTTTGGCGATTTTTGTGGCAACTTGAAAACTTCTGGTAAGCAATTCTGGGAAACTTGTGGCGAACATTCTACTGTTTGCTGCAAATTTGCTGCAAACTCATTATGAATATGGAAATTAGATCAGGTTTTTGGCAAGTTTGTGTATTAACAACATTGAAATGTTGTATCTACATAAACCAAATCACATATAACTTTAAATGAACTTGCTTCTCACAGAGTAAACTAAACATACCAACACATTCTAAATACACTAAACAACATGTAATGCCTTAACAGATCAAAATAAATCCAATACAACTTGAAATCATCAGCATGCTAATGAAGAAAAGAGCAAAGACAGGATATTTCCAAAATAGATTGTTTATTTAATATTTTTATGTAGCAACAACATTTACATGAAATGTGAACACCACACCAAAAAATGCTGGTTATTTGGTAACCCAGCGCTGGGTAAATATTGGACAGAACGCGCACTGGGTTATTTTGACCCAGACAGTGTTTGGGATTACCCAAACATGGGTTAATTTAACAACCATCAGTTGGGTATTTTTTACTCTCATGCTGGGTTGACCTAGCAGCTAGGAGGCTTGGCTTATTAGGGGCGTGGCTTTCAGCTAGATCTTATTATTTATAAAACATTTATTTAACCTTTATTTAACTAGGCAAGTCAGTTAAGAACAAATTGTTATTTCCAATGACGGCCTACACCGGCCAAACCCGGACGATGCTGGGCCAATTGTGTGCTGCCCTATGGGACTCCCAATCACGGCCGGTTGTGATACAGCCTGGAATCGAACCAGGGGGTCTGTAGTGATGCCTCTAGCACTGAGATGCAGCGCCTTAGACCGCTGCGCCACTCGGGAGCCCTATCCGTGCAAGTAAATGTCATTCCTGTTCATCATGTTAAGTTTACATACTTTTTTGTATTTTACACATTCTGCTATAATATTAAGATTATTTATTACATATTATAATAAGGTGTACCAAATAATTTGGTTATTTGGTAACACAGCACTGGGTAAATACTGGACAGAACACATGGTTGGTTATTTTGGTCCAGGCAGTTGGGTTGTGTGAATAATCCAATGTTGGTTTGTTGGGATTACCCAAACATGGGTTAATTAAACCATCAGTTGTTCACTGCCTTTCAAGGTGTGTTGCATTATGGGGATAAAAATTGTCCAACTTGCACCTACATGTCGACTGCATGAATTTTACAAAAAGGTCATGACATTTTGACTGCAGTTGACTACAAGTTTTTGCAGTTGCGCTTCACCAATTTCATCCTGCAGCCATCGCCTGCATTGTGGGAGGCTCTATTGTCAACAAGTCATTATGGTGTTTTTGTTTGACCCACACGAACCTGACAAAAGAGATGACTGACACAGGAACCAACTTTGCCACGATTCATACTGTGGATACAAATTAATGTGATATGTAAAGCTCTCTCTCAGCAGTTGGGTAGTTTTTTATGTAATTAGGTTATTTTCAGGAGGCGTGGATTATTAGGGGCGTGGCTTTCAGATAGTTATTTTTTGGCCACCTGTGAGACTAAATGTTATTCCTGTTCATCATGTTAAAGGACAACGCCGCCACTTTTCAACCTCATATTCATTATCTCCAGCACCATACCAGTGTCTACATATGTGAAAATGGCATGTTTCTATGATCTGTAGTTAAAAAGATAAGAAGAAAGGTCCTAAAAAATCACAGGGTAGGATTAAAAGTAAGAAGAACAGTGATTTTCAAAACCTGCAACCAGTTTCTAGCTAGAGGGAGGGTATTTTCTTGCTCTCCACGTCACCGTGAATCTCATAGTGTTTTTAAAACGTTGTAACTTTTGATGATGTCATCGGGTAGAACTTTTTTACTTTATATATTTTTATACAAAACGTAGAAAGCACCTTTTTCACATATGTAGACATACAGTACCTTTTGCCTTTTAAGTTTGTATGCTGCAAATAACATTTTTATTTGAATATTTTTGTACATTATATATTCTAATATAATTATTAATAATAATATTATTTACATACTGTATCAAAGTGGTAACTATCCCAACATATACACGTATTCGCATAGGCTCTTAAGGAACTCATACACTTGTGTAAGCCTCATGAAGGCTACAAAAATGGCAGTGTTCAACTATCTTAATTAATGTTGAATAATTACGTTTTCTATGCATACATTTAGATACCCAGTGTTCAACAGCTAGTCAGAGATTGATCATCCCATGACCTAAATTTGGCAAATGATGCTCTATTATCTTCACTGAATATTTATAGGCAGTAAAAAAAAAACGCTAAAACGTAGAAAACTGCCATTTTCACATATGTAGAGACTTGTGGTCCTCTGTAGCTCAGCTGGTAGAGCACGGCGCTTGTAACGCCAAGGTAGTGGGTTTGATCCCCAGGACCATCCATACACAAAAATGTATGCACGCATGACTGTAAGTCGCTTTGGATAAAAGCGTCTGCTAAATGGCATATTATTATTATTATTATGGTATTGTGCTAGAGATAATGAAAATGAGTTTGAAAATGGTGGAATTGCCATTTAAGTTTGTACACTGCAAATTGCAATTTTCCTTGAATATTTTTGCACATTATGTATTATAATATTATATGAATAATATTATTATTTACATATTGTAACAAAGTGGTAACTATCCCAACATTGGTATTTGCTTATGTTCTTAAGGAACTCATACACTTGTGTAAGCCTCATGAAAGCTCCAAAAATGTCAGTGTTCAACCTTAACGTGATAACAATACAAAAGCAACATAACATTTTGTTTTGCCTAATTTGGCAATTCATATTATTCTTCCAAAATGAATTATTGTTAACTTGCATCTCAAAGCCATACATGCAAGAAGCCTTGACATGGTGCACACATTTCTCGGTCCACAGTTTGATTGAAGGCCTCAATCTGTCCTTTTGCCTTGTAACTGATTGCTTCTAGATAGAAAGAGAGAAGGAACAACACATGATCAAGATGAGCTAGCTACTAGTTTAAAGCAATGAAAGATCTAATTGTTACAAAGAATGAATTTATAGTTTACATTAATGAGAATAATACATGCATTTGCTTACCTTATCAAGATTGAAGACGATACACTAATTTATCACTCAAAAAAAGGGTTATGAGTGAGTGCACCATAAACATCTTTCCTGGGTGTTGACGCATCCTCTTCCCAATGCAGCTTCTTCCAACACCACGGGTAGGGGAAGGGTATCCATCTGGAAAAGTTTTGTGTTGACGTCAAGTCAGCTCATATTGTTGCTACCTTAGCTGTTGTGCTAGCTAACATGCTACTGAACAGTGACACTAGCATATTGACATGCATATTGGTATTAAAAGACATTAACGTGTTCACCTAAACACATAAGTGTTCAGGTAAATCATTAGTTAGCTAGGTAGCAATCACAGTAATTGTGCAAAAATATGATAACTAATGTTTGCTAGCTAGCTAATATTAAGCACTAGCCAGTCAGAGGCGCTGACTAGGGTTGAATTAAGCACTAGCCAGTCAGTGGCGCTTACTAGGGTTGAATATTTTCCCAGTACTTTACAAATGTTCCGTCCCGAGAATAAATCACTTTTCTCCCTGGTAACCCTGTATTTCCCTCCAAATCCGGAAGCGTCATTCTAAAGCATATAAAGCATATACATGTATGTACAGTGGGGAGAACAAGTATTTGATACACTGCCGATTTTGCAGGTTTTCCTACTTACAAAGCATGTAGAGGTCTGTAATTTTTATCATAGGTACACTTCAACTGTGAGAGACGGAATCTAAAACAAAAATCCAGAAAATCACATTGTATGATTTTAAAGTAATGAATTTGCATTTTATTGCATGACATAAGTATTTGATACATCAGAAAAGCAGAACTTAATATTTGGTACAGAAACCTTTGTTTGCAATTACAGAGATCATACGTTTCCTGTAGGTCTTGACCAGGTTTGCACACACTGCAGCAGGGATTTTGGCCCACTCCTCCATACAGACCTTCTCCAGATCCTTCAGGTTTCGGGGCTGTCGCTGGGCAATACAGACTTTCAGCTCCCTCCAAAGATTTTCTATTGGGTTCAGGTCTGGAGACTGGCTAGGCCACTCCAGGACCTTGAGATGCTTCTTACGGAGCCACTCCTTAGTTGCCCTGGCTGTGTGTTTCGGGTCGTTGTCATGCTGGAAGACCAAGCCACGACCCATCTTCAATGCTCTTACTGAGGGAAGGAGGTTGTTGGCCAAGATCTCGCGATACATGGCCCCATCCATCCTCCCCTCAATACGGTGCAGTCGTCCTGTCCCCTTTGCAGAAAAGCATCCCCAAAGAATGATGTTTCCACCTCCATGCTTCACGGTTGGGATGGTGTTCTTGGGGTTGTACTCATCCTTCTTCTTCCTCCAAACACGGCGAGTGGAGTTTAGACCAAAAAGCTCTATTTTTGTCTCATCAGACCACATGACCTTCTCCCATTCCTCCTCTGGATCATCCAGATGGTCATTGGCAAACTTCAGACGGGCCTGGACATGCGCTGGCTTGAGCAGGGGGACCTTGCGTGCGCTGCAGGATTTTAATCCATGACGGCGTGGTGTGTTAGTAATGGTTTTCTTTGAGACTGTGGTCCCAGCTCTCTTCAGGTCATTGACCAGGTCCTGCCGTGTAGTTCTGGGCTGATCCCTCACCTTCCTCATGATCATTGATGCCCCACGAGGTGAGATCTTGCATGGAGCCCCAGACCGAGGGTGATTGACCGTCATCTTGAACTTCTTCCATTTTCTAATAATTGTGCCAACAGTTGTTGCCTTCTCACCAAACTGCTTGCCTATTGTCCTGTAGCCCATCCCAGCCTTGTGCAGGTCTACAATTTTATCCCTGATGTCCTTACACAGCTCTCTGGTCTTGGCCATTGTGGAGAGGTTCGAGTCTGTTTGATTGAGTGTGTGGACAGGTGTCTTTTATACAGGTAACGAGTTCAAACAGGTGCAGTTAATACAGCGAATGAGTGGATAACAGGAGGGCTTCTTAAAGAAAAACTAACAGGTCTGTGAGAGCCGGAATTCTTACTGGTTGGTAGGTGATCAAATACTTATGTCATGCAATAAAATGGAAATTATTTACTTAAAAATCATACAATGTGATTTTCTGGATTTTTGTTTTAGATTCCGTCTCTCACAGTTGAAGTGTACATATGATAAAAATTACAGACCTCTACATGCTTTGTAAGTAGGAAAACCTGCAAAATCGTCAGTGTATCAAATACTTGTTCTCCCCACTGTATGTCTGGATTTGATCGGCATTACAATTCAAGCCTGATGCTACTTGAGCCTGATGATCCATACATTAAAGACATTTTATGTGCCCTAGATTAAAGACATTTTATGATCCCAATCACCAAACAGCCCAAATGATTGTGCCATTATCCAATACATAGCCTGTGATATATAGGCTACCACACATTACGCACGACAGAAAAACATAAAAGCCCATAGATGTAGCTATGCTCTCTTGGGTAAATAAATGAAACAAACTCCAGTAGCATAATTATTTTGAGTGTGGACTGTATTACTGTACTTTATTGTATTATGCTGTATTATATGGACTGGAATTACAGACCTTGTTCAAACCATGAGCTGGGAGAGAACATGTGATGTTGGTGCAGGACATGCGGCCTACAAAGTTACAATTATAGGCCAGCAAATTGTATTTTAATTTAGAAATATAATAGGGCCAATTTTACATTTAAATAATTAGTAGGCTGACCTTTCATAATATTTCACCTAATGTTGTGTGCCGTGCGCATTAGCCTACCTCAGTTACAGTGGCTTGCGAAAGTATTCACCCCCCTTGGCATTTTTCCTATTTTGTTGCCTTACAAGCTGGAATTAAAATTGATTTTTTGAGGCTTTGTATCATTTGATTTACACAACATGCCTACCACTTTGAAGATGCAAAATAAATTTTTTTGTGAAACAAACAAGAAATAAGACTCATATATTATAAAAATAAAGCTAACTGGATGGAATATGGGGAAAAATGCACAGAATTCTTTTTTAATCTTCAACATAGGAATGCTACCAAAAATAACTTAATGAAACTGGTTACAATTGACGGAGTCACCCATGATTCACCAAATAATATTTTGAAGGAGGAAACAAAGTACTTTAAGAATATGTTTTATTTTCAGTCGCCTCCATCTCCTCTAACTGAAGCTAATTGTAGAGATATTTTTTCTATTGATAATGTCAAATTAACAGCCATACAGAAAGACTCATGTGAAGGTGAAATTACAGAGGAAGAACTTCTGGATGCAATTAAAGACTTTAAGTCTGGGAAAACTCCAGGGTTGGATGGCATACCAGTCGAGCTATACCAAACCTTTTTTGATATACTAAGAGGACCGTTATTAGCATGTTTTAACCACTCCTATATAAATGGTAGATTATCTGACACTCAAGAAGAAGGTCTAATCTCATTATTACTGAAACAGGATACAAGTGGAAAATATAAAGATCCAGTCCATTTACAAAATTGGAGGCCCCTTACACTTCAGTGTTGTGATGCAAAAATTCTAGCAAAATGTATAGCGCATAGAATTAAAAAGGTATTGTCGGATATTATTCATTCTAATCAGACAGGTTTTTTACATGGAAGATACATTGGAGATAATATAAGGCAAGTATTGGAAACAATAGAACACTATGGAAAATATGGGAAACCAGGCCTGCTATTCATAGCAGACTTCGAAAAGGCATTTGATAAAGTACGACTGGGGTTTATATATAAATGCCTGGAGCATTTCAATTTTGGAGAATCTCTTATAAAATGGGTCAAAATCATGTATAGTAACCCTAGGTGTAAAATAGTAAATAATGGCTATTTCTCAGAAAGTTTTAAACTGTCAAGAGGAGTAAAACTAGGTTGTCCACTATCGGCATATCTATTTATTGTGGCCATCGAGATGTTAGCTATTAAAATCAGATCCAATAATAATATCAGAGGATTAGAAATCCAGGGCTTAAAACAAAGGTGTCATTGTACGCTGATGATTCATGTTTTCTTTTAAATCCACAACTAGAATCCCTCCACAGCCTCATAGAGGATCTAGATACATTTTCTAACTCTCTGGATTACAACTAAATTATGACAAATGTACTATATTACGTATTGGATCACTAAAAAATACAATTTTTACATTACCATGTAGTTTACCAATAAAATGGTCTGATGGTGATGTAGATATACTCGGAATACATATCCCAAAGGAAATAAATGATCTCACTTCAATACATTTTAATATAAAGTTAGCAAAAATAGATAAGATCTTACTACCATGGAAAGGAAAATACCTGTCAATTTGTGGAAAAATCACCCTGATTAACTCTTTAGTATTATCCCAGACTACCTATTTGCTTATGGTCTTGCCTACGCCTAGCGAACAGTTTTTGAAATTATATGAGAAAAAAATATTCAATTTTATTTGGAACGGCAAGCCAGACAAAATTAAAAGGGCATATTTATATAATGAATATGAATTCGGAGGACAGAAATTATTAAATATTAAAGCATTAGACCTATCACTAAAAGCTTCAGTCATACAAAAGTTATACTTAAATCCAAACTGGTTCTCAAACAAATTAGTAAAATTGTCTCACCCAATGTTCAAGAAAGGCCTTTTTCCCTTTATTCAGATTACAACAACTCATTTGGGTTGTTGAAATCATCTCCCAAATATCACTATTTCTAAAACAAGCCATAGAAACTTGGTTGCAATTTCAATTTAATCCTCCAGAAACGACAGAACAAATAATGCAACAAATATGGTGGTTAAATTCAAATATACTAATTGACAAAAAACCTTTATTTTTTGACAGAATGTTTAAAAAAGGTATAATCTTCGTAAATGATATCATCGGTAGGACTGGTGGAGTTATGTCGCACATGCAGCTAACAAAAACATATGGAAATGTCTGCTCTACCCAAAATTACAACCAAATAATTGCAGCCTTACCGCAAAAGTGGAAGAGGAAAGTGGAAGGGGGAGAAAGTAAGGAACTTGTCTGTCGGCCTTGCATTAAAGAACATAATTGGTTAAGGAAAACTGTGATAAATAAAAAAGTATATCAGTTTCACTTAAGGACCAAAGGATTGACAGCCGTCCCATATAGATTGCAAAATAGTTGGGAAGAGATTTTTGACGTACCGATCCCATGGCATAGTGTTTATGAACTCACACCCAAAACGACACCGGATTCAAACATTTTAATCTTTCAATTTAAATTATTATATAAAATTCTTGCTACCAATAGAATGTTATTTATATGGGGGATACAATCTTCCCAGCTCTGCAGATTTTGCTGTGAAGAGACAGAATCATTAGATCATTTGTTTTGGTTCTGTCCATTTGTAGCTTGTTTTTGGACACAGGTCCAGGAATGGCTAAAGGATTGCAATACTTACCTGGAGCTAACCTTGCAGATAGCATTACTGGGTGATCTGAAAAGTCACAGTCAATCGATCAATAATATTATAATACTTTTAGCAAAAATGTTTATTTTTAATTCACAATCTGTAGAAGCAATGAGAATAGAAATGTTCAGAACTTTTGTAAAACATCACAGTACGGTTGAAATATATATGGCAAATAGAAATCCTATATGGATGGTGTTAAGAGGTAGATGGGAGGTATTGAATGGAGTTGAAGGATGGGACTAATAACAAATAACAACAAATAATAACAAAGATAGCTAATAATGTAAGCATACTGTGTCCATAATAAGTATATAGTTGTATGTTGGGAGCTTTTGGGAAAGAGCACAGTTAGAAAGATATGGCATATAGAAGCAAACCGGATGGACATCATGAAAATGATCGGAGAGGTTGAGAGTAGAAGAAGTTCAGGAGCAAAAACAAAACAAAAAAATATATATAATAGAATTCTTGTAAAATTGACTGTGTCCATAAGATGTAGATAGTAAGTATAGGCCGGAAGTAGAGGCCTGGGCATTGTTGTTCACTAATGTACTCCAAGTAGGGAAAGGATGGCGGGGTTGAAAAGTAATAAAGGGGAGTATATATATAAAAAACATGGGGGATTGGAAGTGATGCAGACAATTACATTGATAGAAGTTACAATCTATCTGCAATATTAAGCTGATCCACCCCCCCCCCCCCCCCCCATAAAAAAAAAAAAAAAATCATAATAATAATAATAAAAAATTAAATAATTATAATAATAATAATAATAAAAAATAAATAAGACTAAAAAATAAGAAAACTGGAGCGTGCATTACTATTCACCCCCCCCCCCCCCCCCAAAGTCAATACTTTGTAGAGCCACCCTTTGCAGTAATTACAGTTGCAAGTCTCTTGGGGTATGTCTCTATAAGCTTGGCACATCTAGCCACTGGGATTTTTGCCCATTCTTCAAGGCAAAACTCCTCCAGCTCCTTCAAGTTGGATGGGTTCCGCTGGTGTACAGCAATCTTTAAGTCATACCACAGATTCTCAATTGGATTGATGTCTGGGCTTTGACTAGGCCATTCCAAGACATTTCAATGTTTCCCCTTAAACCACTCGAGTGTTGCTTTAGCAGTATGCTTAGGGTCATTGTCCTGCTGGAAGGTGAACCGCTGTCCCAGTCTCAAATCTCTGGAAGACTGAAACAGGTTTCCCTCAAGAATTTCCCTGTATTTAGCGTCATCCATCATTCCTTCAATTCTGACCAGTTTCCCAGTCCCTGCCGATGAAAAACATCCCCACAGCATGATGCTGCCACCACCATGCTTCACTGTGGGGATGGTGTTCTCGGGGTGATGAGAGGTGTTGGGTTTGGGCCAGACATAGCGTTTTCCTTGATGGCCAAAAAGCTCAATTTTAGTCTAATCTGACCAGAGTACATTCTTCCATATGTTTCGGGAGTCTCCCACATGCCTTTTGGCGAACACCAAACATGTTTGCTTATTTTTTTTCTTTAAGCAATGGCTTTTTTCTGGCCACTCTTCCGTAAAACCCAGCTCTCTGGAGTGTACGGCTTAAAGTGGTCCTATGGACAGATACTCCAATCTCCGCTGTGGAGCTTTGCAGCTCCTTCAGGGTAATCTTTGGTCTCTTTGTTGCCTCTCTGATAAATGCCCTCCTTGCCTGGTCCGTGAGTTTTGGTGGGCGGTCCTCTCTTGGCAGGTTTGTTGTGGTGCCATATTCTTTCCAATTTATAATAATGGATTTAATGGTGCTCCGTGGGATGTTCAAAGTTTCTGATATTTTTTTATAACCCAACCCTGATCTGTACTTCTCCACAACTTTGTCCCTGACCTGTTTGGAGAGCTCCTTGGTCTTCATAGTGCCGCTTGCTTGGTGTTGCCCCTTGCTTTGTGGTGTTATTTAACTATTTATGTCACTTCTGAAGGTAATTGGTTTCACCAGATCTTATTTAGGGGCTTCATTGCAAAGGGGGTCCTCTGTAGCTCAGCTGGTAGAGCACGGCGCTTGTAACGCCAGGGTAGTTGGTTCGATCCCGGGACCACCCATACACAATAATGTATGCACGCATGACTGTAAGTCGCTTTGGATAAAAGCGTCTGCTAAGTGGCATATTACTACTATTACTACATATGCACGCACCAATTTTTCAGTTATTTTTTATTTTTTGAAACAAGTTGTTTTTTTCATTTCACTTCACCAATTTGGACTATTTTGTGTATGTACATTACATGAAATCCAAATAAAAATCCATTTAAATTACAGGTTGTAATGCAACAAAATAGGAAAAACGCCAAGTGGGATGAATACTTTTGCAAGGCACTGTAAATGAATACATTTCGTTGTCCTTGACCTTACCTTCATCATTGTAATGACATTGAATAATAAAGGCCTAGAATAAGATGCAGATGTCTATTACTTCTCTTCACGAAGATTGACTGGTTATGGGTCTGAATAAATAATTGCTATAGCCAATTGCCATCGCGCGTTCTCTCTTCTTTCAAATTCCTTGTGTGTTTTATTGGCTGCTGTGTTTAACCTTCAGCAAACAAGAGCTTGCATCCCTCTACGAATAGTCTGTTATATAGTTTGCTGCAAACTTACCCCCCCCCCCCCCCCCCCCCCCTCCCTGTCTATCTCACTCTCTCCCCTCCCCCTCTCTTTCCAGGTAACTACTATGGAACCCCAAAGCCCCCAGCGGAGCCCACCCTGGTGCAGCCTGACCTGGTGGATCAGGTGCTGTTTGATGAGGACTATGACAACGAGGTCCAGCGTAAACGCACCACGTCCGTCAGCAAGATGGACAGGAAGGACAGTGTGGTCCCTGAGGAAGAAGACGATGATGAGAGGCCACCTCTGGCCAACGGCCTCCCAGGTCAGTACATCTCACACTCAAAACCACTCTCCTGCCCTTTCTCTCTTTCCTCAGGATAGTCCTCTGTTGTACCTCACATATATCTCCCAATATCTGTCTCTCATGTTCTACTTTTAGCTTTACATTATTGATGACTATGGTCCAGGGGTGGGAACCAAAATTATTTTCCAATAATTATTTTCTTCGTTCCGTTCCAGTGTTCCGACCAGAACCGGTTCGAACTACAACAAAAGAACGGTTCATATAGCCTAGTTCCTTTTCGTAAATGTTTTAACCTGTGAAATAGTTTTTACATTTACAGTAGCTCATTAATTTACTCCACCAATTAGCGGGATAGAGAAGCTTGCTACGGAACGGGTAAGCTAGTTGTTTACATGTTTGATTGGCCATACAAGTGCAGGTGCGAGATGCGACTGAAATTTTACAGGTGGGGAGAGAGTGAGAAAGAGGGATGGACATGTAGGGGGCTTGGCATGAAGCCCTGAACATCATGACCTGACATGAATTGGAATGTGTTTAGGCTATTATTAGCATCAGAACTTCACTGAATTGCAGAATTATATACTAGATATTAGGAATATTTTGGGAACAAAAAATAACATTATTAACCGATTCTCAAGATTTGAAAATAATGATTCTGTTCCGGAACACTACAGATCTGTTTCCGTTCTGCGAACATTTTTGTTCTTTTCCAGTTTTTGGTTATTTTGCCTGAACCTGTTCCAACCCCTGCTATGGATGATATAATATTTATTCTCTATAACATATTTCTGCTCTATACATATTGACCTATGGAGCTCTGATCACCTTCCCCATTACTCCCAGTCTGTGCTATCTGTCATGCTCTGTCTGTATAGCCAGCCACTTCCCGCAGGCTCCATCTCAAGTTTATGCCTCAAGCACATTCAGTATCAGTAACACTTTCTACTGGAGTGCAGGGTACCTTGAAGACAGCAGACTTCTTACCCAGAGACCAGAGACTCCATGTGTGTTATCAAGCAGGACTCCTTTCTCTCAAAGGAGCAGTCATTGATGTGCCCAAGGATAGCCTGACTCTAAAAGAAATGGGTTACAGTATGCCTTCTGCTATTTTATTATCAGGCATGCACGATGGACAAGCACAAGTCTTTCTATGTAAAATAAATCACATTTCTGCTGTACTGCAACCATAGATGGAAACAGTTATAAACGGGTCAGAAGGTTTATGGAAAAATTAAGCATAATGTCCAAACTGAACTTCCCTGACCCCTACCTGACTTCCTGCATGTGTCTAGTGCAGGGCTGTCCAACCCTGTTCCTGGAGAGCTACCGTCCTGTAGGTTTTCGCTCCAACCCTAATCTAGCGCACCTGATTCTAATAATTAGCTGGTTGAGAAGCTGATTCAGGTGAGTTACAACTGGGGTTGGATTGAAAACCTACAGGAGGGTAGCTTTCCAGGAACAGGATTGGAGAGCCGTGGTCTAGTGCAGTCAGTATGGTGTGGGCTGTCAGGCTCTCAGCCCTCTGTGATCTCTCTGATGATCTCCGGTCTCGTGTGTGTGTGTGTGTGTGTGTGTGTGTGTGTGTGTGTGTGTGTGTGTGTGTGCATGCGTATGAATGAAGTCAGATTAGTATTGGGAGTCAGACCCATTTGGAGATGTTTGCCAGTTTCTCCCCATCCTTCAAGTAAATATGTGATCTGTTGAAAATATCAGCAAGTCTTATGGATGCAGTAGTGTAATATTTACTGAAATACAGAAGCACATGCACAAATTTGACACGCTCATGGGCTACATCAGTTCTGTGAATACACTAAAATAAGCTGTGTGGCCTTGAGCCTCATTGTATTATATACTTGTGCAGAGGTTAGCATTACACAAACAGTCCCTCGATTAGAAGACCCTTGTGTATGTTTCAATCGGCAGCTTTTTGTAGCCCGAAGTTTCCAAGGACCAGTGGGGTGCAAAATGAATTTGGAGGGACTTTGTTGTGTCCATGCTCAAGTTGATTGGTGTGCTTTTATTGCAGTTCTCATTAAATGAATACATTTTTTTTTTAAACAGAAATAACCATAAAGAGCAGTGGGAGAGTATTATTGTGCCAAAATAGCCTCAAGCTCGAATGGCCTTTTTACTATGAATCCTCCCCAGCTACTTGTATCATTGAAACCCAGGGGGAGGGTACCACATATGCATAAATACGCTCACACGTACATGCACACGCAAATGCAAAACAGAGCCTTGGTGAACAGAACACACCATCTCTTGCATGCAAATCCTGTAGCGACATCAAACCCTCCCTCCTCCCACTGCATGCTGGGAGAACAGGAGAAGGCTGGAGGTGTCCAAGCAGGCTAACCTGCTCTCTCCTCTCTCTCTCTCTCTCTCTCTCTCTCTCTCTCTCTCCTCTCTCTCTCTCTCTCTCTCTCTCTCTCTCTCTCTCTCTCTCTCTCTCTCTCTCTCTCTCTCTCTCTCTCTCTCTCTCTCTCTCTCTCTCTCCTGGGCTACAGAGCACAAAGAAGGGGCATCGTGGAGGAAGGCGGTGCCCAGCTACACCCAGTCCAGCAGTGCCATGGACTTCCGTATGTGGAGCTCTCTGCCCGGCGATGACAGCCTTGAACCCCTGCCTCTCAACTGGGAGATGGCCTACACCGAGACGGGCATGGTCTACTTCATAGAGTGAGTACTGCACCAGCACCTGTATATCTACTCAGGGACAGGACAAAGAGACAGCCTTTTAGTCTACTGAGTCCTGGTTGGTTACACACTGCTACTACACTGTACATGCATAGATACTGTAACTCCTGAGTTCAAAGCTCATTCCCTAAAAATGTTTTGGAGTTTCACGCTTAATATGTTTTAAATGCAGAACATATGACATACATTTCTGCTCTAGACTGAATGTGGAATGTTACGTACGGTATAGGTTATGCATGGATGACTATATCTGATCAGTATCATGCAAAGTATCATGACATTGTTGATTAGATTAGTGAAGCACATAGCACGTGTTACATAAGCCATGCTGAACAGACAGAGGATTTAGGTTAGTTAGGTAAACAAGCCAAGGCCTGTACTAGTGTGGGTCTCTTTAAGATCCACTTATATTGACTGACAGCCCTAGCCTACATGATTGTTCCAAAAGTGGTTCTGGTCTAAGCTAATTAATTTGGTGGTTTCTCTTCAAGACAACTTCCTGACAAATCAATACTGTGTTTTAGTAAATATAGCTCTCCCAGAGGCCCCTGAGTTCTTTATAAATAGATTTGGCTTCCAGCTAGAGCTCTGCTACCCGACCCGAGCCCGACGGGTTAGGGACAATTTTTCATCAATAACTAGGGTACGGGCAGGGCTCGGGTATCACTAAATTGATCACTTACATTTGAAGCAGAGCCATTTGCTCGTGCTCTGCTGAGCAGTACAGTCATATCTGATTAAGATCATAACATGGTGTCAGAAGTGCTTCAACCTCATCAAATATAAGACAGGAGAGATTATTTCACAGAAAATAATAATGTTCTTTGAGTTTTGTCGGAGTTTAGAGTGACGAAAAGTAGCTAACAGCTCTCTCATGTCTCTTCATTGAGCAGAGCAGCCCGTTGCTATGGATACTCACAGACTCAGAGCGCCATGAGCAGAGCGCATGCAGAGCGAACTGCGTGCAGGAAGCGAGTGACAGACGAGAGAGGAGCAGCTAATGGGTTTACTAAAGGAGGAAGTTATTTCTGATTTCAGGTTTCGGGCAGGGCCGGGCCTTGAATTTGGCAGAAGCAATCAGGCCTGGGTAGGGTAGGGCCTGAACGTCGCTGGCATTGTTAGGGCTCCGGCTTAAAATTCATGCCTGTGCAATGCTCTACTTCTAGCTGCTCTTGTCTGAAGTCGCCACAATAACATAATGAATACATAGCAGGATGAATAAATGTGTCAATCAGTTATTTATAACTTGTGTAAATTTCAAAGAAAGTATATCATAGAACATAGAGTAGGTGGGTACATGACTGTCTACCTTTCCTCTGATGCAAATACCAGTGTCAGTAACTGGCTCAGGTTTTTGAATGTTTCTCTTATCTGCCTTTCACAGTCACAATAGCAAGACCACCACCTGGCTGGACCCCCGCCTGGCCAAGAAGGCTAAGCCCCCAGAGAAGTGTGAGGATGGAGGTAAGGCTTCAGGACCTTTGAGCCTCTACAATTGTCATGTGTGTAGATATTTTGGTAACATGATACCTTGCCGGTCCAGACTCCCAAATAGCAACATTTGTGGTGAAAGCTAAAGAAGAGTCTCTCTTGTTGTCTTGTTGTCTTCCGTTGCTAGCAAGTTGGCTAAACCAGGCCCCCAGTGTCCGGTCTGGAGTGTGAAGTCCGGCTACTGCGTAGCAACCTAGCGGTGCCAAAAGACCTGGTCTGCCCTAGAAAGCCTATGTAAATTACGATCGCCAGAACGGCCCCAACGGCTGTTTTGGGTTCTAAAATGTGTTTATTATGATCAAGTTCAATCCCCACAGTGAATTATTTTAAAGTTCGCTACAAATCATGATATTTAATTAAAATGTGTTCTGACTACTACATTTGTCATCACATAGGACAACGTGCTGATATTCTTATACTTGCCAGTGTAACTTACCACATTATACCAATTTGATATGCTGCTTCAATGTATTCGCTCCCATATCAGCTAAAATGGAATGTCATCATTTTTTGTCAAAGATTTTAAAAAGCACATGGCTATGTTTTTTTTTAATGTTTCAAAATAGCCTAGAATAACGTTATCACTTCTAAACAAAATAACTTTTGGGGGGATTCTAATAAGGCTACACTGTTGTTTGGTTTATTGTTTAGATAAAATATAATTAGCCTTTCAGCTTCCCACTTCTCCATGTGAAATAATCAGATTTATAATTAAATAATATGCCCTGACAAATATTCTTATACTTGCCGGTGTAACCTACAACATTATCCCAGTTTGATATGCTGCTTGAATATATTCACTCCCATATCCGCTAAAAATAGAACGTCATCATGTTTTGGTTGCGGAGTACATTTTTACATTTTATATTTTAGTCATTTAGCAGATGCTCTTATCCAAAGCGACTTACAGTTAGTGCATACATTTTCATACTGGCCCCCCGTGGGAAACGAACCCACAACCCTGGCGTTGCAAGCGCCATGCTCTACCAACTGAGCTCACAGCTGTTTTTACCAATAGCCTGGATTCACTAGTCATTTCTTCTAAACAATATACCTTTTGGGGGGATTCTAATAAGGCTACAATGTTGTTTGGTTTATTGTTTGAACAGTCTCTGAGATTATATTTGCTTATCAATGCAAAATAGGCTTCTTTGATGTATAGCCTATAGCCAATAGATCAGATCAAGGAACCAAGCGCGCTTCATTGCCAAGCGAGCTTCATAGGAGTAATACGGCGCGTTATGCCCCGTTCACATCGTGACGTATTTCATTACGCCGTGCGTCATCCTCATGGAGTCTTGCCCCGCTACTGAATTGTCACGCCCTGACTCTGGGGACTCTTATTTGTTGAGTCAGGGTGTGATTTTCTATGTTGTGTAGTTCTATGTTTTCTATCTAGTATGTCTAGATCTATGTTTGGCCGGGTGTGTTTCCCAATCAGAGGCAGCTGTCGCTCGTTGTCTCTGATTGGGGAGCATACTTAGGCAGCCTATTGGCAATTAGGTGTTGTGGGATCTTGTTCCGTGTGAGGTTTGTTGTGTGTACCTTAGGACGTCACGTATCGTTGGTTTATTGTTTTGTTGTTGTGTTTATTCGTTAAATAAACATGTATGCATATCACGCTGCGCCTTGGTCTGACCCGTCTATGAACGAGCGTGACATGAATGGACCAGTGCAATGTTTGTAACGCAAGATGGATGAGAGCCTGTCTCTCGTCAGAGATCGCATACACTATCATTCAAGGGTTTTTCTTTATTTGTACTATTTTCTATATTGTAGAATAATAGTGAACACATCAAAACTATGAAATAACACATATGGAATCATGTAGTAACCAGAAAAGTGTTAAACAAATCAAAATAGATTTTAGATTTTAGATTCTTCAAAGTAGCCACCCTTTGCCTTGATGACAGCTTTGCACACTCTTAGTGTTCCCACATATGCTGAGCACTTGTTTGCTGCTTTTCCTTCACTCTGCGGTCCAACTCATCCCAAACCATCTCAATTGGGTTGAGGTAGGGTGATTGTGGAGGCCAGGTCATCTGAAGCAGCACTCAATCACTCTCCTTCTTGGTCAAACAGCCCTTACACAGCCTGGAGGTGTGTTTTGGGTCTATTTCCTGTTGAAAAACAAATGATAGTCCCACTAAGCGCAAACCAGATGGGATGGCGTATCGCTGCAGAATGCTGTTGTAGCCATGCTGGTTAGGTGTGCCTTGAATTCTAAATAAATCACTGACAGTGTCACCAGCAAAGCACCCCCACACCATTACACCTCCTCCTCCATGCTTCACGGTGAGAACCACACATGCGGGGATCATCCGTTTATCTACTCTACGTCTCACAAAGACATGGAGGAGGACGACAGATTTGAATACTTTCTGAAGGCACTGTATATGTTGAGTTTTTTATTCAACATGGAATGAAAGCTTGGCTGATTAACTTGAATGACATGGGTGCCAGGAGTACCCGGAGTGCCCACTCGTTTGCCCGTCCATTCCCAGGGTGTGTGGCTGTGACGTGGGCTAAGTGCAGCGGGAGAGTGTGGGGATGGGGGAGACACAGGGCCCTGGTCGGCTGTTTCTAATGGATTTTTAAAGGCAGGCAGAATGCTAGTTGGTGTGCTACCTCTGAAAAACTGTTCCAAGCTCTCTCTTGCGTGACGAGCCAGGCTGCCTGTCTGCGAAAACTGCAAAATGTTCACCAAATCATTGTGTCTGGTGTCTGCTGGGCTCTTCTCGTCACTATGCCCTGTTATCCTGCAGTGCTGTACATTTGCATGTTTTGTGTGATAGTACTTGGACACAATGCGTCTCTTCCTGTATCCACAGAGCTTCCGTATGGCTGGGAGGAGATAGAGGACCCACAGTATGGAACATATTATGTAGAGTAAGTTTGTTCAGTCTGCCTCTGAGAGATACTACACCACAAACCCATATTCCCCAGCAATACCATAGATCAAAAACGAACCATAGGTACACTACACATTATACACTAAGTGTACAAAACATTTATAATAACTGCTCTTTCCATGACATAGACTGACCAGGTGAATCCAGGTGAAAGCTATGATCCCTTATTGATGTCACTTGTTAAATCCACTTCAATCAGTGTAGATGAAGGGGAGGAGACAGGTTAAAGAATGATTTTTAAGCCTTGAGACAACTGAGACATGGATTGTGTATGTGTGCCATTCAGAAGGTGAATGGGCAAGACAAAATATTTAAGTGCCTTTGAATGGGGTATGGTAGTAGGTGCCAGGCGCACTGGTTTGTGTCAAGAAACTGCAACGCTGCTTGGTCTTTCACGCTCAACAGTTTCCTGTATGTATCAAGAATGGTCCACCACCCAAAGGACATCCAGCCAATTTGACACAACTGTGAGAAGCATTGGAGTCAACATGGGCCAGCATCCCTGTGGAGCGCTTTCGACACCTCGCAGAGTCCATGCCCGACGAATTGAGGCTGTTAATAAATATTAGGAAGGTGTTCCAAATGTTTTGTCCACTCAGTGTATATAGATAGCAGGGATACAATGTGTTACGAGACATGTGGTGTACTGCTAGGAAACCACCATCACTTTGAGAACAATACTATATAATGATCAAGGCTTGTATTGGTTTTTCAGTGGGTGCTAAACTGAAGCTCTGTTGGTAACATGACATTCACCCGGGTGAAAACACAGCATTACTTGTGTGAGTGAGTGTGTGTGGGTCTGTTTACAGAAGATGTGTGAGTACTGGCTGCCCCAGCAGGACGTCGTTGAAACTCAGCCATTACAGCAGCAGTAGGGAGAAGAGGAAGGTTGTGAGAGTTATCAAGGAGGGAAGTAGAGGCGGAGGGGGTGCTAGGAAGGTAGAGTAGTCTGTTTTGATGAAAAGGAAAGGAAACACTTTCTTTCTTTTATTACTGGTATTGTAGAAGTGTCCCTCCTTGGTAGAGGCCATGGGGGAGAGAGAGGAACTCACACTGTTTGTTTTTACAAGGAGAGTCAAAGACAAGTGGATGGGGACTTATTGCCGCCAATGTTCCAGTTCAAAATTAAATCTGTGTAAAACAATTTGGCTTTGTTATGTCAGAGGGACAGTTTTTACCTCACAAAAGAGAAGCAAAGGCAGTCAGGAGTTCATCTCTAGTTTTATTAAACTGCCAAACCATTAGGCATACACATGGAGAGGACACCAGCCCACTTGTCTGTGTATAGACTTGTAATCAACAGCTCACAGAAGAAACACTATCTAAAAATCCCTATTGTTAATGGATTGAGAATTAACATATAGTCCCTTCTATAAGACATGCTTTAACCATTCATAATAATTAATTCAGAATTAATCACACACAGGTGGTTCACATAATTACATAAAGATGGTTCAGGGTAACTTGTATGTGTCTGTGTCAGTAAATTGGTGTCTAAAATGTAAATCATATAATGGATTGTTTCTGTTTCAGTCACATCAACCAGAGAACCCAGTTTGAGAACCCAGTCCTGGAGGCTAAGAGGAAGCTGAGCCAGGAGACTACTGCTTCTATCCAGCAGGGGGCACCACCTCCCCCAGGTAGACACTACTCACCTCACCTAACTTTTTCTTTACCTCACTCTTTCTTCAGCTCTGGATAGCTTTCTGAAGGCTGTTATACAGACTGAGACTGAAAACAAACTCAACAATGACATGATTGTGTGTTGACCTCCTACACCTCATTATGTGTTGTGTTGAATAGGTTTGAAGTGGTGGAAAATGTAGAAGCCATCTCCTTGCTCAAGGTTGTAGGAGAGATGTCGTGTCAAGTGTCATCATGCATGAATAGCCGTTTGAAACTAGTAATGTATGATCAACTCTGCGCCCAAGAGAAGACAAGTTCTCTCCCATTCACACCAGGGTTGGGGTGGAAGACAAGCCACTCTTCTGCCATAATAAACAATATGAATTAAATATGCTTTCATTACAGTGGATGTATAATACATTAGAGTGCGGGGAGTACAGATTGACAGTCATGTTCTGCTGCTGAGGCTTACTCATATGGGTTGGTTGAGAGGAGGGAGGGAAGGGGAGCAGCTCTTAGAAATTGTGACAGCTGTTGAAACAGCACATCTTAAGGGCCAAGCATAACAAGACATCTCTCAACTAGCTAACTTGCTAGCCAGGTGGGGAGGGACTGAGATAGGCATCTCCCCTGTGATTGCACCAGACTGTTGTCAGACGGTTGCTATGATGTAACCAAAACAACAGCAGTTGCACCTCAGGCTAGAGTTCTCCGTTACAGTTCTCCAAGCCCACAGATTTCCAGAGCATCTAATGCAACATAGAGGCTCATCTGCAGTGTCTACCAGCCAAGGGAGCTGAGTGGAGACCATTTCATCATACCTCAGCTTGGAGGGCGCAACTTTGGTTTTAGAAGTGGGGGGGGGGGGCATAATTATATATAAAGAAAAATATCCAGTCGGATAAACACTCCAAACAACCTACCTGACCGCTCGGAGGCGTCCGCATGGTCCTAAAGCACACTGTTGCCTTGTTTTGTATCACATTCCAATGATAAAACTGGGGGGGACAAAAATGCAATTTCAGAATGTGGGGGGGACATGTCCCCCCTGTCCCCAGTGAAAGTTGCACCCCTGGATTGACCTTTACTTCCTCTACCAACACTCATCTTCAACAACATGATCTTGACCTACAGATCCCCACAGTGCAATACTACACCCTCTGGACCTTACTGACCATGGTCTATGTATCAGACCAGACCCTGGCTGTTGAGGTGAGATGGTTGAGATGCCTATGAGATGCTCTTTTAGAAGAGTTTTGACAAGGCTCCCCACTCCAACCTGCCCAGAGACCCATACTACTTAGAGCAATGGTAATCCCTCAGCATTTCAACTAGACTGACAAGCCTTATACGGCTATTACTCAGTCTCCATCCTTTTTACCACTACCAGCAGCTTTATTTTAATCAACTGAACAAGACTGTCTGTGCTCATTGTGACTGATGTCTGTGGTGAAATGTACCAAACATTCTACACATCATGGCTGTTGAGGATGATTTGGCCTATTCTGTTCTGGCCTTCAAATGCTGTCAACATGTTATCACAGAGAGCTCTCTTGAGTCTAATACACACATGCATGCACACACGCACGCGTGTGTGTACACACACACACGTTAGACATATGCAAAATTACAGTTTTTATCACTGTCACAGTTTTAAAAACGAGATCGTCATGTTGAGTTCATCAACCAATTTTACTGTGATTATGTAAATGAGATTCTCTTGATCCATTGAACACGACAGCTGGAGTCCATCCACACTGTATTTAATTCCCCTCAGCTCTGAGCTGCTCTTTGGGCCATACAGTACCATACATTCAGCACAGGGCTGCTTTGCTACATCATATAGGACTGGAATGTATCTCAATTCCACCTTAGCCTGGACAGAGGCAGTTAAGCAGAGAGAAAAGATTGTATGCTTCTGATATAAAGTGCTGATAGGACAGTAAAGCCAGCGAGTAAAACGCTCAGCTGGCCCATTTAATGCAGTATACCCCTGACAGCCTGTTATTTACTGGACTGTGTGTCCACTGTCATACAAGGGGATATTTATGCTGCCAATGACCTTATGTTGTTCCAAACTTATTTTCTTGACTCACTGGCTCTTTAGGGAGAAGATGAGAAAGGACCTCATGCCTAAATGAACAATTTCAGAGGTGTTATGTCACTGTTTGAATCCACAGCATGTTAATGAATCAGTGAAAGCTCAGACTAATAATGTAGCTACTAAAGCTATAATTTAATATTTTGTCTGTTACTGTTTTAGTTATCATACAGGGCAGTGTTTTAGTCAAAGCAAATGTGACTAGTGTGACTACATTGGTATTAAGGTTGTTACTTTGTTAATATGTTGAAAAATGTCACACCTTATTTAGCTATGCAACTTCTTCTAACTCTCCCACTGTGACACACTTACGTTGCAGGTGAGGGAGGTGCGTCAGGCTTCACCCCAAACCCGTCCCAGCTGCAGGGGGAGATGTTCCACACTGCTCTGAGGAAAAGCTCCCAGGGCTTTGGCTTTACCATCATAGGGGGCGACCGCCATGACGAGTTCCTGCAGGTGAAGAATGTCCTCAGCGACGGCCCTGCTGCCCATGACAACAAGATCACCTCCGGTGAGAAGTACACTGCTGCACTGCACTGCACTGTGGGGAGCCACACACTTTTACCAGCTCAGAAGGCAGCTAGTGAACATAATAAAAGCCTGGTTGGTCCATATAGAGGGGCTGCACTTACCCTAACACTTCCCCAAGAGATACAGTGAGAGGGAGAGCAGGAATTCTGTCAGTTTCATGTTCAAGGGGATCATTTTAGGCAGAGAGCATAGCCGTGGGAAGTATTGGTGCTGAGGGTGCTGTAGCACCCCCTGAATTGTTTTTATATTTTGTATTATTAATACATAAAACAAATATCCCAAACGTAGTGCACTGGGCCTTTACTAAGTAGTGGACTGGGCAAATTTCCCCTATTCCACCCAAACGACTTTCCGCGGCTATGTCAGAGAGACAGGTTATGGTGTATTCTGGGTGTAGCCCAGTATCTTTGTTGCATACTCTGATCTTCCTTTAGCTTTGAGGCTGTCTGGGGCTCTGCATCCTCAGCAGCTTTTCTTGTGTGAGCTGAGAGGGGCTGGCGGTTGCTGTTCTCTGAGCCAGCTGTCAGGGTGAGATGTAAAAGGACACAGCTCTCTCCTACATGCAGTAATGTTCTGCCTGGCTAGAAGCACTGCAAGTTGATGTCTGTTTGAACAATGGAGAGAGGGAGCAGAGGAGGGAGGGAATAGGCAGGAAGAAAGAAGGTAAGGAGGACAGAAGATGAAAGGGATAGGGAGAAAGGTTGGTCTCAATTCATAATTTTGGAATTGACTCCCATTCAACTCATGAGTTGAAATTCGAATTGGCCACACCCCACAGGATGTAGAATTTGAATTTGAGTTTGAGTGGCAGGAAGTAGAATTTACTTCAGTGCAATTCAAAGAAATTCCACTCAGTCATAGAATATGAGAATTTCCTTGAATCTGACAGGTCACACTTCCAGATACCAAAGAATATATCACTTTTCTCTGGAAACAATGTTAATATACTATCTTAACCTTAGTGCTTAGAACATACATTTTTATTTCCGCCAATCATTTCTTCTTCTTTTTTGATATCATGGCATTCGCACACTTTGTTTGTGCATGCCGCCACCTACTGTGCGGTAGTGTGTGGTCAATCACGTTAAATTTGTGATACCAAAATATATACCACTAAATAATAATAATAAAAAACCCCTTCCAACTAACCCTACACTCATTAAAAACCCACTACCCCATTCCACTACTTTGACCCTATCTGCTCCTGCACCATGCCAACGACCTAAGAGGACGGGACACCACCACTCAACACACCCTGTAACTCTTCTGAAGTCAAATCTCATATACCCAAATACTACTCTGCAGCTGCCACCACAACTGTGATTTACGTTCCATTTCTACAGTACAGTTGATAACCATTGCTATGAACGCTAAGAATCCAAGCTTACTGAAGCATATATCACTCATTGGCCTATCCCTCTGTGCTGGTACAGATCTAATACTCACAGGGATCCTCTCCAGATCCCTCACCGTTGACCCATCCTCCTCTACTTTCTTCACTGCCTCAGCATACGACACCTTCTGCACTATTCTGACTCTGGCCACCTCAACCTGCCTCTCTCGTACCAGACACTTCCAATCCCCAGAAACATGGGCACCCCTACAGTTGACACACACAATTTCTATCCATCGAAACTACAGTCCTCGGTCCCATGCCCTCCTGCACACTTCCCACCTTCTATACACTGCTGCAACATGACCATAAACATTGCACCTGAAACAGCAAAGTGGATTCAGTACAAAAGCTCTAACAGGATAACTGATATATCCAAACATGACTTTGTCGTGTAAAATTAAAAAGGACTGACAGTGACCGGGTCTGCGTCGCACCAAACGGTGGGCATCACAAACAGCAGGAATCTTCAACTTCAATTGCTCCACCTCCACACTTAACGCTACCCCAGAAATCACTCCTTTCAATGGTGCCATATTCCTAAGTACAAAGCAAAAAACAGATCTTGACCCAAGTGGCGTGACATGGAGCGCCCGCTCCCTCTGCGCAGAAGAAACACAAACAAATATCAGAAGTCCACTACAGGTTACTTTCACTGATTCAACTGCAGCCAACTCCTTTCCCACCCACCCTGAAACCGCCAAAAGGCAAGGATCCATCTCCAAAAAGGTAACTCCTACTGGACCAGATTCTTCTTTATCATGTCCATCGATGCCAGGCTCGGGTTCCGAGCTCTTCACCATGCCTTCCACCTCACTTAACTAGCCCTCATTCACTTCCATTTCACCTCCAGAACTCGGTCTGGTGCACGGCTCACTTTGTTTGCACTTGACATCAATCTTCTTCGACAGCCATCTCCATTTTTATCGCCATCTTCCTCAAACTTAACTCCACCCTCTGCTTTAATCATTCTCTTCAACCTCTTCTTACTCTTTTTCCACCTCCATTCCTCCTCAGAAATCCACCTTTCTGTGTCCCTGTCCCAATATTCCTCTTCCATCGCCATCTTAGAACTTTACAGAAACGTCGCACTGAATCCGGTGAAAGAACACACCCACCAGAAATCACCTGCTGCTCCAGTCACACCAATCATTTAATTTGTTTTGCTTCTTTTTGAAGGCCTCAGGGTCAACTTGAGGGTTGAACTAATGCATTCTGGGAAATGTAGTATTTCCCCCCATTTGAACAAAATGTAAGTGATAAATTAAATATAATAGCTTAGAATATTCGCATACAGGTTGTGTTGTCCTTGATCATTCATTTAATTAAATTGTTTCAACAATATTTTATATAACAACATGTTTGATGTTTTATGTACAAGATGTTTTCGGTACAAGATGTTTTATGTACAAGGGAGGAGATGAGGGCCCTGGTGGAGTGGTGCCAGGAAAATAACCTCTCCCTCAACGTCAACAAAGGAGCTGATCGTGTCCTTCAGGAGACAGCAGAGTAAGCATGCCCCGATCCACATCGACAGGGCTGCAGTGAAGAGGGTGAAAAGCTTCAAGTTCCTCAAAAACGTCAAGTTCCTCGGTGTGCACATCACTGACAACCTGAAATGGTCCATCCACACAGAGAGTGTGGTGAAGAAGGCGCAACAGCGCCTCTTCAACCTCAGGTGGCTGAAGAAATTTGGCTTGGCCCTTGAGACTCTCACGAACTTCTACAGATGCACCATTGAGAGCATCCTTGCGGGCTATATCACCGCCTGGTATGGCAACTGTATCGTCCACAACCGCAGGGCTCTCCAGAGGGTGGAGTGGTCAGCCCAACACATCACCAGGGGGCACACTGCCTGCCCTCCAGGACATCTACAGCATCCGGTGTCACAGGAAGGCCAAGAAGATCATCAAGGACCTCAGCCACCAGAGCCCGGCCTGTTCACCCGCTACCATCTAGAAGGAAGAGATCGTACAGGTGCTTCAAAGCTAGCACAGAGACTGAAAAACAGCTTATTTTCCAGGCCATCAGACTGTTAAATAGTCACCACTAGCCGGCCTCCGCCCAGTACCCTGCCCTGAACATTAGTCACTGTTACTACCCGCTGTCTATTATCTATGTATAGTCACTTTACCCCTACCTACATGTACAAATTACCTTGACTAACCTGTACCCCCACACATTCACTCAGTAACGGTACACCCTGTATATAGCCTTGTTATTGTTATTTTATTGTGTTATTTTTTATTATTTTTTACTTTCGTTTATTTGGTAAATATTTTCTTAACTCTTTCTTGAACTGCTTTGTTGGTTAAGGGCTTGTAAGTAAGCATTTCATGGTAAGGTCTACACCTGTTGTATTCGGCACATGTGACAAATAAAATTTGATTTGATATATTTATATTCCGGACTCTGACATTGCTCATTCTAATATTTCTATATTTCTTGATTCCTTTCTTTAGATTTTTGGATTTGCGTATATTGTTTTGTATTGTTAGGTATTACTGCACTGTTGGAGATAGGAACATAAGCATTTTGCTACACCCGCGGTAACACCAGCGATATGTGTATGTGACTAATACAATTTGATTTGATATTTGTATAGACTACACCAAATATAGAATAGAAGAGGCATTTGAATTTCACTGAATTCAATTATATTTCCTTTCATTCAAATTCAAATTGCATTTCTGTATCCTGTTAACTATTTCAATTCAAATTAAATTCAAATTCAAGAATTGAATTGGAATTTATGAGGCATTCTCAATTCAATTCTGAATTGAGCCCAACCCTGATGGGGAGAGATGGGAGGATGAATGAACGTGAAGAAAAGATGGGGTGGCAACTATCACAATGATCTGAAACTGTGTCTAACACACAATTAAATTAAACACATACTACCACTTGCTAATCAGGAAACTCTTGGGTATGTTATGGTGGACTGTCATTACAATTGCTACACGGAAACCTGGTAAAATTATGTTTATAGCTAGTGTAGCTACCACCGAATGGCTCTGAATTCACTCTCAGCTTGCAGTCAAAGCTATAACCACTTATGGGGTTGACTATAGTGCTCTCAAATTGTATACTGATGTTGACAACAGATGGGAGTATTCACATCATTGCTAACTTAGCTAGCTAACATACATTTTGAGAAAACAAGTTAGCTATATTATGTGGCTAGCTAGCTAGTGTTAGCAACGTTTGGTGGTCAATGGGCGGCAGGTATCGTAGTAGTTAAGCGCTTTGGGCCAGCAACCGAAAGGTCGCTGGTTCAAATCCCCAAGCTGACTAGGTGAAAAATGTGTCGATGTACCCTTGAGCAAAGTACTTAACCCTAATTGCTCCTGTAAGTCACTCTGGATAAGAGGGTCTGCTAAATGACTAAAATGTACACCATTTTTTAATTGTATTTAATGAGACTAAGAGCTAGCTAAACTGCTGAGCTAGCAAACAATGTAACAAAAGTATAATTTTGGATTCGAAAAATACTCCATCAACAGGCTCTGCATTTCAGGAATCACAGTAGCAAGTACTCCTGGTGCACTGTTCAATTATTTAGCCATTGAAACTTGAAATTTATATTTGGAATAAAACTCAGTTTTTATTATAGCCCTCACTGGCTTTCATGTGATTTAAACGTGAGCTTGTCCGAGGTGTCGGACTCGGCGACAGTTGCTATCCATTGGAGTGCTGCGATTGGTTGCCCAAAATTCTGGGCTGGGCTTAGCGAATGGTCAATTCAGTCCGTCACAAACAGGACAGTCATCTAGCTAACAAGCTACTATATTGCCGTAACAACCATTACATCGCCCATGGATATGTCTGTATATTTTCACTGTTTGCTAAGGCTTGTTTCTTCTCTCCATCACTTCTCTCTTCACCCTCTCTCTCCTCTCCCTCTTCTCCCTCTCTCTTTTCTCTCCCTCTCCCTCTCCCTCTCCCTCTCTGGTTTGCTCCGCCAGGCGATGTGATCGCGGAGATCAACGGGACATGTGTGCTGGGGAAGACCCACCCTGAGGTGGTGCAGATGTTCCAGTCCATCCCAGTAAGTCAGTATGTTGATATGGTGCTGTGCCGCGGCTACCCACTGCCCCCAGACGTGGAGCAGGACACCGAGAACCCCCCTCCCCCGCCTCCTCCGCTCCTGCAGGGGGGCGAGGTGATGACGGCCGTGCCCCTCATCAATGGCCAGCCCCTGCTGGTGAAGGGCAACGTGCTGCATGGCTCCTCCCAGGAGCTCCACTACGTCACCACCGACGCCAACGGACGGCCCATGGTGGCCGCGCTGCCCAATGGGAGGCTCCCTGAGCAGGGGGGAAGGGGCCTGCTGCAGCCCGAGTTGGTGACCGTGCCCCTAGTGAAGGGCCCGGGAGGGTTTGGCTTTGCCATCGCAGACTGTCCCTTGGGCCAGAAGGTGAAGATGATCCTGGACGCCCAGTGGTGCCGCGGCCTGCTGAAAGGGGATGTGATCAAGGAGATCAACCATCAGAATGTTCAGATGCTGAGCCACGCCCAGGTGGTGGACATCCTCAAAGACCTGCAGGTGGGGAGCGAGGTCAACGTGCTGGTGCTCAGAGGAGGTGGGTCACAGAGTGTATTATTAACACTGCCTTGTGGTTACATAACACTAACACTGTGACTGTATTGCTGCTGCGACATCACTGTTGCCATGGCATTAGTGTGATACAGTGATATCACTGTCAATGTGACCTCATCAGTGTCCTTGGTGAGTGAGGTCAACGTGCTGATACTAACAGGAGGTGAAAGAGTGGGTCAACTACCACTCACGTACACACACTATGGTATGGTATCTCGGTGATGTCACTATGTCTGCAATAGGTGAACACATGAGGGAATGTTGCCTCTTTGGCTTAAATGATCACGTAGTAATGACAATTGTAGAGACCCCCTATACAACCCAACTCTCCTGTCAAATACACCTTTCACATATCCCCGTAAACACCTCTCTGTATGCACAGATCTCTACCACATCTCCCTGTACAGGATATATACTGTATCTCTTCAGGCTGCTTCACAGCTTCTACTAAGGCTCTCTCTCAGTCAGGCATTCATACTGCAGTCTGTTGCAGGGAAGGGAAGTTACGTAAGCACGGGTCTCTGCCTGCTCTGCTCCTGGGGAGAGAGGGAGGGGAAAGCACCCTTCAAACGTCTCCCACATCCATCTCCAGCCGCCCTGGGGAAATGGTACACAAGTCGATGAGCCCGGATTGGCTTTGATCATTATCGGAGGCGCAGAATAGTTCTGCATGCTTCTATATCCATGGCCCTTTAAAGGGATACTTCAGGAGTTTGGCATTTATCTACTTCCCCAGAGTCAGATTAACTCATGGATATCATTTTTATGTCACTGCGTGCAGTTTGAAGGAAGTTGCTATCTAGCGTTAACGCAATTGCTAACTAGCGTTAGCGCAGTGATTGGCAGTCTATGGTAACTGCTACAATGCAAGTAGATACCATAGACTTCCAGTCATTGAGCTAATGCTAGTTACCATTGGCATGCAAAACTACGTCTAACTTCCTTCATACTGGATGCAGAGACATAAAAATGGTATCCACGAGTTCATCGGACTCTGGGAAGTAGAAAATCCCAAAGTATTCCTTTAAGAGGGTGGCAGGTAGCTTAGTGGTTAAGAGCGTTGTGCCAGTAACCGAAAGGTCACTGGTTCTAATCCCCGAGCCGACTAGGTGAAAAATCTGTTGATGTGCCGTTGAGCAAGGCACTTAACCCTAATTGCTCCTGTAAGTCGCTCTGGATAAGAGCGTCTGCTAAATGACTAAAATGTAAAGAGCCAGAGCTAATCGCTGTATGGCCCTGGGTGTGGGATGCCCCAGGGGTCTCCTCCTCAGGGTCTCCCTCTCTTCCTCTCTACCCTTATACACCCACCCACCACCCCTTCCATCTCAACCCACACACACAGAGCATGACCCGCCAGTGAGAGCATCCCCTGCCTTATTCAGGCAGTCCAGCGGAGGAAATAATGTCAGATTTAACCCTCATTAGAGATTGGCTGAGAGGCAGATGGTGGGTAGTAATACATAGCCATAATATGACATTTGAAATGTCTTTAGTCCTTTGGAACTTATGTTAGTGTAATTAATGTTTTCTGTTCATTTTTTATAGTTTATTTCACTTTTGTTTATTATCTATTTCACTTGCTTTGGCAATGTAAACATATGTTTCCCATGCCAATAAAGCCATTTGAATGGAATTGAGAGACAGAGAGAGAGAGAGAGACAGAGAGAAAGAGAGAAAGAGAGAAAGAGTGAACATACTGCATTCATCTTATCATCTTATATCATGTCCTTGATGACAGTCCTTGGGTTAGATTCTTCACATTGGAGCGGAAAAATGGAGCTGGATCTCCTGGTTACATCAGGGTCCATAAACCCTTTCACACTTTTCAGACTGAACCGTCGTCCCCTTTAGACTTCCAGAGAGGAGCATGCTCGTGAATCAATTTAATGCTGGAGCTACATTAACTGTGGGAACAATCTGTGCGTGAGAGATGAACATGTGGGTGTACTGTACAGTTGACATTATTGGTCATTGTATTTTATGCATGACTCTCTCTCTCTCTCTCTCTCTCTCTCTCTCTCTCTCTCACTATGCTATGCTAGTCCTCTCTCATGTAGGTCCCCTCTCTCTCTCAAATGTACATATCTCCTATTTATCTTTAATAACACAGTGATGTCATACTTCTTGATGGAGTAGGCTACAGCACTGTTTTAAACCTCCTGAGTAGAGTATTGAAACTGTTATTCCTTCACTGCTCTCGTTCTCTGTTAGGGAGGCAGTGACATCTACTGGTTGATGTCTCATTAGTACTTAAAAAAAAAAAAAAATCCATGACTCTTCCTTGTGTTTCTCACAGGTCAGACATCTCCTGTGAACAGCCTGAAACCTGTGAGTAAAAGCAGACACTGTTTTATAATACTCTGAGTTTTAAAGCCTTAAAGCCTTTTGTCCTTGAGTAGAAAGTGGTTAACCAGTGAGCCCCATTGCATCACATTAAACGATAACTATAAATTTGAATATTGATTATGTTTCACGGGGCCTTCTTTTGTTTGCTTTGAAAATGGTCTTAATTACTTCTATTTAGCATTCCTTTTATAATTCTTTTGTCTGGGGATTTAAATGGTAATGAAGCACAGAACCTCTTTAGATAATATTGTATATTAGTATGACAGTTTAAGATTAATCTGGCCTTTTCGACAGAATAAGCCTGTCAGCGCCATAGGGAACTCTTCTTTAGCCCGTGAATGGTAAATTATATTAAAATCCCATCAGTCTTTGGCTTACTATTGAGCTAGCAGGGGTAATGTGAAAGCAATGCGGAAGCCAGCGGTATAATGACCTTTCGTTCATTTAGTATTCAATCACCATTACATCCTGTGCTATGTGTCTGGGTAATGAGGTGTATATAGACGGTCTTTAATGTGCTCAAATTGTGCTGTGTCTGTGGCCCTGTGTCCCCGTCAGAGGCAGGAAATGACAGCTAGCACAGAGACTCTGGACTGTGTCACAGACTCGGTCCCCCAGGCCCTCCCCTACCACTCCAACACCTCAACCCTGCGCAATGACTCCCCCAAACGAGACGCCACAGAGATGTACCTGAAGTCCAAGGCCCTGCTGGAGAGCAAGCGTGAGTGCACATACTGTAGCTACACAGACAGAGGAGGCCTAGTAGCCTTATGCTCAGTTATTCCATCCATAGCTCTATAATGGATGCCAGTGTTTAATTTGTATGTTCGTGACCGTCTGTTAAGGGTCACCCTACATTTGTGAGTACAGTATCAATGTGAGCTGCAAGATAAGCCTGTGAGTTCACCCTGCTGACCGGATGATTGGGTGGTGCTCACCTCTATGATACCCTATCTAACCACTGTAACCCCTGTCCACAGAGCCTCACACCAAAGACCTGGATGTGTTCATCAAGAGGGACCAGGAGACTGGCTTTGGCTTCCGTGTTCTGGGAGGAGAAGGTCCAGAGCAGCCAGTGAGTACCGAAGTATGGACTTCCTCCCTGTTAGATTATCTTTGTTCATTTTCAACACCCAGGAAAGGCTATTGCCTACTGTCTTCTATGGACAGTGTTTCTGACTCAAAGTGTGACTCCCTCTGACAGGTGTATATAGGTGCCATCGTGCACCTTGGTGCAGCTGAGAAGGATGGACGCCTGAGGGCTGGTGATGAGCTCATAGGCATCGATGGAATCATGGTCAAGGGCCGCTCCCACAAGCAGGTTCTGGACCTGATGACCAACGCTGCCCGCAACGGTCAGGTCATGTTGACCGTGCGTAGGAAAGTAATCTACAGAGGTGAGCACTCACTGACTGCCTGGAACCTCTACACCTTGGTCTCTAACACATACACACACACATATATACATACACAGACACCATCTATGTGTTTGATACTGCACTTCAGTCTATACTCTCCATGCGTTTTTCAATCAGATATGACTGAGGAGGAGGCAGGGCTCCACATGGCTCCAGTGTTGGTGAACGGCTCCCCCAGACTCCCTCGTATCCAGATGCCCAGTGTGCTTGACCACGAGTCCTTCGACATCACCCTCCACCGCAAGGACAGCGAGGGCTTTGGCTTTGTCATCCTCACCTCCAAGAGCAAGCCCCCACTAGGAGGTGAGAATGGACCCGATGCTCAGTATTACCACTGCTTATCCCAGACAAAACCAAACACACACCACTCTCCTCTGTAGCATCATATCACCCAAAGTAACTGGGAACATAGTTTGAAGGTTCTTCCTTTGAAAATATTATTACTTCTTTACTAATGAGTAATTTAGTCCCTTACATACCTATTGTATATTTCTGACTGAATCCATCAGGTGGGATGGGTGTGTTATCATTAGACATCTCTCTGTTTGCAGTGATCCCTCATAAGATCGGACGCATCATCGAAGGCAGCCCCACTGACCGCTGTGGCCTGCTGAATGTAGGCGACCGCATCTCAGCGGTCAACAGACAGTCAATCGTGGGGCTGTCTCACAATGACATTGTTCAGCTCATCAAGGATGCTGGCAACGCTGTTACCCTCACCGTGGTCCCTGAGGACGGTAAGCTTCACCAGTAGTATCACCCATGGGATGGGACTGTGTTGGTCTCCCTAGTATTCCCAGTCATATACCAATGATCTCTGTGTGGGATGGTTGGTTTGTGTTTGTGTTATCATAATGGTGTGACTTGTATTGGTGTGTTCCAGAATATAAGGGCCCTCCCTCTGGAGCCAGCTCAGCCAAGCAGAGCCCCGCCCCTCATCATAGAGCTATGGGTCAGAGGTCAGCCATGCAGGACGAGCGGTAAGGCCCTGATCTCACTACTACACCAAGACATGGATTAAAACCCTGCTTCAGCATTTAGCAGAACAACCCAGATACTTATGTCTGACACAACATCTTAATGATAAAAATTGCTTTGCTCTCTGTGCCCCCCAGCGGAGACACTGCTGTACATTATTGAAGATATAACATAGTGTTACTGAATGCTGTTGTCTGTTCTAGTTATAACCTAGATCTGGAGGAGGAGAAGAGGGAGGGAGTCACCTGGGCCGACTACAAAACTCTGCCTCTGAGCGAACAGGGAACAATGTGTGTTACAGGCCCTAAACAGGCAAGGCTCATACCATTATTACTGTCATTTTTTATATCCAGTGTTTTATAGATTTTACATCAATTAAATAATATATGACTCAGAAAAAAACAGCACTAAGTTATAACTTAAGTTATAACGTGTGTGTGTGCTTGTGTGTGTGTTTATATGCGTGTGTGTGCATGTGCTTACGTGCATGTGTGTGTGTGCATGCTTGCATGTGTGTGTGTATGTATGTGTGTGTACGCATGCGCCATGCAGGGCTGTATCACGGTGGAGCTGGACCGGGGGTCCCGGGGTTTTGGCTTCAGTCTGAGGGGAGGGACTGAGTACAACATGGGCCTGTACATCCTGAGATTGGCTGAGGAGGGGCCTGCCCTGCTGGATGGCAGGATCCACGTAAGTCTGACCCCCGGTGCCATAGGAAACATCCACACACATCCACACAGATGACTGTTACTACACTATTCATAATATCAAGACATTCTGTCATGTCTTATAACAGACTAATTACATGTTTTGTTGCCATTGAGGAGTTGATCATCTAGATTGTGCATGTATGTGCAGGTGGGAGATCAGGTAGTGGAGATAAATGGAGAGCCGACCCAGGGCATCACCCATACCCGCGCTATTGAGCTGATCCAGGCTGGGGGCAGCAAAGTGCTGCTCCTGTTAAGGCCAGGGCAGGGGCTGGTACAAGACAACAGTAAGTACACACAGAAGTCTAGATCTACAAGATAAGATTGACCTTTTTTGTGGTATGAGATGCAGGGTGTTTGAAAATGCTTGTTTGTTGATGTGTGTTATAACATGTTACTAGCATTTAACAAGGGTACGCTAATTAACATGAACTGATGCAGCAATGCTTTGTACACACATTAATTAATGATTTAGCTATCCCTGTTAGCTACTTCATTAATTTATATGAATGTACCCTTAATGTGAAATGTCACCCAAATTGAGTGCCTGACTGTGTTGGGGATGTTTGTTGTTTCATGAATGGAGTCCTCAGCTGTCTATAACTGCTTACTCTTGGCACTTCCTCTCCTCCCCCTGTTGCAGGTGATTGTGTCCCCTCTACTGTGTGCTACTACTCAAACGAGCACCACCACTAACCACTTCACTGTTTTTACTGGCCTGTCCTCTTTTACCTTGGTAATTCCTATAATTTCCTTCTTGCTTCCTCCTTTCATCTGTCTAGACTAGGTCATATGAATTTTGCTCTTGTACGTTACTTGTTATTCTCATAAGGATCTGTGAGCCACTCTATACATATTTTACATCTGTGTAATTACTTATTTTACTTCTAGGTAAATTGGATCCAACCGTCACTTCACCCACAAGCTTTCCTAGAGAGGCGCTTGTCTCAGAGATGTCCCCTCTCTCTTCTCCATTCTCCACCTGCACCTCCATCTCAGGTTCCTCCTCTTTCACCAGTGAGACCACTGACTGGAACTCCCTGTCCCCCCGAACACTCCACCCCCAGAGCAGCAGGGGCACTGGCTCAGTTGAGTGGAATGGAGAGTGGGCAGACAGGCAGGCTGACAGGCTCTCTCCCATTACCCCTGAGCAGATCAACCTCTACAAGGTCAAACCAGGTCATACCAGGTCTAAAGACTCCAAGGAGCCCAGCAGCCCAAAGAAAACAGATGAAACATTCTCTAACGCCAAAGAGCGCTCACACAGTCCCAAAAAGTCTGAGAGGAAGGCACAGGAAGCAGATCCAAGCAAAGACAGGAAGTCCCACCCCCAGAAAGGAAGTCGGTCACCCAGCCCCAGGAAGTCTACTCGAGAAGGACAGGAAGCCTCGGGCCAGCTGCATGTAAAGAAACAGCAGGTACAGCAGAGCACATCAAAGGAGCTTTCCAGCAAGGAGCCCTTTGATGAAAACAAAAACAGCAAAAGGGGGAATTCAAAGGGCAGGAAAAGCACACAGGAGAGAGAAGGGATAGCGGGAACGACCAAGGCTGCCCATGACCAGGTCAGTATTGAAAAGAGAGTGGGGACAGAGGCAGGACATCACAGGCCAACCCCTATGGAGACAGGGGCATGGAGAGATATTCTGAAAGTTACTCTGGAGAAGAGTAAACCGAGAGACGGGCAAAAGGAAAAACGCAAAGAGCAGAAAAGCAAAAAAGACACAGGGGCTTCCTCAAAAGAGGGAAAGACTATAAAATATTCTGGGGCCTCTACAACAGAGGGAAAGAGTAGAAAATACTTGGTGGCCTCTCCAACAGAGCAGCGGATCAGAAAAGACACACAGTCCTCCCCAAATGCCATTCAGGAGGATCCTCTGAGGCAAAAGCGTCGGATTAGCCCTGGCCCCTGGAAAGTTCCCAGCTCAGCCAGAATCCTCTCCCAGGCTGAGGTGCTGCGTAATCCCCTTTACTGATACAGTATGGACAACACTGTGTGGACACATAATCCCACAGACTTGAGCTTTACCACAACATGCTGTATATTGTTGGTCTGTTTCTTTCGCCAATGAGAGGGATGGACGAGGAATGGCAGGCAACCTTATCGGCCATGTGTCATGTCCAGCTGTGTCCATGAAGAGGACTTTTTTAACCTCTATTGGCCTTTGACATTGGGAATGGCATGTAACGCCAACGCTGTCATCTCTCTTCCTGCCTCATGTGCTGCTTCAGACATTTCTGATCTGGGCTGTACGCATGTTTGGCATGTTTAGGGCCTTGCCAGTCAGTGACACTTAAAAATGTGATCATGTGCCAATTCTTGGACGTCTTGTAGAATTAATACTAACCATGCTTCACCCATTATATTGCATTTATTATCCCATATGCAACCAAGGAGAACGGTCTCCAACCCACACAAAGGTAACCTGTCAGTAAAGGTTTTATTTTCATGTTGGGTATCTACAGCAAGCACCTTGGGATTGACCTTTTCACATGGCACTCTTTTCCGAAGGGATTTGCTCAACTTCATGCGGTCCATATGTTTATTTTATTGCACGCCTTTACCACTCCACTGAGGATGATCCTTTCTCCTGATGTGAAAATACTGATGCTGAAGTTCTGACCTTAACACCATGTAGAGATTTCAGACTTTATTCAGAAAGCATTAGCTTTACCAAGGATTCTAGACTGTTCTAAGACAATAGACATTGTTCCTGAATACAAAATACATCATTACAAAAGACCAGAAACTTGTGGTTTGAGACATTGTTTACCATGTGTATGAGAACCTATGTGTAAGTTATTGAAATGATAGATTAATATATATATATATATATATAAATATATATATATATATATACAGTGCTATGAAAAAGTATTTGGCCCCTTTCTAATTTTCTCCACTTTTGCATATTTGTGATACTGAATGTTATCAGATCTTCAACCAAAACCTAATATTAGATAAAGGGAACATAAGTGAACAAATAACACAACAATTACATATTTATTTCATTTATTTCTTAAACAGAGTTACGCAACACCCAATTCCCCTGTGTGAAAAAGTAAATGCCCCCTTACACTCAATAACTGGTTGTGCCACCTTTAGCTGCAATGACTCCAACCAAATCCTTCCTGTAGTTGTTGATCAGTCTCTCACGTCGCTGTGGAGGAATTTTGGCACACTCTTCCATGCAGAACTGCTTTAACTCAGTGACGTGTGGGTTTTCAAGCATGAACTGCTCGTTTCAAGTCCTGCCACAACATCTCAATTGGGATAAGGCCTGGACTTTGACTAGACCATTCCAAAACTTCCAATTTGTTGCTTTTTAGCTATTTTCATGTAGACTTGATTGTGTGTTTTGGATCATTGTCTTGCTGCATGACCCAGCTGCGCTTCAGCTTCAGCTCACAGACGGATGGTCTGACATTCCCCTGTAGAATTCTCTGATACAGAGCAGAATTCATGGTTCCTTCTATTAAGGCAAGTCGTCCAGGTCCTGAGGCAGCAAAGCATCCCCAAACCATCACACCACCACCACCATGCTTGACCTTTGGTATGATGTTCTTACTGTGGAATGCAGTGATTGGTTTTCGCCAGGCATAATGGGACCCATCTCGTCCAAAAAGTTGACTAAAGTTTGCCAAAAAGCACCTGGATGATCATCAAGACTCTTGGAAGAATGATTCAAAAGTATAACTTTTTGGACGACACTGCATTCCACAGTAAGAACATCATACCAAAGGTCAAGCATGGTGGTGGTGGTGTGATGGTTTGGGGATGCTTTGTTTGGGGATCACATTGTATGATTTGTAAGTAATTAATTTGCATTTTATTGCATGACATAAGTATTTGATACATCAGAAAAGCAGAACTTAATACTTGGTACAGAAACCTTTGTTTGCAATTACAGAGATCATACATTTCCTGTAGGTCTTGACCAGGTTTGCACACACTGCAGCAGGGATTTTCGCCCACTCCTCCATACAGACCTTCTCCAGATCCTTCAGGTTTCGGGGCTGTCGCTGGGCAATACAGACTTTCAGCTCCCTCCAAAGATGTTCTATTGGGTTCAGGTCTGGAGACTGGCTAGGCCACTCCAGGACCTTGAGATGCTTCTTACGGAGCCACTCCTTAGTTGCCCTGGCTGTGTGTTTCGGGTCGTTGTCATGCTGGAAGACCCAGCCACGACCCATCTTCAATGCTCTTACTGAGGGAAGGAGGTTGTTGGCCAAGATCTCGCAATACATGGCCCCATCCATCCTCCCCTCAATACGGTGCAGTCGTCCTGTCCCCTTTACAGAAAAGCATCCCCAAAGAATGATGTTTCCACCTCCATGCTTCACGGTTGGGATGGTGTTCTTGGGGTTGTACTCATCCTTCTTCTTCCTCCAAACACGGCAAGTGGAGTTTAGACCAAAAAGCTCTATTTTTGTCTCATCAGACCACATGACCTTCTCCCATTCCTCCTCTGGATCATCCAGATGGTCATTTGCAAACTTCAGACGGGCCTGGACATGCGCTGGCTTGAGCAGGGGGACCTTGCGTGCGCTGCAGGATTTTAATCCATGACGGCGTAGTGTGTTACTAATGGTTTTCTTTGAGACTGTGGTCCCAGCTCTCTTCAGGTCATTGACCAGGTCCTGCCGTGTAGTTCTGGGCTGATCCCTCACCTTCCTCATGATCATTGATGCCCCACGAGGGGAGATCTTGCATGGAGCCCCAGACCGAGGGTGATTGACCGTCATCTTGAACTTCTTCCATTTTCTAATAATTGTGCCAACAGTTGTTGCCTTCTCACCAAGCTGCTTGCCTATTGTCCTGTAGCCCATCCCAGCCTTGTGCAGGTCTACCATTTTATCGCTGATGTCCTTACACAGCTCTCTGGTCTTGGCCATTGTGGAGAGTTTGGAGTCTGTTTGGTTGAGTGTGTGGACAGGTGGCTTTTATACAGGTAACGAGTTCAAACAGGTGCAGTTAAAACAGTGGAGAACAGGAGGGCTTCTTAAAGAAAAACTAACAGGTCTGTGAGAGCCGGAATTCTTACTGGTTGGTAGGTGATCAAATACGTATGTCATGCAATAAAATGCAAATTAATTACTTAAAAATCATACAATGTGATTTTCTGGATTTTTGTTTTAGATTCCGTCTCTCACAGTTGAAGTGTACCTATGATAAAAATTACAGACCTCTACATGCTTTGTAAGTAGGAAAACCTGCAAAATCGGCAGTGTATCAAATACTTGATCTCCCCACTGTGTGTGTATATATATATATATGCAGAACCAGTCAAAAGTTTGGACACAACTACTCATTCAAGGATTTCTTTATTTTTTACAATTTTTTACATTGTAGAATAATAGTGAAGACATCATAAATATGAAATAATACATATGGAAGCATGTAGTAACCAAAAAGTGTTAAACAAATCAAAAAATATTTTATATTTGAGATTCTTCAAATAGCCACTCTTTGCCTTGATGACAGCTTTGCACACTCTTGGCATTCTCTCAACCAGCTTCATGAGGTAGTGTTACGAACCCCGTGGCTTTAAACGTCTAGGGTGGATGGACATGAGACCCGTAACATAATTCATGCAAATGATAAGCGTGACATGGAACAGTGAGAACAAAAACTACACGACAACCATAAACTACCGTCAAACATAAAAGGTTTATTTTTGAACACACGGTAAAGGTTTGGGAAAAAGGGCTGAGCAGGACCCTAGAAATGAAACAATAGTGTAAAAAAACCCTAAACTGATCTTGCCTGCCTCAAGAACCGCTAAGCTACTGCTAATCATACAAAAATACAGTGGGTGGTCCGCTCAGGTCTAACTAGTGTTTTTAGACAGTTTTCTTCCTACGGGTAATGTACTCCCAAGGGCAACTTGCTTAACTTCCCCTTTTCCCAGAAACACACAAAGTTACCAAACAGAGTAACCAGCAAATGAGTGAGTACACAAAACACCACAGTATCCATACTCACATACGGAAATAGTCTAACAAAGTTACCAAACAGAGTAACCAGCAAATGAGTGAGTACACAAAACACCACAGTATCCATACTCACATACGGAAAATAGTCTCTAACAAAGTTACCAAACAGAGTAACCAGCAACTTAGTGAGTACACAGAACACCACAGTATCCATACTCACATACGGAAATAGTCTCTAACAACAAACACAACTGACTGGCTTTTAAACAATGGGATGTGTGATTGAAAAACCAGAAACAGGTGGTGCAATGCAGAGGAATGTTCACTGATTGGTCCAACTTAGCAATCAGCAGACACCCCAACGACCACCAATCAGGAACATACAGGACACCTGTGATTAGAAGGAGAGGAAAAACACAAAAAGACACAGGATACCTGTATCCGTAACACTCCCACCCTTAAAAGAGCAAACCACAATGGTTTGCGACACACGTACCATCACAACACCCAAAATTCAAAGATCAACCTCATCCTGACGGGATAACAAAAAAAAAACTAGATCTTTAAACACGAGACAAAGCATCTGCCAACACATTATCCGACCCCCATCATTAACATGACCTCCCACTACAGCCGTAGGAGCAATAGAGACAGCCTGTCTATCTGAGTGACGGGTCTGGTGTGGTATGTCTTCAACATGTTAACGTGGCACACACGAGATTGGCGTTTTCTATCAGGAGTCTGTATCACGTAGTCAGTTTCATTTAGTTTCTTTTCAATTACATAAGGACCAGAGAAACGTGCTGACAATGACGCTCCTGGCACCGGCAACAATACAAGAACTTGGTCACCTGGCTGCAGTGAACGAGAAACAGCCTGTGTGTCATAGTGTCGTTTCATCCATCTCTGTGAGGAAGACAGCGCTTCCTTTGCTAGAGCACAGGCACCATGTAGGCACTCACGAAAGCGACTAACGTAGTCCAACACAATTTCTTTCACACACAACTCTTGTGATAAAAACTGATCCTTAAGGACTTTC